TGACCTACTTTCTGTCAGGGTCAAGGGATGTCAAAAGTGCAAAGCAGTGATCAAAGCAAAGGGTGACTCCCGGTATTTAAAAAATAGGTTCTGAGTTATTTTGAGTTTATTTTTTGTTTACTACATTCCGTATGTGTTCACTCACAGTTTTGAAGCTTTCAGTGAGAATCTATAGTATAAATAATCATGGAAATAAAGAATAAAAAATAAAAAATAATAAATAAAAATTAAAAAGTGTCCCAAGTTTTGATTGGTGGTGACTTTCTATGCAGAATAAGATATTGAAGTTTAGACATGTCAAACTCAGGCTCGGGGCCCAAATTTGGCCCACGATATGATCTTGCGGGCCAAATATAATTATATCAAATATGTATTGGTGCTGGCCCGCCGGCTACAGATAGGCTATAGACATTATTTATTTAAAATGTTGTTATTATTTTATATTCTGCTTGTTCTGGATTCAATGTTCAAGCAAAACTATTATTAAACATTTATTTTAATAAGAAAAAGTTTAACATTACATATCTTGAAAGAAGAGAAAACATGCAGATGTTGTTGAACTTTTTCAATAAATATTTATTTTAGCCCACGACTTAGTCCCAGTTTTTAATTTTGGCCCTCTGTGAATTTGAGTTTGACACCTGTGCTGTAGCTTTTTGTAGCAGAAATTATGGTACTTCAAAAATGATACATTTTGCAAGTAGCTAGTTTTCACATTTCTTTTCAATTGTGATTAATCTTCATCAATGTGAAAGCATCTGTCCAATTACAGTATATTTATTTATTCATTTCATTTTATTCTGTCTAATTTTGCACAAACCCATTCTGTATTAAGGTCAACTCAAGTGCACTTAAGGTGATGTGGTGTGTGAACTAAAATAATATTTGATTGTAATATAATCCAGATGTGAAGGAAATTGTGTTCAGTGAATTGACAATGCTTTAAATACACCTGGATAAAAACAGCCGAAGAAGTAGAACAGGTTTGTGGATTAAAAAAAAAAACAGGGAGGACAAGAACAGCAGGTAGTTTAAAAGAATCACACGTGGCTAAGTGTCAAACAAAAGAGTTTTTTTTGTATCTCGGGGTATTTTCTGTCTAAGTGATGAGAGATAATAGTTGTTTGGTTTTAAGTGTCCCATTCCCACCATAAGAAAAGCTGTACGTGCACGACTGGTACTCAAGACATTTCAGCAGCACAGGAGCTTTCACGCTTCAGTACAGCTCATTTGTTCACTCTGAAAACTGTAATTCATCCTTAGAGGGCCCACATTACACTGTTTTCCGATCTGTTATAGTGCTGTTTCCTCATCACAAACATTCCCGGAGTGGTGTTTTGTTTCATTCACACATGTTTAACACACAAACTTTGCATATTTAGGTTGAGTTGTTCTCTCAAATAGAAAACGATCTATTCAACCTTGTAATGTCATGTGGTAATACAGGAAGTGCTCCATTGTTTTTCTTTATGCCATATACATTCACTAGAATCATTTGGATCATTTCAGCCCTGGAATTTATGAATCTCTGCTGAACTAAAGGTCAAAGGTAGCTGTGAACTTGAAAACTACTGATTCATGACATCACGAGGTGTAAGGGAGCATCTTGAGCTTTGGAGATGTGGAAAGCCTAATAATAAAGGTTTACTCAAACATGTGTGAATGAAACAAAACACCACTCTGGGAATGTTTGTGATGAGAAAACAGCTTTATAACAGATTGGAAAAGAGGGTAGGAGGAGGAAACATAGGCTACGTTCAGACTGTAGGGCTTAATGCTCAATTCGGAGGCTTTTTTTTTTTTTTTGCGAGTTCATTAACATTGCCAGTTAAATACAACTTGTGATCTCCAGTGTGAATTTTAAATGCCCCAAAAGTGTCCTGCATGTGCATTGGAGGACACGACGACGTCACACAGCGAGCATGCTCAATGTTTACAGGAGTAGCCTAAACGCTGGTCTTGTCTCCCAAAATACTTCTTCGTAAAATGGACATGTTACACGCCCAAGGCCGCTTAGTTTGTTTGAGTCTTTAGCCTATGTATTTGGCTCACAGGGTCTTTATTTTTTTTGACACTGGAGCCAGGGCCACTTGTAGCCGTACTCGGCTATTTCTTTGGCAGTCATTTCAAAAACCGCCCAGTTCTGATAAGACACCTCCAATTTGGCCTGAAAACAGTGATCCCCCCAAATATTAATAAACTCGCTAAACTCACTTTCCCTTCATTGACGAGACTCCGAGCCTGATGTGTAGGTGGGAGGAATGGGACTTGCCCGTTCAGACTGAAGTCGCATGTGAAAAGATCGGATATGTATCGGTTTTAGGAGCACACATCCAAGTGGCCTGGGTCACCTTTGAAAAAATCAGATCTGTGTCATTCAGACTGTCATTAAAAGATCAAATACAGGAGCATGGGGTGAAAAAAATCGGATTTGGGTCACTTCAGGCTGCAGTCTGAACATAACCAAAACATCATGGATTAAGACTCACAAGGCTAAATTTTGCGTAATTTACTAGTAGGACATTGAAGTAACTGCTAATATGACAGTGTAGGCAAAATTGGAAAATAGCATTTCTATTTCTAATTTATGTTTAAAAAGTAAAATTCTGCATTCTGTGCTCTCATGTCACAGCAAGAAGTAAGTGTAAGTTTGTGTAGGTGTAGATTTTCACTACTAAAAACAACAGACTTAATGATTTTTTATGTTAAATTCTTTTTAATAAGACAAACAGAATTCAATCAAAAGTTTTTGGTAGATCAATTTGTGGAAAAAAAAATTATATTATTATTATTATTTTTTTTTTTTTTATATTGCCCAGTCCTAAGTGAAGCTATACTGTTTTCTCATTTATATTATGGTGGCCAGATGTCCCTATTTACCCTGGACAGTCCCAGCTTTAGCCCTCTGTCCCCTCTCCCAGTGGATTTATCCAAAACCAGTGCTTTGTCCCAGTTTAATACAAAAAATATGCCAGGTGTCCCTATTTTTGACCTATTTGATACCTGTCATCAGTAAAGAGAGGCATAAATTGTTATTTCTTTTGGTAAAATACAGAAAAGCTGCTTAGAAATGACCAAAACACAAAGAAAATGTGACTATACTACTCACATGTTAGTCGTGAATAAGTCATGAATGGGCCGAGTGTGAAACAGTTTTCCTCAGTTACACACTCATTTCACATTTTTATTATTACCAACCTCCCCAAACTGAGAGTGTCCCAGTTTTTGATTGAAAATCTGGTCACCCTAATTCATAGAGTATTCTCAGTTAAAGCAATGCCTTTCTCATGGCCTCCTTAATAAACCATTTGGTTTTGCTGCAAAGGAGAAATACATTTTTGTCAACTACATTGAAACTGCTCTGAAACTAACACGTACTTGTTTATAGTTTCTGTTTGTTATCTAGTTCTATTAAACTTGACATTTGGTCTTGTCTACACATCTTTAACGTTCCGGATGTTCCACAGTATTTCATACCATCCACCTCTGTTAGCTCCTCACACAGTTCTTCTAGGCCTGCGACATAGCTGACATACCTTCATAACACTGATATTCTGACCCAGACTTCATTTCACAGCTTTATGTAAAATGTCAACAAAGTAGTTTAAAAGGATTTAGTGAAATAACACGATTTAGGGTCATGACTCTCTGGGCTTTATTTTGGTGAAATCTTTAAATATTTGTTCAGCATGCCATCAGATTATCCTCTATCTACAGTATATGGAGGGAATAAAATAAGATCTCTTATATTTGGGTATACTGGACTTTTTGACCTCGTTTGTCTGCTGCAGTTTCATATATGGAGACGTAGATTTTTTTCTTTTTGGCTCATATAGAATGTTAAAGGTGCACTGCGCAACCTTTCTGATGAAGGATCCGCTAGTGGCGACTCTCCAGGAGGGGTGTGCATTGCCTCTAGTCTGACAATACGATACATATCATAATATCCATGTCACGATTTAATATATCATGATATATCCAGATACTAAAACTAAAACAGTATAATAATATACTGTAGTCAGTAACACCTTCAGAGATCAAAATTGTATGTATGTATAATTTATTACCTTTTTTAAATCATGAGAACAGTGAATGTAACTAAAGAATTTAAGAGAAAAATATTATAAAAAAAACTATTCAGATGCATTCTGAATAGATTCGAGAATTGCACAATGACGATATATCACTGAATCGATTTTTTTTTTTTTCTTACACCCCGACTCTCCACAGATCTGAATTGTAATGTAGCATAGTGCTGTAACCTGCTTGTTTCCCTCGTGACAGACTTAATCTATATTGTGGACTGTTCTAGACAAAGCAATAACATTTCTCTGGAGACAAGCAGGCGATGGACCCTTGACTAGACATGTTACGCAGTGCACCTTTTAATAACGTCAAAGAAGAGCTGTGCAAAGTTTAAGGCTTAGTCATTTCTAATCGTCGATCATCAGTTTGGGTCTTTTTAATAAAGTGCTCTACTGCCAATCATCTGTCAGTAAAAGCAGTCCGAACTCGACCTGGACCCAAATCCAACCCTAACTCAAGCTGCCTCACCCACAGAACCAGAGTTATGTTCAGTAACTTGAGTTTTATGCTCCTCGAAGAGTTTTAGTTTCAGAAATTGTGCGCCTGTTCAGGTTAAGATGCTCATTTTAATACAGAACTCGATGGTATTGGTATCAGATTGATATCACGATACATACCATAGTATTACATGGTATAGGGTTTAGTGGTAGCACCCATCAATGATTTACACAAACTACTTTATTTCTATTATTCTTTTTTAGTATTTTGCTCTAAAATATTGTCTTTGTGTATCGTGGTTACTGTACACACACGCACACATTTATTTAGAGCTTTTCCAGCTTCTAGTCACTCAAATCGCTTTACATCAAGGAACTACTAAAGCATTGGAGTCAGTGTTTTGCCCAAGGACACAACAGCAGTATTCGTCTGTGCTTCTGCCGCCCTCTGTTAACCTGTGTTATCTTGTGTTTCAGGTTCATTGCCAGTGCGTGTGCCCGGAGTCTCCACATCCAGGCGGGCGTAGGACGGAGAGCCCAACCCAATGCTGTCCTCGAGAAAGTGTTTACATCCATCACAAAGGTCTGCTGAAAGCCAAGTCCATATACTGAATGCAAACTGTGTCATAAAAGTACATTATATTTATTTACACTTTTACACTTTTAGGGAGGTAATTAAGTGATTTGGACAACATTTAAAATTCATTTTTAGGGAGAATTACTATGTACTATACTACTATAATTACTATATTGACTTATCGTTCAGTGTATTTTTGGGCTCAGTATTTATCGTCTGTACATTTTCTTTGCTAAAATGGTGAGATTTTAGTTGTTTTGGTTGGAATATGATAACATTTGAGCTGAGTGGAGCTGAAAACCTTGCTCTGGAGCATGCATCCTTATCACGTATTTATATTGCAACATCTGTCAGCCTGGCCTTGATGGGAATTGGTAAATACAGCTATAGGCGCCTGGCTGAGTGATAAAATGCTTTTGGACAAGACCTGATGGATGTTGAGTTGGCTGTTACAAGTGTGTAAGTGTGTTTTTCACAAGTTACAAAATCATTTTATTTACTCACTTCCAGTCATAAAACATGTTATATTTATTATTAGTACTAAAATCATTTAAGTAGCAATTGCATCTAGAGTCATTTATTTTTATTTATTGAGTTGTAGAGTAGAGGGAATTAGCCAGGCTGGTCACCATCTAGTGCCTCTGCTTTGTTTCATTTCTCTCCAGCGACTAGGTCAGGAATCAGAATTCACAAGACGATTCGCAAAATCCCCAGTGCGAGTTCTGTGTTGGCAACGATTCTCGAGATCGAGGATTTAAAGCCCGAACAAAGAGAATGTTTGGTGAATTTTATCAAGGGGAAAGACGTTATTGCCCTTCTGCCTACGGGGTTTGGGAAAAGCTTAAATATACCAGTTAGCCCCGTTAGCGGCGCATTACATACGTCACGACCAAATAGCAGCGATTGGTTATATTAAAAAAAAAAGTATCCGGCTACTTTCGAGTGAAGAAATCCTAATAATAATCCTGCTGTGAGGTCAGATGGTTTTTATGAAGTGAAATTGGCTGATGAATCAGGCTAAGAGAGAATAAGCCTGTCACCATAATTACAATATTGACTTATTATTGAATATATCAAAGTATTTATCATGTGTACTGTACAATTTCTTAGTTAAAGTGTGGAGATTTGGGTCTTTTTGTTGTACTTGTTGTAATAGTGATTTCTACTGTTTATTTGTTGTAGCTCATGCCTTTTGAATGATACTATCTATTTAAAAATGGTTTACAGGGATTATCTCATATTATTGTTATTGTATCAGCGGCCTAAAGTAGTATCATCATTTATAGCAGTGTATCTCTGTAGCGATACTGCGTGCTTCAAAATTTGTTATCGTGACAGACCTAGTGGCTAAGAATTTTTTTATTGTCATTTCAGAACCCAGACACACGGCGCCTTGATGGCCTTTCGAAGCAGCTGGACTGGGACGTGCGGAAAGTCCAGCGCTGGTTCCGACACCGCAGGAACCAGGACAAACCCAGCACGCACACCAAGTTCTGTGAGAGCATGTACGTCTGACCCCTGACCTCTGATCCCCCCAGCAGGAAAACACACACACGACACGAAACTGGGGGACAGATGTGGCTCCTGTTTGCTGTTTTAGTTCACTGCCAAAAATTTAAGCTAAGTCACAATGATCTAGATGATTTTGGTTTTTATGTGTCTTAGCACTTTGTGATTTCATTTATTTTGGTGAGGGAGTGAGAAAATGCACCCCATTGGCAGATAACATTTATTATTTTAAAGGCACATTGTGTAACTTTTCTGTGGGGGTCTGTGAAACGCTTTTCTCCATGGAGATGTTATTGTTTTGTCTGGAATGTTTCACAGTATGATATTAAACCTTTCTATCTTCATGGAGAACAAACCCTTGAGCTATAAAAATGTAATGAAATAAATGTAAGATAGAGAAGTTTAATGTCATACAGCAGAACATTCCAGGCAGAGCAATGACACAGCAGAAAAGTTGCACAATACACCTTTAAGCCAAATTAAACCGTCAGAGAGTCTAGATCAAACACTTCCAAGCTATGGCTCAGGGGCTAAATTAGGCCATCAGACCAATTTGTTTTGATCCCCCAAGCTTCCAGGTGAATTGGCCCATATTACCTCAAGAAGTATTTTTACTGCAAGTCTTTGAAAACCTACCTTAATAAAGCCAATATCAAAAATTGTATGTGCCCTAGAGCTGCTCGATTATGGAAAAAAATCATTATCACTATAATTATTTTGGTCAATATTGAAATGATGATTATTCAAACGATTTTTTTTTTTGTTACACCATGCATTTATTTAGCATTTCTTTCTCTCAAAAAACACTTTGTTATTGATAATTTCTGCGAAACTTTGAAATTGAAAATAAATATAGGCTACAAATATGTACCTTAGAGCAGTTTTGCGATGTATAAAACATAAATAAAGAATAAAATATACTTTGAACATGAAATAAAACATAGAAAAAACATAAATGTATCCAAAATAAACTATATATCCAGCTGCTCTAAAATGTCTATATTTAAAAAATAAAATAAATGTACTTATTTATATTTTTTTAAAATCCCAATATAAACTAATTGTTTCAACTCAATTATTTGAGTTTGATTTAATTAATTGCACAGTCTTAATTGCACAGCCTTAATGTGCCCTATTGAGTCTCTAACCTTGATTAAAGGACCTATGGCTCATTCTAACGTGTTAATATATCAGAATTTTTCACTGTACTGACCACCAGTCTATGACTCTTAATTAGCCCTCGGGTTTGAGTTTTGATACGTGGCTCTTGATGAAAAAAGTTTCGACATCCCTGGTCTAAATCATATCAACAATTTGGCCTACGCCAGTCAAAATACTCAAGATAAATATTCTAAAAATGAAGTTTCAACAAAATATATAATGTTACATATGTATTGCAATGTCCATATTTATATTTTGAAGAGCTTTTCATTATATAATTTTTTGAGTGTGTGTATTAATAATCTTTTTTTTTACTTTTGTTTTGTAGGTGGAGGTTTACATTTTATTTGGGTATATTTATATATGGATTGCAGTTTCTATGGCAGGTGAGTTGATTTTTGTATTCTCATAATTTTTCTTTTGCAAGTATTTTAATTAAAGCCACAGTATGTAACTTTTTTAGCCCAAAATTGACTAAAATTAAAGTTTCATACTGTACTTTTATATAGTGGTATTATCTCTCATTGTTTTATTAGTCACTGTTACTATTCTTCTAGGATCCATTATTTGTCCAGAGATGTCACTAGGCAAAATAGTCAAAATTAGATATTAAAATCCAAGCAACTGTGACTTTTCTTAAAAAAAGTACACTATGTAACTTTTCAGAGGGTCCAGAGTTTCCATGCTGATGTGATTTTGCCTGGAATGTTCCCCAGTACAGTATTAAGTGCGTCTATTTTGCATTTTTTTTCTATTGCAGATGTTTTTATTGACTAAAAATACCATGAAAAACAATCATTCTTACAATACACCGAGACGCCTCTCCATAGATCTAACCTGTTTCTTGTCCAAGTTTAGTTTTTGCTTATCTTCATGGTAATAAATGAGTTTAGCGCTTAACTGTAGGACATTCCAGGCAAAGTAATAACATTTGCATGGAGGCAAACAGTTGGTGGACCCTTCACGAGAAAAGTTACACAGTGCACCTTTCAAGTAACTAAATTGTTGATGATTAATTCACTTGAGTATGAAGAAAAGTACTGTGCAAACTGACTCCAGACAATAACATATGAAATGGCTTAGAGGGAAAAAAAGCATCTGTAAAATATCACACATACTGACTTACTGTTTAATCCACTTTTGTTTATAGACTCCGTGGCTGTGGGACACAAGGCAATGCTGGTACGGTTACCCCTATCAGGTAAAGTCATGCTTACTGCAACTATTACAATTAAACTACACTGTATTTTTTTATTTATTCCACAAAAGTCAACATTTAAAGTGCTCATATTACGGTATTTTGGGTATAAATCAAATCACAAACATACCTGGAGTTGTGTTTTGTTTCATTCACACTAGGGATGTCACAAATATCGTGAGTCTCTTTGCTTAAATTAATAGTTTTGGTGATTTTAATGTCTTTCTTTGTGATTTTAATGTCTTTCTTATTGTGTAAAGCACTTTGAATTACTTTGTGTATGAATTGTACTATTCAAATAAACCAGCCTTGCTTTGCCATGGTGCAGCATTAGGTAAAAAAACAGAGGGAACTACATAGACCATGATCCTTTGCTGTTTCAGTGCTGTTTTAATACTTCATATTATAAGAGTACCAAAGGCTTTTCGGGCTTCCCAAAGGCTTTTAAAAAGGAAAAAGTAGCATATTCACAGTTTTTCTAGTTAACCTCCACAAAATATCACAATAAATATCGAACCGTGAGATGCATAATGTGAAAATATCATGTAGAGGGATTTTGATACCGTTAACACACAGACTCTGCATATTTAGGCTGAGTTCTTCTCTCAAACAGAAAACACTTTTACAACTTGTGATGTCATGTGGTGATACTGAAAGTTCTCCACTGTGTTTTCAAACTCCATACACCTTCATTAGAATCATTTGGATAATTTCAGACTTTGGAATTGACAATCTCTTCTGAAGAAAAGGTAAAAACTTAACTCGAAAACTAGCACGTCATGACATTACAAGGTAGAACAGAGCATTTTGAGCTTTGGAGATGTAGACCGACGTGTGTGAATGAAAAAAAAACGCAACTCCAGGTGTATTTTTGAAGAGGTAACAACATTATAACATGACTTAAAGTTCACAGGAGTCAATTTTGCGTAATATAGGACCTTTAAAAATCTTTGTGCGTTAAACAAACTGCTGCCAGCCCCGTAGATAAATGGACAGTGTGTTGTTTCCATGTCTTTACTGTTGAGGAATTCAGTGTTTGGATAGAGGTTACTTTGCTTGGCTTTCTGTCACTGAAGGGGCCTGTTACATGTAAACTCTCTCTATATGTATATATATTATCAGTCGCTTCTTCCAGAAAATATGACACAAAAATTCAACAAAAACTCACTACGGTGTTTTTAAAGGTGCATTGTGTAGCTTTTCTGGTGGAGGGTCAGTGTTTCACAGTATGGCATTCAATCTTTTTATCATCATGGAGACCAAACCAGACTAAGTTACAGGTTAGATCTGTGGAGAGGCAAGCCCGCTCAGTCAGAATGCCTGTTTTTCTTGGTATTTTTTGAGCTATAAAACCACCTGTAATTGAATAAAAGTAAGGTAGATCTGTTTAATGTCATACTGTGAAACATTCTAGGCAAAGCAATAACATCTCCATGGACACTCCACCAGAAAAGTTGCACAGTCCACCTTTAAGAGAGAGAAAGTTGTTGTATTCTTGTCAGTAAATTATAGTGTTTGGAGAGCTTGTAACTTGTAGTGTTCTCATAGATTGTATCTGCATGGGAAAGTGAATGCACATGATAGTCATTTTGACAAGAAGTAGAGCTTTGTGCTTGGGTACATAGGCTGGGTCATGCTAGTTTAATTATTTCATGTACTGTACTTATTATGTGTACAGCAAAAGGGCACATGGCAACAGACAGAGGAAGTAAGTCAAATGGCACAGCAGGTTAGAGCAGTGTTTGTATTTCAACATTCATGTCAACCAGACCTGCGTGATATTAGAAAAAAACTAACAAGCAAATAATGTTGAGTGTTACTAAGTTCATTATTAAAGGTCCTGTATTACACAAGCAAGCTTTGTGTTGCATTTTTTGGATGAAAAGCGCTCTATAAATAAAGTTTGACTGATTGATCGATTTAAGCTTTAAGCCATGTTAGAATGTTGTTACATCCACATACCGGGAATTGTGGTTTGTTTCATTCACACATGTTTGAGTAATCCTTTGTTATTTGTCTATCTATATCTCCAATCTCATCTCATGAAGCGGTAGTTTTCAAGTTAACAGCTACAATTCACTTTTAGTTCAACAGAGATTAGAAAATCCAGGGCTGAAATGATTAAAAATGATTGTAGTGATGGTGTGTGGAGATTAAAAGCACACTGGAGCATTATCACATGACATCACAGGGTGGAAGAGAGCGTTTTCAGTTTGAGAGAAGAGCTCTGCAGGGTTTGTGTGTTTAAACATGTGAATGAAACAAAACGCAACTCCAGGTATGTTTTTTGATGAGAAACAGCAGTATAACATAGATCAGAACACTGAGTAATATCGACCCTTTAAACGATGACATGAGCTGATCAAGATTTACTTATCAAAACAGGATAAGATAATGATGAGAGATCACTGTCACAAACACATCCAGGAGCTTTGTTTGACAGAAGACTGAAATATGAGCCTCTGGTTATCTAACACATGAATCACATGGATGTTGCCTGTTGCATGTTAAACTACAGGTTTAGCAAGTTATGTTTTTAATAGTTAGCAGTCAGACAACAGTTTCAATCAATCAATCAGTCAATCAAACTTTATTTATAGAGCACTTTTCATTCAAAAAAATGCAACACAAAGCACTTATGTTTATTTAAAGGGCCCATATTATCACAAACATACCTGGAGTTGTGTTTTGTTTCATTCACAAGTTTAACACACAAATTCTACATATTTAAGCTGAGTTCTTCTCTGAAACCAAAAACACTGTTCCACCTTGTGATGTCATGTGGTAATATGAAGCTCTCCACTGTATTTTTAAACTGCATACACATTTGGAGAATTTTAGCCTTGGACTCTCCAAACTTTACTAAAAAAAGGTCACTGTTATTTAAACTACTGCTTCATGACATCACAGGGGGGAACAGGACATTTTGAGCTTTGGATATACAGACTAATAATAAAGAATTACACAAACAGGTGTGAATGAAATAAAACACAACTCCAGGTATGTGTTTGATGAGGTAACAACATTATAACATGACTGAAAGCTCACAGGAGTCAATTCTAGAAGGAAAGAAAAATATTAGCATTGTTATTACTCACCACTGACATAAAAATGCTTAAAAAAAACCTTAATTAAAGTATTCTTTGTTGTGGTTTCAGCCGCTGACCTCTGGGATGTACTACTTTTACGTAACACAGCTGGCTTTCTACTGTTCACTCATGTTTTCACAGTTCATCGACATAAAAAGAAAGGTAAGAATCTATGTAACATTTACTATAATTTTACAAGTTTAGTTTTCAGATGCCATTCTTTTACTCCTTCTTGAGGAATATATTTTATATGGATGTAACAATAACCGAAATATAGTGATATTGTCTCATCAAAAGTCTCACAATAATATGGTGGAACATCACAATATACTTCAATCATATTGTTATGGTGCAGCAAAAGCTAAAAAAGAGGGAACTACATAGACCATGATCCTTTGGTTTTGTCAGTCCAGACTACATGGAAGAAATATAACTTTTTCAAGGCTTTTAAAAGGAAAAAGTAGCATATTCACAATTTTGTTCCACCACAGATATCGCAATAAATACTGTACTGTGAGATGTATATCGTGAAAATATCATATCTAGAGTTTTGGATATTGTTAGATCCCTTTATATTGTACCTTGTAGTAGTACTTTTACTAAAAGTTTTGGTTTCTCTTGTGTTTGTTTTTGTTCATTTTTTTTTTCTTGCTCTTGAGTTCTACAGTAATTTTACTTTTTCTAATTTTTGTGGTCTCTCCTTTGTAAAATCCCACATAGTACAATGGAGTTGGCGCGTTAGAGTTTCCTATAATAATTTTGGAAACTGAAATGATTCCATACAGACAGGTCAGGCTAGGTGAACGAAACATACATAAATAAGATTGATTCAAAGCACCTGTTTTAAGTTTCTAACAGTGAGCAATTAGATTGGTGTGAGATGAAAAGTGCCCAAGTTTGTCAAGGTTTTTGTCAAATCTTAGTATGTTGATCATTTACAAAGAATTCATGTTTTTGTTGAATAAAAATTACTTTAGTTTAAAAGTTCATTACGAAACTGTTCCGGTGATTGGTCTGTCAAATGTTTTTCTCCATGGAGATGTTATTGCTTTGTCTGGAATGTTTTACAATATGGTATGAAACTTTTATTATCTTCATGGAGACCAAACCAGACCAAGTTATAGGCCAGAGGCAAAACCACTCACAGTCAGAATTATGGATGTAACATTATCCAAATGTCACGGTACAATAATTATTGTGATATTTTGAATAGATTAACAGAATTGTACATATGCTATTTTTTCCTTTTTAAATCCCTTGACCAGTTTTCAGTGTGAATGCCATAATCTGCCATAATCCAAAGAAATCCGATTTTAAGTGTTTATTAACAGTTATTTTGTAATGTAGTAAAGTAAGTAATGGATTGTGGCCTATGCGGTTCCCTCTTTTTTTAATACTTTTAAGTGGAAAAACCTTGTCATTCGATACATTGTGATGGACCACGATGTTATTGTGAGAGTTCTGACGATACGATATCACGATATTTCGGTTATTGTTACATCCCTGGTCAGAATGCATTTTTGATGGTATTTTTGAGCTTTAAAACCATCTGTACTTTCATAAATGTAAGGCAGAGCTGTTTAATGTCATACTGTGGAACGTTCCAGACACAGCAATGACAAGCACAAGCCCCAACCAAAAAGTTACATAGTGCACCTTTAATTCTTGTATATTTTTAAAATTTTCCAACAGGTTGTAAAGTCCGTGTTACACTGATCTCATTATGGTTATTTTGGTATTATCTTTAGGTAGCGCGTGTGGTAGCTAATTGTAAAGAGTTTATAGGAAGTTTAAAGACATGAAGCGTTGCCAAGAGTTATTGTACAGGCGCGGAGAATATAAAAGGAATCTAGATAAGCAGGTCGACTCAGCACTTCAGGATGCAAAGAAGAAGACTTAACGATACTTACATAATGACATAATTAAAATGAGTCATGATTAGGGGTTATTATCAGATCTAAAATAATTTCACTGGGATAAACTCATCGAACTGTTCCACATAAGACAGACTTTGAATTGTGAAATGTTATTCAATTTCAGTGAAATTTATTTTTGTGTAGCCAAAGTGACAACAGCAGTCTTCTCTCAAGGCTTAACAAGGCTTAACGTGTTGATTTAACAAACAGAGAGTCAGAAAATCAACAGTGAATCAGTGATTGGTCAATAACTGACAAGCAGATGAGCCAACATTCACAGATCTGTGTTCAAGTTGCAGTATTTTTAGACCACAACTTGCCTATAAACTTAAAAACATCTCGATATGCTGTGTTTTAAAGATGCACTGTGTAGCTTTTGTGATGTAGGGTCAGCTACCTACCTATTGCTTTGCCTGGAATGTTCCATGGTTTGGCTTTAAACATATCCATCCAGCATTTATTCATTACAGGTGTTTCTATTGCTCAAAAATACAATCATTCCTTCTGTGAACAGCAGCGACTCTCCACAGACCTAAACTGTAATGCCTGTCTCCCTCTTGACAAAACAAGTTTCTTCTATACTGTGGAACATTCTAGACAAACAATAACATTCCCACAGAGACAATTTGGTGCGTGACCCTTCACTAGAAAAGTTTTGCAGTGCACCTTTAAGTAGAAATCAAGTAAAAAATAACATGACATACCAATTATCTATGTAGGTAGGCACATTATTGTCTTAAATTGCCATCAGAATTACAAATTGCCATCAAAATTACATTGATGCTATGACTACTTAGATTTTGGTCAAACCCAATATTATTGTTTTTAAGTAATAACACACTTTGCATCACTATATCAATGTCCATGCGATCGGTTTCTGGAATCGGCTGTAATTGATATCGCCCAATCAAAAATTCAGATGTATAGAATAAAAACAATCTAAATCAAAATAAATAACTATTCAAAGCCTTGACAATAAACATCAAATCGAACACAATACTGTACAAGCAGGGTAAAGATATAAGATTACATAACATATGTCCAGTTGGCTCTGTTCACTCTTTCTTCACAAAGCAGGAAGACATTTGGAAACACACGATGACAACTTCCGGTGGGCTCTGTTCAACTACAACTTTCAACTTTCAACTTTCTTATTGCCCCAGAGGGAAATTGCTGTGCTGCAGTGTCAGACATACAGTATATATACAATAAAATTCAATAATACACTGAACTACAACTTAAGTTTAGCTCAACAGTGCAGACATACATTCCCTTAAAAATAGGCAAAAAAGGAACAGGAGATGTAACTGCATTTCACCATGACTGGTATAAGCTATAAGAAAGCATTCATCATAGTTATGGTTTCTGAAATAAAAGAAGTCCAAGCTCTTTGAGTTCTGATCTGGCGCATTTTCAGACGCCGCCCAGAAGAAAGGATGTTCGCGATAGAAAGTCTGAGAAAATATAGGAAAAATGAGAAAATGGCCCAGTTTTCTTCATCTACATGTCATTCTAGTGTTCCGTTATGTTCAACTTATCAACAGTTACAACCATACGTCAGTTTTCATCATTTCCCCCGCTGACACACAACTCCGAGCGCACTGGGTACATGCGATTAGAAGAGATGAGAAGATGATTCCAAACAGCACATACGTATGCAATCTTCATTTTACCGCAGATAACATTTACTTCAATGGGTTTTATCACTGTTTGTAGTTATTTTAATAGATCCATGAGTCAGTAGGCGAGCCCAGTGTCGGTAACTACATCGGAAGTTGTCATCATGTGTTTCCAAACGTCTTCCTATGACTGTGGTGATGATCACATGAACAAAAATAAATGGCAGTTAAAGTGACTTCCTTGTATTATACTGTGCTGTAGGGACATGCTTGTACATAATTGAGTTAATATACTTAAACAATTCTTTTAAATCAGATTCCAGGACATAGATTGACTTCCTTTAACGTTCTGTAGGCTAATTATGTAATCGTTGTGGGAACTGTGTGGCGAAATCTTTAGCTTGAGTAGTATGACAGTGTGTATCTGTGTTTTGTCTCGGGGGTGAGTCTGGTGCTCAGTGTGGGCCTTGTGTGTGGAGCTGGAGGCTGCTCTCTGTCATGTGATTAGGAGCAGGCCTAACTCTATTAGAATGGCACAAATTCCTCACAGTGGAAAAAAATACTGTCGGACTATACTCACTTTTATGTTTATGTGGCACACTTTAGGATAACAGCAGTTTTCATTGCCAAGATTTGTTGTTAGTTTTTATTTATGTAGGTTTATTTTAATTAATTGGCGTGGGTAAGCTTTACAAAGGTTGCCTAGGATCCAACATACACACTTCTTCTTTAATATTTTACAAAGTCTGGTCAATGGTGAATGTCCCTGAGTTCAGATGGGAGTGATTGACAGGTGGATTAGCCAATTAGAGACAGACTTCCATCCGTCCATCCGTATTGAAACAAATGTCTGGTTACGAGTTAAAAATAAGGAAAAAATGCCACAGTGGACTGAAAAACACTGCACTAAACTCTTGATTTTAGGAGAGAGAAATGTCATTTTGTTTGTAAATGTTCAAAGACCAATGAGCTTCACATGAGTCACTGAAATAAACAGTTCTGATTGTGCGTGATGACCAGATTGATATCTCTCTATAAATAATTCTGGATTTGCTGTGTAATTACAGCGTAGTGTTTGCCATCAAGAAGAAGAAGGGGCAGAAGACACGCAACCTCTTCTTCACTCAAAGATTTCTCCAAATTGAAACACACTGGTGGTTCATACTTTGTCACGATTTACTCTTGTTGAATATTTGAAGCCTTAAACGTGCACCGTGTAACATTTCTAGTGGAGAGTCCATGGAAATGTTATTGCTTTAAAATGTTCCACAATACAGATTAAACCAGATTTATTACTAGAGTTAGAGCACTACATTATATTACAGTTCAGATCTGTGCAGAGGCTCCCCTATCCACAAAAGGAATTATTGTATTTTTGAGCAATAGATGCAGACATAATGAATAAATCCTAGATGTTTAATGTCATACCATGGAACATTCCAGGAAAAGAAGTAACATCTCCATGGAGACAAGTAGGTAGCAAACCCTCCACCAGAAAGTTGCCCAATACCAAAGCAGTATGCAAGTGTGGTACCAAATTTTTACTGTCTTCAAGAAAAAATAAAAAAACAGAATAATAAATTTAGAATTTTTTTCAGGAGTTCAAAGTTATCCCACACTTTCAAACACATTCTTAGCATCCTAATTATCTACTGCAGTGTTCCCCACAGAAAACTGGTTAGGCAAGGCAGTGCTGCTGAAAAAGTGAGGAGCAGGGGTGCGCGAAGATTCCGTGCGACGACCGTAGTTTTGTGAGGATTCACATGGTTCAGAGGGACGTAGTCAAGGCGGGGCCACTTGTTGTCAAGGTGGCCACCCTAACTATAAACTGCTGCGGGAAACACCGTACTGTCATGAATTTATAAGTGCTCTTCTCAACTTTCAGAGCCCAGACTGAAGTTTTGCGATGCTATGGATGACTAACATGCCAACAGTGCACTTCCTAGTTTGCGAAAGATGAAAAGCTTTCATCACAGATACAGCGATCTCCCTAAGAGCTGCTTTTAGATCTGTCACGATAATTAATATGTCGACTTATAGTTCAACATCTGAAAGCTGAAACAATATATTTTAGAGCTCAGTATTTACTGTGTGTACATTTTCTTTGGAAAAGTGTGGAGAGTTGTGTTATTTTTGTTGTAATAGAGTAAGATTTGAGCTGTAAAAGGTTGAATAAGTGACTTCATTCTGCTATTTATTTGGCTTTTCATGATACTGTCTATCTCAAGAAGGTTTATAAGAATTATCTTCCAAGAATTTTTTTGTATCAGTGACATAAAGTAAATATTATTATTATTTATCACATTATATCTCTGTAGCGATGTATCATGCTTCAAAGTTATTAGGTTGTTTTTTCAGACCTAGAGTTTGTTTCTATACCTGACAGTATCGGAGCGGTCATGTGATGTTTCAGCTGATCAGAAACATCACAGTAACATCACGTGACCACTCTGAGGAACACCTTTAGTGAGCAGTCGATACTGTCAGATATGAAAACAAACTCTTGGTCTGAAAAAATAACTTAATAGCATAAATTGTCAGAAGTCCAGATGAACCTCATTGGACTATCATGCTTCAAAATGCGTTATCGTGACAGTCCTAGCCCCTTTAATATATTTTAACTTTGTGATTTTATGTAACCAGATATTAAAACTTGCCACAAAAATGAGCTTGAAAAGAAGAAAAGAAAAAATGATGACAACTTAAAAGAACTGAACCTAAGGCGATAATAAATGAAGAGATAATTCATGAGAGAAAGGCTTGTGATCCCTCTGTTCTAATGCAGCAGCAGCTTGTTGACTTAATTGTTCATTTGTGCGACGCTCTCTCCTGTCAGCTCCACATGGTCCACCTTATGTTCTTCTTATGTCTGACTATAGTTAAACTTTCACCCACATCACCACCTCCCTTTGTCCTTCCCTTTTGTCCCTCCCTTGGGTCATGTTTTCGCTCTTTACGTCTACAATGGAGTCAGACCCCACCCACTTCAGTTTTTAGTTACTTGGAAATTTGAATGGCCCTATATTACGCTAAATTGACTCGCATTAACTTTTAGTCATGTTGAAATGCTGTGACCTCCACAAAAACGTACATGTGTTTTGTTTGATTCACACATGCTTGAGTAATCCTGCATCCTCAAATTCAGTTTAAAACAACTTCAGCTGACCAAAGCGCTTCACATCTAAGTCAACAAACAACAGAACAAACAGATGTACAGATAACAAAATACCTGAGAAAACTACAATAACACAGCAAGATATCCTGTGCAGCTAGTTTTTAATGACAGGGAGAAGAGGTGAGTTTTAAATATCTTTTAGTCAAACCCTCTGTCATCAAGTGATAGTTTTAAAGTTGACCTCACTTCTACTGATTTTCTCTACAAAACACTAAAATGCTTTCACGTTGTTTACCTTAAGAATATACTAGTGTATATATTAGGGATGTAACGATATCCAAATCTCACGGTACGATATTATCATGATATGCATCTCACGGTATGATATTTATTGAGATATTTTGGAGAGGAGGAATTGTAGATAGGACACTTTTTTTGCTTTAAAAATACCTTGACAAGATTTTGGTGTGAATTATTTCCATCATAAACCCAAGAATTCAAGTAAAAAACATATTTCTTCATGTTTTCTGCACTGAAATGAATCATGGGATATGTAGTTCCCTATGTTTATAAGCTGTTGCTAGTAGAAAACCATGCATTTAAGCAAAGAAACTTGTAATTCGATATATTGTGACGGTCCATGATGTTATTGTGAGACTTTTGACGATACGATATCACGATATTTCCCTTATTGTTACATCCCAAGTGTATATACAGTATATATCATTTTAACTTTTGTTCAGTTTGCAATTCCAGGGCTGCAAATAATTAAAATGTTTCTAGTGAAGGTGTATAGAGTTTAAATATAGGAGCATTTTCTGTATCACCATTCAATGACATCACTAGGTGGAGCAGAACATTTTCCATTTCAGAAAAGAGCACAGCCTAAATATGCAGGGTTTGTGTGTTAAATGTGTGAATGAAACAAAACAGAACTCCAGAACAGTATGTTTCTGATGAGGACACAGCAGAGATCAGGGGTCTCCAAACTTTTTTCTCCGGTGTGCTAAATTTACAAAACTAAAATGCCAGAATGCTGCTAGTTTTAGGGGTCACAAGAATTTGAGATTATAAAAGAGCCACGGCAAGTATTAGATGAGGAGCATTTAAATTGTTTATGTTTTAGGGAAGGGGGTGGAGCTACAGGTTAGAGCCCCTGGCATAGATAGTGAAAATAGTGCAATATAAATGCCCTTTAAGTGGCATTTAGGCATTTAGTATACTTTTGTTTTATATAGATTCACTCAGTGGTTTGAAGTTATTAAAACATACTGTATGTAACTTTTCCGCTGAGGAGTCTGTTTGCCATCTGTTTGTCTCCATAGAGATGATTGCTCTGCCAGGAATGTCCCAAAGTATAGCATTAAACTCGTCTATCATTTTATTTTATGTTATTTACCGTATTCAGTTACAGATACCACAAACATACCTTGAAATACATGTATTACTACTGTGAGCGGACTTGCCTGTCCACAGATCTGACCGGTAACTTGGACTAGTGCTGTCACCTGCTTGTTTCCATGGAGATAACAAAGCAATAGCATCTCCTTTAAACATTTACTGTACTTTTATTCTACACAGACTAGCCTGATGGTTTGAAGATGAAACTTTATGGGCGTTTTTGTCAGCAAACTATTTAGTGAAGCGCTCAGTTAACATGACAGTTAGATATGTAGGTACATTTTTGTTCACAGTTTGAAATATTTAACCCATACTTCACCTCTTGCCTCAAGGCGGTCTGTCAAGAGTAGCTTTCCAGAGGCTCAGTACAGAATTTTTATTGTCTTAAAGAGTAAAAACAGGTCCAAAGGTATATCTCACTTTCCTAACGCATTCTTAACATCCTGATTATCCACTATCATGAACTTGTAAGTGCTCTTCCCAACTTTCAGAGCCTAGACTGAAGTTTTGTGATAGTACTACAAAACAGTTACTATGTTAACAACGCACTTCCTGGTTTGTGGAGGATCAAATGATTGCCTCAAAGCTGTCAGGAGCAGCTTTCAGGAGCCCATATCCAGATCTTGAGACCATTTTTGCGCATTTTTTAACACCAAGATATAATTAGATTAAACCATAGACTGTATATACACTATAAATAGACATAATCTCTCAAACGGGAAGTAAGTATGGGTGCGCTTGTGGCTCCATCGATTGTGGCTCCATGACTCCAGCTCCAATTCACTTTGTATTGAAAAAACGTCTCCCCTCTCTCTTGTAGCTTCTGTCAGGCTCTTCATTTTGGTCTTAAAATGTTCGTATTAACCCGCTCTAAATTATCCTGGGGTTTTTATTTCAGTATTTTCTCTGTAAATAAATTCCTATTCCTAATATAGAACTATAGACTCCAAATTCATTTGATCCTTTACCTTCAAGCCTCGATGAGCTTCATTTGACTGGAGCCGAACGCTATGGGTGCTCCCTTAGTCCGCTTTGTTATACAGTCTATGGCCTAAACATAATATCCAGAGAAACACAATCCTACCTCAAGTTTGGTTGTCTACGAAGATTTGAGTCTAGTCATCACTGAATCTCCCAGAGTTTTGATTGACAGCTAGATTAGCCAATCAGGGACACACATGGTTCGTCCTTATCGAAACAAATATGACTGCTTACTTCAGAATCAATGTGTTAAGATCTAAACTCCGCTGCTCTGAGGTGAGAGATTTTTGTTTCTAATCGGTGACAAATGAGCTGCTTCATTTGACATGTGTCACTGAAATAAACTAATTTGATTGGTTTGGACTCAAAACATGATTGATCAGACTGATGTTAATCTGTATAAAGAGAGATCATTTCAATAATAATAATGCATAACACTTGTATAGAGCTTTTCATAACACTCAAAGCCCCTTCACGTAGATCGAGACACTAACAAAGGAAAGAAACTAATAAACAGGAGATGCAGTTATTTATTTAAAGGCATTTTGGATTCACCAGACAATAGTCCAACTCAAGTTTTGACAGATTACGTAACTCAAAACTATACAAACTTGTTGCTATTAAAAATACTATCTTTAACATGATTTTTTTTTGTTTTGCGTCTCCCGTAGGACTTCCTGGTCATGTTCATCCACCACTTGGCGACGGTGGGCCTGATCAGCTTCTCTTATGCCAACAACATGGTGCGCGTGGGCAGCCTGGTGATGTCCGTGCACGACGCCTCAGACTTCCTGCTGGAGGTCAGAGACACTCGATCCCCCAAAGCCCTGTTTTCTCATGAGCTCATCTTCTAACCACACAGGCCCAGTCACTTCCTCTGGGCTCCAATTCAGTTAAATGGTTTACAAGTTACAAAGCATGACACAGCATGACACAGCTGAGCAGGGTTAGGTGGTCTTAAAATGGGCATAGTATGACCAGGTAGTTTTGGTAGAAGTGTCAAAATAAAATGTATATTCTAGAAGCACAGTTTTGGGAGTAAAAATCTAATAAATTTTCTTTTTATTTATACTTTTGCTTGTATTATGTTCATATTTTAAGTTATAGAGTAGCCAATAATTTTATTGAAGTAAGAGTAACGTTACTTCAAATAATATTATTCAACTTGATTTTTAAAAAGTTTGTAAAAATGTACTCAAGTAAGAGTAACTTAAAGAGTAACTGTCATGACTTAACATCTCATTTATGATTCTAAATTTATGTAATTTGAAGGACAGAACATTAAATAATGCTGATATTTTCAAGGATAGACACAAAAAAATAAAAAAAACCTACATTATATCTGAAGGAGTGGTGTAAGAAACCCAGATGTTCAAATTGTTTTGCATTGTCAACGCAACACTTTAGACTTAATCACAGAGGGGGATTGCTGTTGCTTAAGTAAAAAATATTGCTCAAGTTGAAGTGAAATTACTGCTAGAAAGGAACTCTGAAAAGTACAATTTCTTTAAAAAGTTACTCAAATAAATGTAATGAACACTGCCATGAGTCTGGTGATACATATCACCTTATGCATGTCACGATACAATATATCCCGATATATCCCAATACTAAAACGGAAGACAATATATTAAATTGAATAATTACTTATAATAATTTTGTCATGTACACCTTCACAAACACTAAATTATATTACATTAATTCATTTATTTAGTTTTAAATCATGAAAAGAGTAAATGTAACTGGAAAAATGTGAAAAAATATTATTTTAAAAAATCTATTCAGACACATTTTGAATCGATTCAAGAATTGTGCAATGTAGTATCGCATTATATCACTGAATTGTTTTTTTCTTACACCGCTACTGTGCATCGACCAGGACCATTAGCATCTGAAAAGAATTAAGCTAAATTAATACAAGAATCCTATTTTATATTTTGTTCATGTCTAAACTGCAGGGTTAGTTGTTTTTTTTGTTATTTTTAGCTGTGAAAGATAAATTAAACAATACTTTTTTTTAAATAATTGCTTTTGAAAATTGATAATTGCGGTATTACAGATTGAAATTTAGATTAAATTGTGATTGATTGTGCAGATCCTTATCAGATAATTAAATAATAATTGAACTTATTACAAACAAATAAAAACATCTTGTCTGGCAGGTGGAAAACTATGACACAGTTAAGTCTCTCAAATCAAATTCCAGTTCAAATTTAAAAAGCCATTATTGACGGATCACTATTCAACAGCTGTTTTTTTTTACTTGAGATAACAGCTCTTGGTTAACAATGGGACATGAATCAGGTCTAAACCAGGTCTAAACTGAGACTAAACAAACTCAAACTCCGGTTCAAACAAAGATAATAAACAGCCTAAACTCCATCTTGTGCTCTGCGAGTTGTTGATAAATGGAGCCATCCTTCATGTTCTGACATTACTTTCTTTAAATATGTTTTTCTTTCCCTCAGGCTGCCAAAATGGCCAACTACGCCAAGTATCAGAGAGTGTGTGACTCCATCTTCATTGTGTTCAGTCTCGTGTTCTTCGTCACCAGGCTGATCATTTATCCCATATGGTGAGTGTGAAAACAGGTCTGTGCTGTCTGTGATTTTAAAGCTTTTTTACTTATATCAGTCTATGAAACTGTGCAGCATAACATATATTTGATTGCTTTTTTGTTTTAATTCATAGTGTTTAAAGCAGTGGTGGAACGTAATGAAGTAAAAGTAGCAAATACTATATACATTGTAGGTATCTGTGCTTTATTAAGTTGATACTTTTTACTTTTATTTCACTACATTTGAGAGCAGGTATCTGTCCTTTCTCCACTATATTTTTGAACAGGACTCAAAAGTTAAATTCTTTTTTATTATCGTTTGAGTCTGCTGAAGGGTCTGAGGTGTAACTTTTCTCATGATCATAGTTAGAGCAAACAAAAATATACAATTAAAAAAAAGAAAATCCATTTAAATTATTTCTGTTTAACAAAATACAGCACAGAATCACCACTTGAAACTTTATTAGAGCTCAAAATCGCGTATACTTGTTACTCTTGAAGTACTTTAATACTTTTGCTGAAAGGTGCACTGTGTAACTTTTTCATTGAGGGCCCGTCACCTGCTTGTTGCTATGGAGATGTCATTGTTTTGCCTGGAATGTTCCACAGTATGACATTAAACAGCTCTGCCTTACATTTATTCAATCACAGGTGGTTTTATAGCTCAAAAATATGTAGAAAAACAAGGATTCTGACTGTCCACAAATCTGACCTGTAACTTGGTTTGGTTCGGTCTCCATGGAGATAGAAAGGTTTAATATGATACTGTGAAACCAGAAAAGTTACACAATGCACCTGTAAGTAAAGACAAGTAAAAGGTGTGCAGTAATTATTGAGTACATATACTTAATTACATCATATACTGAACAAGTCGATGTAATAATTATTATGTCAGGCCTGTTTCAAAATGAGCACCTTGGTTAAATACAATTACTCAAACATTTTCACTGACAATGTTGGAGCAAAAAATAAACACCATGGTAGGAAGTTGCCTGAGGTTAACATTTTTTTTACTGCACACTTTCGATTCTGTGTTCCCTCTTGAAGCTGGTTTTACTCGCTCTCGCTCCCTCCTTGCTGTCGTCCTTGTCGTTTTGATATGATGCAACTGATCTCAGTTTGTAAATGGCCCATGTGGTAATTTCCATGCGCCTACATCAGTGCGTGACTCATTCTCCCGACAGAGGCACCACTTTGAATTTAGCTGAATGTAGAGTGAGTCTGTTTTATTTTAGTTTCAGTCAGTGAAATGTCTGGCAAATGTTATATATTGACAAAAAACATTAAAACTTTTTGTTCAAATTATGATAAGAAAGTGGAGTAGAGAATGGAAAATGGACTTTATTTTAGTTTAGTCAGTGAAATGTCTTGCAAATTTGTTTAACTACATAAAAGACATTAACTTTATTATACATATTATCATCTCTAGAAATTTAATTACTCATGTTATTATTATGTATCATTGTGCTGCCTGAAAAAATAACTTTCCTTCTGGATGAATAAAGTATTATCTATCTCTGTTTATCTATCTATTGAAATTTTCGATTCAAATTATGATTATGATTACTGCGAATGGAGTTTATTTTCGTTTTAGTCAGTGAAATTTCATGCAAATTTTTTCAGCTGTACAAAAATTTGGATTACTTCACATGCTTTGAGTAAATGTCAGAGAGCGTACTTGTACGTTTATTTGAGTACTACTGCATTTGAGGAACTGTACCTCTTCCCGATGTGAGTCTATAAGTGACAAAAGCTTTATGTTGACAATATGAAGTGATTTGAACATTTGTGCTTCTTCGGATATGGTTTAGATTTAGTCAGTTTTGTGGTCTGTACCAGATTTAAAACCCCGCTTCCTTTTTTTGACAAGATAGACAATAGACTAAAATGAAAGCATGATTTTTTTTTTCATTATGGTTGCTTTAATCGCTCTAAAAAAGTGACAGAATAACATTAGTTCTTACAGGGAATGGGCTTGCATCTCCACAGACCTGAAATGTTGTTCCATTTAACAGTATGGCATAAAATTTATAGCCAGGCTGGAGCCACCTAGTCCCTCTGCTCAATTTGATTTCTCTCCAGTGACTAGGTCAGGAATTGGAATACACTAGACTGTTTGCAAGAACCCTGGAAGTGCGAGTTCAGGCACCAACCAATCAGCGAAAACCCATACATTCTGTGTTGGCAACGATTCCCAAGATTGAGGATTTAAAGCCGGAACAAAGAGAATGTTCGGTGAATTTTATCAAGGGGAGAGACGTTATTGCCCTTCTTTCTAGAGGATTTGGGAAAAGCTTAATATACCAGTTATCCCCGTTAGCGGCGCATTACATACATCACGACCAAATAGCAGCGATTTGTTAAATTAAAATAGTACCCACCTACCATCGAGCGAACGAATCCTAATGCTGCGAGGTCAGACGGTTTCTACGAAGTGAAATCGGCTGATGAATCAGGCAGTAAAACTTGCGTATCTCTATGCTGAGTGTTCCAATGTGTGGTTTTAACTTTGTATTTCCATCAAATCATACAGTTGACTTTCCACCCCCTGAAAGTTAAATGTCATCACTTTAATGGTTAGTCCTACCAGTTATGTTAAAGGTCCTATATTACACAAAATTTACTCTTGTGAGCGTTAAGCCAAATTAAAGTAATCCTTTATTATTACTTTGTCTACATCTACATCTGTAAGCGCTTTGTGTTGCATTTTTTGCATGAAAAGCGCTCTATAAAGTTTGATTGACTGATTGATAGATCTCCAAAACTCAAATTGCTCTGTTCCAAATTGTGATGTCATGAAGCGATCGTTAACGGCCACATTTTCCCTTTAGTTCAGGAGAGGTTGGCAGTTCTAGGGCTGAACTTATCCACATGATTCTAGTGAAGGTGTATTGAGTTTTAAAATACGGTGAAGCACTTCCTGTATTACCACATAACGTCAGATGAAATTGGAGCAGAGTGTTTTCAGTTTGAGAGAAGAACTCAGCCAATATATGCAGGATTTGTGTGTTTAAACATGTGTGAATGAAACAAAACACAACTCCAGGTATGTTTTTGGAGTGGAAACAACTTGATAACAGATCAGAAAATGGCGTAATATAGCCCTTTAATTTATTTGGCCACTCTACCCATCTCAAGATAACTCAATCCAAACTCAAGTGCCTCCAACCGAGAAAAGCATTGAGAAGAAGCACAATGGTGAAGCAGTGAGAGGCTAGAGTAACTGGAGCTCCTATATTCAGTGTCTTGTGTGGATGAGTGATAAGAGCTAGTGTTGCCATTCAAGGTGCTTGGTTTGTAAGTGCACACCGCTGTGGGGGGCGTGGGCCAGCTGACATACACCTGTCCATCACCTGCGTTATGAAAGGAACACGTGACCCCCAACCAAGAAGAAGAGAATACAGGACATGGGAGAAGACAGGTGTAGACTTAGACTTAGACAAACTATATTGATCCACAAGGGAAAGTATTTTGACACAGTAGCTCACACTTCACAATATAATATAATGTCAAAGGGTAAAAAATATAAATGGTAATAATAAATTCTAAATAAGTAGCAAAAAAGACAGCAAGAGACAGGTGTAAAATAAGACATAATTATATAAATGCATATCTACAAGTCAAAATAAAATGGAAAAATTATATTATTAAGTAATAAAATATAAAATCTCAGCTATATACAGAGGTCATAGGAAGACAGTAGGGCTGGGTATCATTAAGAAGTTGCTGATACGATACATACCTTGATACATAGACCACGATAGAATACATATGTCGAAACGTTGCACTTTCGGTTCAATATGATGTATTTCAAATCTATTTGATACGGTTCAATTAAAAATAAAGGCTAAATCATCGCTCTGATACTAAAAGTCTTTGTTAAACCGCTTCTTGTGCAAAGTTAATATGAAACACAAACATTTTAAGCATAAAAACTGTGAAAATGTGTCATAAAAACGAGTTTCCTTAATGTGAACAACAACAAAACCAGAAAACAACAACAAAACTTTAGCTGTGTAACAAAATAATTCAGAAAAAAATATAACAAAAAATACTCTTAGTGATACGTCGATACAGCTGCCCATGATATCAATACTGTATCATCACATTAAACAATAAGATATATTGATATTTCGATATTTTTGCACACCCCTACAAGACAGTGCAACAATGATATGATGATTGATATGATGAGTTGTTGTACATCTGTATGATTGTATTTACATAGTGCACCTTTTCCTTTTTTTTTTTTTTTTTTTGTCTTATCTTATTTTGGGCTTAATTAACCCTAGTTTAGTCCTGTTTAAAGGTCCCAAAATTGACTGTTGCTGTTGACTGTTGTTACCTCATCAAAAACATACTCAGAGTTGTGTTTGTTTTCATTCACACATGTTTGAGTAACCCTTCGATATCAGCCTGTGTCTCATCTCTAAATCTCAAAATGCTCTTTTCCACCTTGTGATCTCATGAAGCGGTAGTTTTCAAGTGTCAGGGGGCGTCTTACACCTGTTCATCACGTGTTTGAAAATGTGATCTCCAACCAAGAAGAAGCGAATACAGGATAGAGAAGAGGAGAGTTGTATTTTTATATTTTCATTGTCACTTTTTTCTTTTCTTTTTTTTTTGTTATAGTTTTATGTTAGGCTTAATTAATTCATCTCAAAATGTTCTGTTCCACCTTGTGATGTCATGACGTGGTAGTTTTCATGACCGAAACCAAGCACTCAACACGGAAAACACTGGATAGAGGAGAGGAGGTGTGGTCAAACTGCGGGGGTAGGATTGTCTATAAAGTCTCGAAAATTAAAGGTGGACTGTGTAACTTTTCTGGGAGAGAGCCCGCCACAAGCTTGTTTCCATGGAGATATTATTGCTTTACTTGAAAAGGTTTCACAGTATGACTTTTAAACTAATTGGAAAACAACTTGACCTGGAGACATTGCAGGCTTGTCTCCATGGAAATAGATTACTGTAATGCCATACTGTGGGACATTTTAGACAAAGCAATAACACTTGCATGACAGAGAGGTGGTGGACCCTCTACCAGAAAGTTACATAGTGCACCTTTTAAATAATAATTGATAAAACTAGTAATTAAACTAGATACTTAAGTTTTTAGTATTATCATTGTGCATGCAAATTGGGCTAGTGGCGCTCCTGCTTGTTACCATGGAGACGGGTTTGATGCCATACTGTGGAATATTCCAGGTGAAGCAATAAGCTCTGCATGGAAACAAGCGAGAGGCAGGCTTGTCCTTAATTAACCCTGGTTTCATTATGTATTTGTTGTTGTTTTAACAATCGTGAAGAATTAAGTTATTTCTGAATTTCACACTTTCTGATTTCATGACCTGGTTTACACTTTAATTGGATCCTCGTCGTCTTCGTTAACCCGGGCTGCTTATGGGTTATTTTTAGTTTATCAATAATATTTTTAATATGGTTAAGTAAAGTCTGGGCTTTTCATTGTCTTTCAGCAAACAAAACATCTTATCTTATCTTATCTTACTATATCCGAGTCTTTGCTTCTAAGTTTAGTTCTTTCACTGTTTACACCCTGATTGCATTGTATTGCCACTGTGGGACCTAGTGGGAATTATTAGAAGTATCACAACCGTCACTGCAGCTCCAGGAGACCTCATTAACCAAATCATTTCAGCTTCAACCCCGAAGGGAGATTTTTTGCTGTTCCTTTATTCTACGTGCATTCATCAACGTCTGTAATTGGATAACCTGGAAAAAAAAAAAAAAAAAACATGAAGCAAAAATATATATTTCAGTTGTCCGCAATTTAGCATAACTTTTGGCCGTCTATCTGATTTTTACGGTCTTAAAAACGTAAAAAATTTTTCCTTTTTTTTCCACAGTTTGCAGGAGTCCAAACTTATTCCTCACATAACTTATGCATTCCCAACATCATAATGATTTACTACGATGAGTTTATAAGTGCTTTTCACAATTTTCTAATAATAACTACCATGCTAACACACACTTCCTGATTATCGGACTGTAAAATGCTTTTTAAATAGATGCACACAGTTAGCCAGGCTGGTGCTACCTAGTGTCTCCGCTCAATTGCATTTCTCTCCAGCAACAAGGTCAGAAATCGGAATACACTTGACGGTTTGCAAGAACCCCGAAAGTGTGAGTTCAGGCACCAGCCAGTCAGTGAAGAGGCATACATTCTGGGTTGGCAACGATTCCCGAGATCGAGGATTTAAAGCCGTAAGAAAGAAAATTTTATCATGATGGAAGATGTTATTGCCCTTCTTCCTACGGGATTTGGGAAAAGCTTAATATACCAATTATCCCCGTTAGCGGTGCATAACATACGTCGCGACCAAATAAAGTACCAGTCTCCCGTCGAGCGAACGAATCCTAATGCTGCGAGGTCAGACTGTTTCCACAAAGTGAAACCCGCTGATGAATCAGGCTAGCAGACAATACACAGCAGACTTATTTTGACCTCAAGAGCAGCTTAAACAATATATTTGTACTGGGGCAAGACTAATTTTGCTCAAAAACTAAAAAAGTCAGGTACACAGGCCCTAGCTAGAGGAGTATTCTATAGTGTATATGTGTTTTAGATTGAAAGCGGAGCACCCAAAGGAGATCCACACAGAGTTTTGCACACATGTCAATTCTGCAGGATTACTCCATTTCCCTAACCAAAACGTGTGCAAATCATTATCTTAGACTATGGCTTAGACTTAGACAAACTTTATTCATCCACAAGGCAAATTACTTGGACACAGTAGCTCACACATCACAATATAATATAATAACAAAGAGCAACAATATAAATGGTAATAATACATTTAAAATAAGTAGCAAAAATAGCAAGAGACTCGTGTCAAATAAAGTATAATTGTAAATGTTTAAGTACATCATGTAACTTTTGTGGTGGAGGGTTTGTCAAATGTTTTTCTCCATGGAGATGTCTGAAAACATAAATGTAAATGTACAGTGTGTATTACCCATGTTTGCAAACCATATGCAAACTCAACATCTATAGAAACTGTGTGGATACAATGTCATAATTTGAGTAAAATGCTAATGCTTTTGTTAATTTAGTTTACAGAATTTGCATGTTTACACACAAACTTGCATATTTAGTTTGAGTTCTTCTCTCAAACGACAATGATATAGACAAACTAATAATAAAGGACTACTCAAATAAGTGTGAATGAAACAAAACACAACTCCAGGGATGTTTTTGAGGAGGTAACAGCATTTTAAGAATCAATTTTGCACAATATTGGACCTTTAAATGGTTCAAAAAGTCTGGATAATTCAAAATAAAGTATCTTAAATTGTAAAACTCTCTGTCTGTGTTTATTTCCAGGGTGCTGAACTCCACCATGTTCGAGAGCTGGGAGATCGTGGGCCCGTACCCGTCCTGGTGGGTGTTTAACTTGTTGCTGCTGGTGCTTCAGGTTCTTCACATCATCTGGTGCTACCTCATATTACGCATCGCTCTGAAGGCCATCGCACGCGGAAAGGTCAGACTCGCCTCTTTCTGCTTCTAAGGGGGGGTTACTGTGTAGTCACTGTGGTTAGATTTGGTGTTTTGGTTTGCTGATACTTCGCAGCTGACGTCGAGAAGCTAACTGGAAGCACTGCTCTGTCTGAAGCTCAAGTTAGACTTTAATCTTTGAGCTTTATTTTAACTCACTCTGACCAGAAGGAGTTGATTTGGTTCACACACACATTACAGTCACAGTCACAGTTTTTCAGTAAGTCACCTTTTGTTGAAAATCAAACTCCTTAACGGGAAAAGGTGCAGTTTACAAGCCCAGTTTATGACACATACACTGTTTTTAAGGGGCCCATATTACACATTTTTCTGATCTATGTTATAATGTTGTTTCCTCATCAAAAACATACAAACATGGAGTTGTGTTTTGTTTCTTTCGCACGTTTAACACACAAACTCTGCATATTTAGGCCACATTCTTCTCTCAAACAGAAAACACTCTGCTCCACCCATAGACTGTACACAAGAAGTACAGGAGCGAATTTGGAGCCAGGCCCCATATTTGGAAATTCAACTACAAATAAAATAGCAACCACAAGAGCCAGTCATGATTGAGGTTGTTAAATGTGTCTGGCCTTCTCACCAGAAAGCGGAAAGGGGGCTTACTTGGCAACGAGCACACCAGCTGTCAGTCAAACCTGTTCCTAACGCTAGTGGGCGCGATCTCATGGAAAGAAGGCGTCTCATTGGTCCGTTATTTATGTTCATATCTTGATTTAAGGACAAAATAGCGAAATGAAAAAATCAGGATCATGTAGAGCGGGTTAATATGAAATTTTAAGACCAAAATGACGAGACTCGCAGCAGCAGTTACAGAGAGAGGGGGCGACAATATTCCAAAGTGTTTTTAAACTCTGTACACCTTCACTAGAATCATTTGGATGATTTCAGCTCTGGAATTGTTAATCTTTACTAAACAAAAGATAAAAGGGTCACTCCATGCCAAATCTCCGAATGGTCCCACCCAACTATCTCAGATTTGACTGAAAAAAGGAGGTTCTAGGTCTAGGAGGTTCACACACTTTCCAAAAGGACAAGTCCCAAATTTTAGCTCCCGACTCCTTATAGTTTTGTCATTACAAGATATTTTGTCAACTCTGCCCTGACCAGTTTTGAGCAGAGTTGTCCAAGGAGCCACTTTCGGAGATTTGGCGTGGAATGACCCAAAAGGTAGTTGTTATTAAGATGAAAACTACCGCTTCATGACATCACAAGGTGGTACAGAGCATTTTGAGCTTTAGAGATGTAAACAGAATAATAATAAAGGTTTACTCAAACATGTGAATGAAACAAAACACAACTCCAGGTCTATTTATTATAACGAGAATCAGTTTTGTGTAATATTGGACTTTTAATTGTCAGGTTTGAAATGTCTGGCTTAATCTTTCTTTTAATTCTCTTTCTTGTCTGTGTGCGTGGCTGTTAGCAGATGCAGTTCTCTTCACCTTCTGAACTGTGGGAGGGCATCCTTGTGTTTTTCTCTGTGTATGCCCAGTGATCCTCCTCTTCTCTCCTGTCCACTGCTTTACTTCAAACTCTGTCCGCTTGGCACCTTTACCTACGCTAACCATTGCTGCTTGTAAGTGTTTTAAAGCTTCAGTTTCCTTTCAGTAGCTCGCATACACGATCTATAGAGAAGTGGGTAGTGAGGAGTTAAGCACAAAGCAAAACAATGTTCTTTGTGCATTACTACTTTAAATACAAAATATTCTGAAATCCTGAATCCGTGTGTCATTTGTTCATTTGTTTTTCAAAATAAAACCAAAAATAAGAAAATGAAAAATCAACAGTTTTCTTCATTATTTGTCTCCAAAACCAAAATGAAAAAATAGATAATGATTTGTTTTTTTTTTGGTTAGCTGGACTTTTGAGCAGCATACTGACTAAACCAGGACTAAACCAGGACTAATCCAGGACTGAGTGTCGGGACAGGCTGGAGGTGCACCCAATAGATTGTCGGATGATCAGAACCGGGACTGAGACCGGGACTGTTTGCAGCCGAGTGTGAAGCGGCTGGGATGAGGATCAGCTCTTCCAAATCTGAGGCCATGATTCTTGACCGGAAAAAGGTGGCTTGCCCTCTCCCGGGACTGAGACCGGGACTGAGACCGGGACTGAGACCGGGACTGAGACCGGGACGGACCGGACGACCGGACTGAGACCGGGACTGAGACCGGGACTGAGACCGGGACTGAGACCGGGACTGAGACCGGGACTGAGACCAGTTTAGTCCTGGTTTGGTTCTGTTTTAGTCCTGGATCAGTCCTGGTTTAGTCCTGTTTATCAGTCCTGGTTTAGTCCTGGTTTAATCCTGGTTTAGTCCTGGTTTCAAGTCCTGGTTTCAGTCCTGGTTTAGACCTGGTTACCTCCGCCAAGGTGGTTATGTTTTTTGCCGGCGTTTGTCTGTTTGTTTGTTTGTTTGTCTGTTAGCAACATAACTCAAAAAGTTATGGACCGATTTTGATGAAATTTTCAGGATTTGTTGGAAATGTGAAAAGGAAGAACTGATTTCATTTTGGGGGTGATCCGGAAGAAATCCTGGATTCTGGATCACTTTAAAATTTTAGTTAACATTGTGGTAAATGGGGCCAAAAATTTTGTTTCTCAATATCTCGGTTAATTATTGACCAAACCCCATGAAATTTGACTCAGGGATGGACAATGGGATCCTCTTTCATATTCCAAAGGCTGATCCGGATCTGATCCAGAAGACTGATTTTATCGCAATTTATATAAAAAATGGGGATAGTCCTTGGCGGAGGTCTGCGCTCTCTGAGTGCTTTTCTAGTTTAGTTATGGTTTAGTTCTGTTTTAGTCCTGGATCAGTCCTGGATCAGTCCTGGTTTAGTCCTGGTTTAGTTCTGGTTTAGTCCTGGTTTAGTCCTGGTGCAGTCCTGGTTCCATCCTGGTTCCGTCCTGTTTTAGTTCTGTTTTAGTTCTGTTTTAGTCCTGGTTTAGTCCTGGTTTAGTCCTGGTTTAGTCCTGGTTTAGTCCTGGTTTAGTCCTGGTTTAGTCCGTATGCGGTGCAAAAGTCCGGCATTGCAGTTTAAGTCACGGAAACAGGAAACGGCCGTTATCTGTTTTTTCCATTATTCATTTAAACAAAATCAAAAACTGAAAACATTAATCATTATCATTTTTTTTTTTTTTTTTTTCCATTTTGGTTTTGGAGACAAATAATGAAGAAAATTGTTGTTTTTTCGTTTTCTTATTTTTAGTTTTATTTTGAAAAAGGAATGAATGAATGACACACAGATTATTGTCCTATATTATGCCAAATGGATTCTTGTGAGTATAATGTTTCCTGGTCAAAAACAAACCCGGAGTTGTGTTTTGTTTCATTCACAAATCAAAGGTTTGTTTGTGATGAGGAAACAACATTATAATAGCATAGATCTGAAAATAGTGTTATATTCTCTTTTTTAAAGATGCTTTTTTTTTTAAAGAGAGTTTAAAGATGCTGAATTTAAGCTTTTTCTGGTTCAGGCTCGTCTCCATGGAGATGTTATTGCTTTGCCTAAAATCTTACACATTATGGCATCAAACTAAACTCTAACTTACTACAGTTACAGGTGCTTTTTATTCCTGAAAATGTTTTGAAATTATGCATTGCAAATAGGCCCGAGTCTCCACAGATCTGACCTGCAATTTGGCATCAGAGCGTCACCTGCTTGTCTCCATGGAGATTGTAAAATATTTAACAATACTGATTTAGATTTTTGATATATACAGTTTCTACTTTTCATTCTTGGACTTAATTTTGATTATTCATAATTTACTTACTCAGGCTGCCAATAGGATTTTTTTTTAAAGAGTTATAATTTAAGGACATAAAATACTAATATAAAACAATAATAATCAATATAATAATAAGTTATGTGATAATTTATAATGTAATGAATTAAAAAGATGGAATTTGGTCAGTATTGTTTGATGCTAAAATATAAATATATAAATACTTTTTTTGGTCAATATTGAAATGACCATTCAAATGATTATTTTTTAGTTACACAATTAATTTTTTCAGCATTTCTCTCTTTCAACAAAAAAAAAAAAATATATATATATATATCTATATAGGTTACAGATATGAACCTTAGAGCACTTTTGCGATGTATAAAACAAAACAAAAAAAAGAATAAAATAGACTTTGAACAAGAAATAAGGCATAGAAAAACATAAATGTATCCAAAATAAACTATATATCCAGCTGTTCTACAATCTCTATACTTAAAAAAATCAAATAAAGATACTTATTTATATATATATATATATATTTATATAAAAAATCCCCAAATAAAAAAAGAGATTGACACACATTGAAAGCGTGATCAAAATTCACTTAATTACACAGCCTTACTTTATACACTTATTTTCTTTCTTTGTTTTCTTTCCGCACCTGCGCCTAAGTAAATGTCACTGTATTTTAGTGTATTGTATCCAGGTCACAAACACACCACGCAGCGCTGGTGATGAGTAATGCTATAACAGTGTCACGAATGAAAGGCATGTCCCGCTGTTTTGCATCAAGGGAAAAACTGTCACAGGACTCCCCCCGGTGGTCACTGTGGGCATGACACATTTGCATTTGTGGCAGCGCTGGAGGAAATGAAGCCTAAACTGAACACAAACTCAGTGACACAGCTGCAAAACCTGATGTTCTGGGGGAAACGGTTGGTTTATTTTTAAAGTTGCACCTGCTTGTTTCTATAGAGATGTAATTGCGCTGCCTGGAATGTTCCACAGTATGACATTAAACAGCTCTGCCTTACATTTATTCAATTACAGGTGGTTTTATAGATCAAACACGCCTAGAAAATCAGGTTTTCAGGTTTGGTCTCCATGAAGACAGAAACGTTTAATGCCATACTGTGAAACATTCCAGGTAAAGCTGTGCGATTAATCAAGTTTTGATCGCGATTTCGATTTGTGTGTCAAACTTAAATCTTCAAACTTATATAATCGAGTTAAAATGATTAAAGCTTAACAAAGTTTATTTGGAAATATAAATGTAGAACAGCTGGATATATAGTTTATTTTGGATACATTTATGTTTTCTCAGCTTTATTTCATGTTTAAAGTATATTTTATTCATTTCATATTTTATACATCGCCAAACTGCTCTAAGGTTCATATTTGTAGCCTATATTTATTTTCAATTTGAAGGTTTTGCATAAATTATCAATAACAAGTGTCAAAATGTGTGAAAAATATTACAAAGTGTGTGTTTTTTGAGAGAAAAATGCTGAATAAAAGCATGGTGTAATTAAAAAATAATTGTTTGAATAATCGTGATTTCAATTTTAACCTAAATAATCGTGATAATGTTTTTTTTCCATAATCGAGCAGCCCTAATTCCAGACAAAGCGATAACATCTCCATGGAAAAATAGCATTTTACAGACCCTCCACCTGAAAAGTTACACAATGCACCTTTAAATACTTAACTCTAAGTTTTATTGTATGTACAAAGGACAAAATATACAAAAGAAGTATTGAATATCGTAGTAACTTGATAAGCTTTGTTATAGGACCATTTACACTATTTTCTGATCTATGTTGTAATGTTTCCTCATCAAAAACAGACCTGGAGTTTTGTTGTGTTTCATTCACACACGTTTAACACTCAGCATGTTTAGTTCTTGAAAACACTTTGATCCACCTTGTGATGTCATGTGGTAATACTCCACACACCTTCACTAGAATCATTTGGATAATTTCAGCTCTGGAATTTCCCGTCACTACTGAACAAAAGGTAAAAGGAGCTGTTAACTTGAAAACTACAGCTTCATAACATCACAAAATGAAATAGTGCAGTGTTTCCCAAACTTTTTCTAAATTTTTTTTTAAAAGTCACAAACCTTCGCGACCCAAGTCAATAGACATTATTCGTAAATCAGAAAATAAAGGTGGATTTGACCATTATTGAACATTAATGAGGTTATTTTATTGTTGACTAAGTGATCGTGTCTCTCTGAACAAATAATTTTACTAAAGTTTTAAACAACGAAAACCAGTCATTGAACCAGAAATAAAAGGATCCATAAGTCGCCTATTTGGACATTAAATGTAGCCCATTGCTTTTTATTTTCAACATTCAATTGAACCAGCAATATTGGAACAAAATAGTCAATCATTCAGTCTGTTTCTGTGTTTTGTTTTCATTTTTGTGAGCACAGAAAATCCCAGTTCACACAAATATATAGGTGAGAAAAGAATAAATATGGAAATAGTGGCCCTACTGAGGACAGGATGTTCACTCGCTCTCTCATGTGTCAGAACTGTATATTGCAGACCTACATGCGGTTCGTGACGAGGCGACCCAAAAAAATGTCTTGTTACCCACCTGAGGGTCGCTACTCAATCTTTGGGAAACAATGGAACAGAACATTTTGAGCTTTGGAGATGTAGACAGATTAATAATAAAGTGTTGCTCAAACATGTCTGAATGAAACAAAACACATCTCCAGGTCTGTTTTTTGAGGAGGTAACAACATTATAACTTGGCTCAAAACTCACAAGAATCAGTTTTGCGTAGTATGTGACCTTTAAAACCTCATTTTACTCTCTGTTTTGTAGGTGAGCAACGACGTGCGCAGTGACATCGAGACCAGCTCAGAGGAGGAGGCCGACTCCAACGGCACCAACGGACACTGCACAAACTCCATAAACTCAACTATCACATCACCGGGAGACACGAGGGAGAGCTAGTGTCTACTGCGCCCCCTGTAGGCCTGTTCTAGTCATTAAACCCTCACCCACACGCCTTACACTGTGTCGGGGGACTGAAGAGCAGACACCGGCGACGGAGCAGCGGCAGACGTGAAAAAGGAAAATACTTGCGGTTAGAGATTGGTTTATAATTTACAAAACGGGATGATTTTGTGTGGCGTTCGGCTCCACGTGTTTTAAAAGTTCTCTCCCAGTTTTATTGGTCAGATGAACTTGATTTTTTTATTCTGTTCAAGGGATAGTCCAGATTTTTGTATGAGGAGGTCTGTCAGATACTGAAGTTTAAAGGCGCATTGTGTAACTTTTCTGGTAGAGGGTCCACCACCTGAATATTCTACTGTATGGCATTTAATTTCATCTCCAGGGACACACGCGGGCCACATCTCCAGGCCAAGTCACGTGTCAGATCTGTGGAGAAGAGGACCAAAAAGTTACACAGTGCATCTTTAAGGTCTGTGGTTATTTTTGGAGAAGCAAATAAGACCAATGAAGTCGTCAGTGGATCGCGACTACTCGGAAGGATGGAAGTACCGTAATTAACGCAGCATAATTCTTGTTTAAATTACCTACTTTGGTTTTTACGTTTTTTTAATTGTTTTAGATTTTATTTAAATGACCTTTTATTTTTTGGCTTTAATTAAACGAATGATTGTTCTTGTTTGCTTCTCCAAAATATTTTAGTGATGAGCTGCAGGACGTGGTGGAGCGTAACAAAGTAAAAGTAGGAAAGTGCTGTATCTGTACTTAACTTGTGGATACTTTTTACTTTTACTTCACTACATTTGAGAGCTTGTATCTGTGCTTTCTACTCAACTACATTTTTGAACAAGACAAGAAAAGTAAAAGTGTTTTTTATTATTGTTTGAAACCTGCTGAAAAGCGTTTGAAGCTTTATTAGATCCCAAAATCTGTGTGAAATACTTTTACTTTTTACTCTTTAAGTAAATTTTTGAACTGGTACTTCAATACATTTACCTAAGTATGAAGTATTAAGTATTTTCATGGGATGCTTTTACTTTTAATTGAGTCTTATTTTGCTCCGGTATCTGTACTTTTACTTAAAGGTGCACTAAAGGGTCTGATACCTGCTTGAGTCCATGTAGATATTTTGTTAGTTTTTTTCCTGGAATTTATCTGTCTCCATGGAGAGGTCAGTTACAGGTCAGATCTGTGGAGAAGCGGGCCCACTCATGTTTTTAATATTTTTGCAGTAGTTTTGAGAAATAAAAACACCTGTAATCGAACAAATACAAGATATATTTGTTTAAAGCCATACTGTGGAACATTCTAAGCAAAGCAGCATCACCATGGAGACAAGCAGATGGCCGACCCTCCACCAAAAAAGTTACGCAGTGCACCTTTAAGTAACAAAACTGAGTACTTCTTCCACCACTGGCTGCCACTAAGATCAGGGTTCATACAGTCATGGAAAACCTGGAAAAAAGTCAGGGCAAAATCTAAATTTCAGGCCCTTGAAAAGTTTGGGAATTTTGCTGGTTTTAGAATAATCCTGGAATTTGTATGAAACGTTTGGCTCCAAAAAGGATACGTGTGAAATATGTACAATTATTTGATCAGTTTCAATCAGCCAATAAAAGCACAACATTGACTTTGAAGCATGAGAACTCAAGGTCATGGAAAACTGAGGAATGGTTATGGAAAAGTCCTGGAAAACCTTAAGTTAACATCTGTACGAACCCTGTAACACGCTTTACAGTATCTATTATTCCACCAGTGCATATAAAACACTGCACTATCCCTTTAGTCCACACTAGATCAGTTAGAGCTGCTACAGAGGTGCACTTGAGGCTTTTATCGTCAGAGTAGGAATATTACTTTGTATATATGTTCTAATAAATAAATAAATTAGTAAATCTGACGTTTGGTCCAAAGTGCAATGCGCTTTACATGTTTTTGTTGACGGCAGCACGTTCGGCTCTTTGATATTTATTGTGGATTTAACTTGTGTTTTCACTTTGGTTTTACTGTTTTTTTTACTACTTCTGAAACCAAAAAATATTGATGAAATTGTACATTGTCACTGCCTTTTGAGATATCCAGTTTGCGAGGACTGTGCTAAATTGAATAAATGTTCTCAATTGAGTGCCTTGTAAATCAATTTCAGAATATATTCGTTTTGAAAAGTGGTTTGTGGTTCTTTTATTTCATATTTTTGCAGAGTGAATGAATTTTGATACGATCTGTTGTACTTATATTACCCAGGGAAGTTGCTTGTTGTGGAAAATCAACAAATTAGATATTAAAAAATATATAAATATACACAAATATAGATTTTTTTACAGCAAATTTATTTTTTATAAATGTATCTTGGGCCCAATTTCTTCACTTAAGTTAAACTACATGAAATATGGTGTTTTGTTTTGTTTTCTTGAAATGATCTCACAACGCCCGCTTTGTTAACCACTAACCTCAAACAAATGACAAACTGTTACTTTAATGGCATTTAATATATTACAAATAGTTGCCATGACAACGGTGATCACACAGGACACAATTGCAAATATATTCTTGGTTAATTTGCTTTATAAACAAAACATCTCACACATCTCCCTCACACGCCGCCTGTCTCCATTCCCGATGAAGTCAAATGGAAATAAATCAACAAATATCAACCACATTATTCAAAGCACCAGTCCGTTAGATCTCAGTCTTTTATAACTTCAAGGTTCTGGTTTTCAGCTGCGAGCTTGAGCTGCTCTTGCCTCTTCATGTAGCGGTAGCCCCTCATCACGCACAAGTATCCGCCGTACACTGTCAGCAGCATCATGGAGGCGGAGAAGGCTTTGTACCCCATGTCCGCCAGGCGCTTTCCGGTCACCATTTTGGATTTTCTGCACAAGGAGAAGTTTAGTGAGTTTATTAGAAGGAAGTTATTGCAGAGGAACTTGATGTGAATGGATGTATAACACACAACATTACTACTAATAATAATAAATTTGCAATTATTATGTAAAATGATATGTGCACTGCAAGAAAAACAATATAATATGCTATAATATAATATAAAAATGGTGTGTCAACAAATAAGGTTGTTTTTATCTGCTTTATCTGCTTTAAAATAGTGCTCCGATTTGAACAATTAGGGCAAGAAAACAAAAGTAAGATTTTTCACCAATTATTCACTATTTATAGGCCTGTCACAATAAATACTACAATGACTTGCTGTTCAAGATACAAAAGCTAGAACAATATTTTTTAGGGGTCAATATTTATTGTGGGTACTTTTTATTTGTACTACTAGGAAATTTATGGTTATTTTTTGTCTATGCAATAAGTCGTAAAGTTCATTACAGATACAAACTAAGCACCAACTAAGAGTTTCATTGAGTTATTTATTTATTGCAGTTCATGTTTTATTTTTTTTAACCAATACTGTAGATTTAGAATAGTTGTGGGTAGGGGTGTGCAAAAATATTAATTATCAATATTGTTGTATTGTTTAGTGTGATGATACAGTATTGATATTATGGGCTGCTGTATCGATAGCCAAGAGTATTTTTTGGGTATATTTTACTAAATTATTTTGTTACAGTGCTACAGTTTTTTTTGTTTGTTTAGTGGAAGGAAACTCATTTATTTATTCATTTGACATTTTCACTGTTTTGATGATTAAGATGAAGTGGTTTAACAAAAACTTTTAGTATCACAGACATGATTTAACCTTTCTTTTTTACTAAACCATATTGGATCGATTTGAAATATATTGTACAGAATCGTAGTGAATCGAAAGCACACTGTATCGAGATCTGTATTGGATCGTGGCCTATGTATCGAGGTATGTATCATATCTAGGGCTGGGTATCATTAAGAAGTTGCTAATACGATACACATCTTGATAGAGTGCACTTTCGATACAATATATTTCAAATCAATTCGATATCGTTCAATAAAAAAATAATGGCTAAATTATGTCTGTGATACTAAAAGTCTTTGTTAAATCACTTCTTGTGCAAAGTTCATATGAAACACAAACATTTCAATCATCAAAACAGTGAAAATGGCAAATGTGTCACATAAACAAGTTTCCTTCCACTAAACAAGCAACAAAACTGTAGCCCTGTAACAAAATAATTTTGTAAAATCCGCAGCACACAATATCGATACAATATCATCTTCTTAATGAAACCATTGAATATTAAAAAGATTGTAAATTTTGTAAAGTTAGGATATAAAACCTTTGAACAGTGGTGCATAATCGAAAAGAAAAATAATTCTCATAAAATGTATATATTAACTGTTCTACTACATAAAAAATTAGATGGACACAGGTCGCAGACAGAGGAGAGGAGTCACCGCGGTGGCCTCTCCAAAAAGTTTCTGAAGTAAAAAACAAAACAAAACTTGAGATGCACAGCACACACCACAATCACACACCACAATCATTTAATCATCAAAACAGTGAAAATATCAAATGTGTTGCATAAACAAGTCTCCTTTCACTAAACAAGCAACAAAACTGTAGCCCTGTAACAAAATAATTCAGTATAATCAGCAGCACACGATATCGATACTGTATCATCACATTACTCGATACGATATATCGATATTTTCATATTTTTGCACACCTCTAATCGTATCGGCCACTTCAGAATCGTAGATTAAAGGCGTTCTTAAGTTTGTGTGTCAGTGGCATAAATTAGATTGAATATTATAGTTTACTTGCTTATATAACACTTTCAAATTTGTTATCGTGACAGGGTTTTATATCTATTAATTGCAAAATCGGTATAAAAGGGGATAAGTTAAGTTTAGGACTGAAGCAAAATCGTCACGTCATGTTTGGAAATCAAGGGAACATCCATTACACATTCATTACAAAATAACAGGGCCAATTCCCCCTAAACACGTATAAAATTTGAGTTTTAGTAGATCTAATTATATCAGGGTCTCTAATATATTTATATAATCAAAGTAATTATTAAATTTCTATTATTTCCTTCATCATTCTTGCATCATGTCACTTGGGGTCAAACATATTTCCGTATTAGCTCCAAAATGAAACTCCAAACTTCATCCCGAACATAATCGACATGAAGTTTATTATATATTTTAATGATTTATATTACCTTTTAAAGCATCCAAGAGAAAATCAGAGAATATTTCAGCCCAATGTCACCAGAGCATGAACTTAGCAGCTAGTGTGGCTAAACTAAATTCGCTTGCTTTCGTAAAGTATGGAGTCACGGAAGGGCCAAACGCGAATCTTACACTTATATGATAGTGTTAAATTAAAACATTGCTCATCGCCATATAATTCACACAGAAATATAGTCTTTTTACTGAGATAAAAGTGAACGTATTATAAAGATAGCAATGGCTTATTCTGTTAGTAATTTGTAAATTAATTAAGAGTAGGGACCATGTTAACGTCGGCTGCTGTTTCACACGGAAGTATTTTACCGCTACACACAACAATGGCAGCATGTTCCGAAAGCGGTGAAGTTGAAGCTGAAATAGATGATCCAGGGGCCGCTCCTTTTGGGAATTTTATAAACTATTACACTTTTAATCCTCCGGAAAACCGCCTGAGTCTGATCCCGGCCTCCCTGTTAAAAGATGTGGCCCACGGTGAAGAGAAGACACTTATTCTGGACGTGGGATGTAACTCTGGGGTAAGAGAATGCAAGAAGTATCTGCATTATAGTGTATTTAACCTGTATTTTTTAAACATAGTGATAGTAAACGTGTTGTTATTTATTGTATGTATTATAATTAATTTTATTTTTAAACACATTTACGTATGGTGCATAAACGACTATTCGCTTTTGTCTCAAACTTTTTTGTCTTTTAAGCTCAGTTTTTAACATTCTAAGTGCAGCATGTGAAGTTCAAAGGCTGCTGGATTTTGTGAAATGAAATGTTTGTTTTTCTCGTATATTTGGAGACTGTGCAGGAGGCTGACTAAGGAGCGAGCTATGGACGTTTGAGATGCTACAGGCTTTTTACACCATATGTGGCAGCAAATGTGGCAGAAGATGTAACAATAACCGAAATATTGTGATATCATATTGTCAAAAGTCCTACAGTAATATCGTAGACTGTCACAATATATCGAATTATAATTTCTTTTGCTTAAATGCATGGTTTTACAGTAGTAACAGCTTATGAACATTGAAAACTACATATCCCATGATTCATTTCAGTGCAGACAACATAAAGAAATATGTTTTTTACTTGAATTCTTGGGATTATGACGGAAATAATTCACACCAAAATCTTTTCAAGGTATTTTAAAAACAAAAAAAGTGTCCTATCTACAATTATATCAGCCTCTTCAAAATATCGCAATAAATATTGTACTGTGAGATGCATATCGTGATAATATCGTACCGTGAAATTTGGATATCATTACATCCCTAGCAGAAGACCTTCCAGAGGAAACACTTTGAGGGAACAAACCATTTCACCAATCATAAAACACCACAGCAGAGTAAGAATGAGGCCTTTTCTGTTGTGTTTATCTGGTTCCCCTTGGACGATGCTGAGATGTTGCAGGACACAGAAGAGAGACACTTTTGGCTCTTCCTCTCCTCAAATGGCCCTAACACAAGATCTGCTGACCCTCCCTAACCAGTGCTCCTGTTAAACTGCACTGAGACACACAAAAACGAGACAAGTATTGGAAATGTTGCAGCAACATCAACTGCAACAGTTTGCTGCAGCAAAACTTTAATTTCCTTCGGGATTAATAAAATATCTGTTTGTTTTCTGGACAAATCAGACCATTACTGTAACTCTTTCATAATGTATAATGTCAGAACAACTGTTTTCTGAAATCTCATTGTCTTGGTTCATATATTGTCTTAGTTTGTGAAATGATTTGGTTTTTGTCAGGCTGTAAAATGCCAAAGTTGTTGTATTATTTTCCAAGTCTAGTTATGGCCTGCCAGATACTGTATTTCATGTGTGGTTTCAAACTTGTACAAATAGTAATTTCTCTCCATGTAAATTTCAGGAGCTGACGGTGGCGTTTTACGAGCATCTCCAGAAATACCAGACTGAAGAGGCTCCATCTCAAAAACCAGTCCACATGCTGGGTTTTGATTTGGATGAGACTTTAATCGAGAGAGCCAACCAGACCAACCCTTTCCCTGACAACATCTCCTTCCTTCGCCTGGACATAACGTCAGACACCGGGGTTCTACAGGACTACCTTAAACTTCATGGCTGTGCTCAGTTCCACCTCTGCCTGTGTTTGGCTGTGACTATGTGGGTGCATCTGAACCACGGAGACTCAGGTTTGCTCCAGCTGCTCTCTGACCTCGCCTCGTGCTCTCAGTATCTTTTACTTGAAGCTCAGCCTTGGAGTGTTACCGATCCGCAGCCAGAAGACTCAGGAAACTGGGCCGGCCGGACTTTGACCATTTTAAGACTTTGGGGATTAAAGGAGACATGGCGGAACATGCTAAACTGTATTTAGAAAAGCATTGTGGGATGGAGTTGGTGCAGAGTTTTGGGAGTACGACGTGGGACAGGAAACTTTTGCTTTTTAAAAAACTGTGACTCTAAGAAATCAGAATTACTTTTAAACATAATGGTAATTAGTGTTTTTAATTAGAAATTTAATATAGTTCACTTTTTACCAGTTTATCAATTATGAATTTTAATAAATAAATTCATACAAAATGTGTCCAAATCTGTACTATGTATCAGTGTCAATATTAAAATCTGTAATATCAGGGATTTTTAAAAAAAATCTTCATATTGTAATACATTTAATTAAAAAAATACCAAAAGTGATGAGTTCATTTATGAAATTTACTTTATTATGCATTGCGACACTCATGAGTTATAGTCAAACTAATATTTGAAAATATATTTTGTCAGACCAGAACAGTGAGTCAAGTTTCTCTTAGCAACATTTGGAATAAAAACACATTGGACCATCCTTATTTTAATTACAACAGATGAAGCTGGTGAAACTAGATTGTTACTTTTAATGTAACTTTTTAATTATTAAATTTACGAAAGTTCATGATAATTTAACAAAAAAGTCCCAAATATAAATAAGACTTTGTTTAAAGCAGGACAGAGGCCCTGAAATTAAAACTCTTGTTTAGTAAAATGTGTTGTGTAAAACAAAAAACAAAGACACCGGTAATTTTCATCATTTTAATTACAGAATACTAAAAATAACATTACATAAAATGTCTTTTTAATGAAACCATTGAATATTAAAAAGATTGTAAATTTTGTAAAGTTAGGATATAAAATCTTTGAACAGTGGTGCATAATTGAAAAGAAAAATAATTCTCATAAAATGTATATATTAACTGTTCTACTACATAAAAAATGAGATGGACACAGGTCGCAGACAGAGGAGACGAGTCACCGCGGTGGCCTCTCCAAAAAGTTTCTGAAGTAAAAAACAAAACAAAACTTGAGATGCACAGCACACACCACAATCAGCTTAAGTTTCTCAAGTTAGGTCTATGTCAAAAACAGGTTATCATTTACAAGGAAAGAAAAAGAGCTCCAAAGACTACAAAAAGTGACTTGGTGACTGCTCCCAATATCCACACACCTCATCTTTTGGGTCCATAGTTTACCCTACTCAAACTGGCCTTGGTTCAAAAAAACTCAACCATTTTTTTTCCACAGGTTCAAACGCTGTACAACAACATTTTTGAAAAAACTCATACTTTTAAAATGGCTCCACTTTTGACAGGGAAACATCACCTGGTTCAGATGTTCTTCGCTATATTAAAAAGCTACCTACTGTACACTTTAGATCCGCAACTTTCATGGGAATTGACTGTACACAAATGGGACAGAGGGGAAGAAATTTCCAGAGAAGGGGGACATGCATATTCCAAACTATGTGCTCATTTCATTGTCACTAAATAGACCCTGTCCAACCAACATGAGCCCTTTTTGTTATCGATGTTAAAACGCCACAACGAAAACTATTTCCTATTCGCTGATACTCAAATCCTCACTGGCAAGTCAAATCCAAGCAGAGGTATTTCCGGTACATGTCCTGAAAACGAGTGGAACAAGTCACATTTTTGGTGGAAAAAAAGTAAAATTCAAGAATGAAATTAAATCATGAAAACACTTTTTTTTTTTTTAGAAGTTTGGGTCAGTCTAAGATAGATGTGTTAATGTGTAAATTGTAATAGTTAAAAAGTTGAGCTGTGTAACGTTTCTGGCTTTTCTCGTCTCTGTGGAGATGTTACCGCTGTGTCCAGAATGCTCCACAGTGTTGCATTAAACGCATCCATTTCCACAGAGACGCAAAAAGTGACACCACCACCCTGCAAATGTTTTTTAAAAGCAATAAAAACACCTGTGATTGAATAAACGCAAGATAGATAGGTTTAAAGCCACTATGGAACATTTCAAGCTTTAAAATCTCCATGAAAAAAAGCCAGAAAAGTTACACAATGCGCCTTTAAATGTCAAAACCAGTGGTAGGTCCAAACATTTTAGTTTTAGTAGATTTTCAGTTAAAATTAGAAGAGAAAAAAACAAAGTGGGTTAAAGAAGTTTGTCAATTATGGCTTGATTTACTTGAAGTACATTTCATACCAATATTTTTATTAGATACAAAGTAAAATTCAACCTAAAAATATATTTTGAAAACGCAAACGTGTCCATATTTAAATAAAAAAAATGTTTCTCAGTTACCAGACCAGCTTTATTTTGAAGTTTGACTCTCTGCCAATCACATATAACTCTAAAACTGGGGCTAATCTTTGTAAAAACCAAAACAATTGAGATGATAAAAACAAAAAGGGTAAAAGTGCGAGAATTTTCTGGCCAATTGAAGACATTTGCTGGCATACAGAAATCTATAAACACACAACTTAACTTTTGGATGATCGAAAATTGGACCGATTTACACCGTTACCTGATAAAATTCTGTTGTAGGTTGAGTGACGAAAAAGTAGTGGTTACTAAAAATGGAAAAGCAAGATCTGACATTTATCACACGGACATATCTGAAGACATCGGCGACAAAAAACGGATTTCAGTTTAGGACCAAACGCGTCGAAAATCACCAGCAAAGCTACTCGATTTTCGCTGGTCAGTGGCTCAAACAAAAGTGGGACGATAAGCTTGCGTTTATTTTTTTTTTCTTCGTCTTTTTTTTTTTTTTTTCACGAATTCTGTTTTTCAGTTCAAACGGGTCCCCCTGAGTTAGTGCACAACACATTGAGATTCAAGGTTTAAGAAATGCACAGAAATGAAACGAAAAACAGCTTATAAACCAAGCTCGCGGTTAGATTCGAGAAGGGATAGCGTTTAGTTTCGTTTAGGGGAAAGAAAAAAAAAAAAAAATAGGGGAAAGTTCCAAAGTTCAAAATACGAGTCCGGCTCTTTTTATAAAAACTATGAACTAGTATTTTTGTGAATGTGCGTAGTTTTAATATGCAGCCCGATCATGGAACTGAAGCATGCTTTGAACTGGACTTCAGGACATGATTAGCGGGGTTATCTTGCCGTCGCCTGGTTAGGATTCTGCTGGTGTTGTGGTCAGTAGAAGTCTGTAAAAGTTTTGACAGAGGAAGTGGAGAGTCTGTAGAGGGGAGGGGGAAGTGGGGGTTAGATGAGGGGCGCGGTGTCTGCCATGTTTTTGTTGGGGTCCAGGCTGGCGAAGAAGCGCACGTCTCGGTCTTTGTCCGACTGCAGCGCCATGACGGTCTCCTCCAGCTCGTCCGAGTACGCACAGCCGGGCTCCTTGAAGTAAGCTGAAAGACAAATGAAAAACTTTACTCTTTGAACAAGCTCATGTGAGGATTTTTTTTTTAGGGATGGGCCAATACTGGTGTCAAAATTTTGGTTTATTTTGCATGATCATGGACGATAAATGTCTGTGCCTTCTTTGTCATTGTTATTAGTTTGTACGGCTATGAACGAAAACAAAAAATCCTTACTTTTTAAATTTTTTTTACTGTTTACTTTGTACGTTTATAAAAAATAAACTTTGTGCCTTCTTTATCATTATTATTAGTTTGTATGACCATAAACTAAAATATATTTCTGCGTTTATGTGTAAATATAAGGCTACGTTCAGACTGCAGTACTTGATGCTCAATCCGGATTTTTTTGTGAAATCAGATTTTTTTTCGAGGTTGTTCACATTTCCAATTAAATGCGACTTGTGTGTGATCTCCAGTGTGAACTTTAAATGCTCCAAAAGTGTCCTGCATGTGCATTGGAGGACACGACAGCATCACACACAGCGAGCATGCTCAGAATTTACAGAAGTCGCCTAAACTCTGGGTTTGTCTCCCAAAATACGGTCCAGTTCTTCGTAAAATGGATAGGTTACACATTCACGGCTGATTCATTTGTTTGAGTCTTTAGCCTCCTTGTATTTGGCTCACGGGCTGTTTATTTTTCGTTGACACTGGAGCCAGGAACCACCTGTAGCCACACTCAGCCATTTCTTTGGCTTTTAATCCCCCCAAATATTAATTAACTTGCTAACCTCACTTTCCCTCCATTGACTAGACTCCGAGCCTGACATGTAGGTTAAAAGATCGGATATGTATCGGTTTAGGAGCACATATCCAAGTGGCCTGAGTCACATTTGAAAATAACTGGATCTGTGTTGTTCAGACCGTCATTAAAAGATCAGATACAGGTCGCATAGGGTCAAAAAAAAAAAAAAATCTGATTTAGGTCACTTCAGGCTGCAGTCTGAACGTAGTCTAAGTGCCAACCATGAGATTATGTAAAATAATTGGGGTAGGACACTATACGTTTTTTAAACTTCATCCTTTGCCTTTTGAGCACCAACTGTTCGCCTTGTGAGCTTCATGTGACTAGAGCCGAACGCTGTGGATGACATCACTTAGTCCACTTCTTTACACAGTCTATCGCATCAATAAAGGCATCATGATACTGAGGATGTTTTGTATTATGTTGCCATTGGCCTTACATGGAAAAAGTCACTGATTATTGCTTCTTCTGATAGACAAACACAACTTTATGGTAACTTATCGAATGAAAAAAATGAAATAAAATATAACAGCAAAGCATATCAGAGTGTCTCGGATTTCCTCTTTCATCCAGTAAGTTATCTGCCCACTCGGGGAAGCTCCGAAGAGCACCTGAGTGTTATTTCACTTCAGCGAATGCTCCAGCTACATCTGTTTGGTTTTTTTTGCACAATTTTATAGCAGTTGTTTGTAAGACAGTTGCCTCATTTATAAAACTTGACAGAATGAATACAGACTGTACATTTCCATATTGTATCTAAATCAGGGGTGTCCAAACTTTTTTCATCAAGGGCCACATATCTAAACACAGACGAAGCAGAGGGCCGATCGAGGGCCGAAGACTGATGCTCAGTACAGGGAATAATTGAAATATGTGCATATTTAACACATTAGAATGAGCCATCAGTCTTTATTCATGCTAAGATCCTTAAAACCACACACTAAGTATTAAGTATTAGCTTTATCAAGGTAGATTCTCAAAAAACTTGCAGTAAAAAAAATATTTTTTAATTGATGCAAGGTAATTTGGGCCAATTGACCTGGAAGTCTGAGGGCCAAGAAAAATTTGTCTGAGGGCTGCATTTGGCCCCCGGGACATAGTTTGGACATGTCTGATCTAAATGAAGCAAGAGAGTTTGTTTTTGGCAGACTCCCAAGTTAAGTTTTAGCCCTGGCAGTGATGATTTTTTTTTTTTTTTTTTTTTGTATTTTGTGTAATATTTATAACAAAAAAGCTCTTTAAAAATCAAAACATGTGGTCATTAAAAGAACACATATTATGTTAAATCTACTTTTTCAGCTCTTGGATAGAGTTTCCTGAACCTATAGGGTCTGTAATTATTCAAAAAAGCTCAGTTTAAACCATACAGTAGTTGCAAAAATATCTTTATATCTTTTTATACGACTTTCATTTCCGGTCTAGATACGCCATGTTCATTTTCTCGATCTGTTACACCATCTGCACAGCTTATTTTCGTAATTTTTTCTTTAGAGACCAAACTTCTGAATCCATCTCTTATGCTGATTTTGGTAGATAAAGGTTTAAGGTCATTTGCATAGACTATATCAGCAAAGAGTAAAATAAAAAAAAAAACACATTTAGAGTCTTTTCACCTTTCTCCATGACGCTCTGGCGCAGAGCTTTGGCCACGAGCACGCGCACATTCGCCACAGGGTCCGAGGAGAGGCTGAGGAGGCTGGGGAGCAGGTGCTGGCTGAACTGATCCATGGGCATGCACTCCTCCTCCACGATGGCCTGCGACAGAGGACAGAGGAAGCATGAGTCAGGTCACGCACAGGGCGAGAGGGAGGCGGGCGAGGGGAGAGGGGGGGGTGAGTCATCCAGTACGGGGAAGACGACACCGAAAGTGTGCGGACCAGTTCAACAGTCTAATGAGTCATTCACAAAAGGATGTTATCAGGACATCAGGGTTCATAAAGTTTTTCCTTTCATAGAGTTGTTACTGTACTTCCAGACATGAATGGGCTTGTGGAAATGGATTTGAGTTAAGTGTAGGGCTCAACGAATTAGGGAAGTATGTAATTGTGTTTTGTTTTTTTTTCCTGACAAGTATTGCAAGATTTTGATTTGCGGTTTACGCTTTAATAATGGGATTCTGTTCAAAGTTCACGCATTAAAGTTACGTAACATTTCTAGTGGAGCGTCCGCCACCTGCTTGTCTCCATGGAAATGTTATTGCTTCGTCTAGAATGTTCCATAGTATAGATTTAACCTAGCTATTGCAAGGGAGTCAAGCACTATGCTACATTACAGTTCAGATCTGTGGAGAGTCTTCCCAATTCACAGAAAGAATTATAGTATTTTTAACAGCAGATACACTCATACTGAATAAATGCTAGATGTATATGTATAAAATGTCATCAAATGAAACAGCAAACGTACAGTAAAGTTCCTGTAGAGGGCGCAAATGCAAGGAGCAGCAAAAAAAAAAAAAAAAAAAGTTAAAAATGCATAGTACACTCAGATGGCCGATGTCCAAAAGCTTTTTTTTTTAATTTATAAATAATGTTTTGGCTAAAAGCCTTCGTCAGATCATTCTTACTTTGACTTTTTGAAACATTACTTAAAATTTTAAATAAGGGTTTGAATATTGGCTATTTAAGTGTGGTATGCATTTTTTGTTCAGTTTTTTACCATGGAACATTCAGGCAAAGCAATAACATCTCCATGGAAAGAAGTAGTTAGCGGACCCTCCACCAAAAAGTTGTGCAGTGCAGCTTTAGCTCATCCAGGAGAAATGACATGTTTTCATATTAGCTTTGCCCAAACTTTGTGAACTTAGTGAACTTTTAGTATCACAGTTATGATTTAGCGTTTGTTTTTCAGTGAACCGCATCTAATTGAAATCTATCGTATCAAATCGTACTGAATTGAAAGTGCACTGTATCGAAAAACATATCGTGTCGTGGCCTATGTATCGCGGTATGTATCGTATCAGCAACTTCTAATGTCAAACCATGGAACATTCAGGCAAAGCAATATCACCATGGAAACAAGAAGGTAGCTGACCCTCCACCAGAAAAGTTGTGCAGTGCAGTTTTAAACTCATCCAGGAGAATTGACAAAAAGACTGAACTATGAAGTGACGAACTAATACAAGAAGCACATTTCAGAACATGTTTGAACAGATCTAAACTACAGGCTTAGCAGATTTCATGCAGAATAACACAGAATAGTCTGTCGCTGTTTGAGGAGGACATTATGTGATTTGCTAATTACGTTCCTTCAAAATTAACCAAATTATTCTAGTGAAAGTGTTTAAAAACAGAGCGGAGTGGAAGACAACATTATAACATTATAAGATCAAAAAATAGCGTAATATGGACCTTTTAAACTACTGTTATAATATTGTACCTTGTTATAAGTGAAAACAATGATCTAGAAGAAAACATTATCAGTACGTAGCTTTTTTCTGGTGATACAATGGCTATTTTCTTTGTTGGCGATTATGAGGATTATTTAAACTGTCCTACAAATGATTATTACCTACTATTTTCATGCCAAAAACAAAGTCTTTGTGTACTGTCCCATCCTTGGCCACAAAAACTACAACTTCCAGAAACCCCACTACAAAGAAACTACAAGAAGACATGTTTATGCACAGTACCTGACATATAAAGGCAAAGGCTTGTCGTCCCACCCATTTGGGACAGTGACAGAACCGAACCGTGAGCTCGTTGATGAAGTTCAGGCCCAGATCATTTGCTCCACTAGCGTACAGTTTCTGAAGGATCTCCACCACCTGGGACAAAAAGGCACAAGAGATCAACACAAAAAGAAAAAGAGAATCGACAAAAAGACTGAAAAATCAACTGACAAACTAACACAAGAATCACATTTTAGACCATAAAATTGTACTGTAAACTACAGGGTTGGCAGTTCTTTGTTAAGCAGAATATATGAATTTTTGTCCATTGAAATCCAGTAATTAACAATAATCAAAATATCGTGGTCAGAGGTGTGCAAAAATATCAAAATACTGATGCATCATATTGTTTAATTTGATGATACAGTATAGATACCATGAACTGCTCTAAGATAATTTTTAGGTATATTTTGCTAAATTATTTTGTGCAAGATCTACAATTGTGTTGACATTTTCACTGTTTTGATGAGTAAAATGGGTGTTTTTCATATTAACTTCGCCCAAACTTTGTGAACTTAGTAGACTTTTAGTATCACAGCCATGATTTAGCCTTTGCTTTGAACTGCATCGAATGGATTTGACATATATCGTATCGAATTGTACTGAATTGAATGTGCACTGTATCAAAAAACATATCGTATCGAGGTATGCATCGTATTGGCAACTTCTTAAATGATACCCAGCCCTAATCGTGATATCATCAAAGGTCAATCACAATAACATTGTTGGCCAGCACAAAATATCAATTTATACGATTCTTTGCAGCAGCTAAAAAAAAAAAAAACTGAGGGAACTACACAGACAATAATCCTTTGCTCCACTTCAATGCAGACAGAAAACTTTATCTCAATTCTTTAGTGCTATATTACTGTTATATTCCAAAGGCTTGTCAAGGTGTTTTAAAAGGACAAAGTAGCATTTCTTCAATTCTTTTAGCATCTCCAAAACATCGAAATAAATATTGTCCCGTGAAATTAATATGCAAATCTTGTGGTACAATATTGTCACCATTTTGTACCATCACTATTCAAATTGTGATTCATTTACAATTAAAAAGATTATGATTTTAATGGCTTGTTAAAGTTGTAAAGTGCAGCAACATAAGGCATAATTTCTCTATATAGTATGCATATTAGATTGTATTAACTCTAAATAAATGTTAACGATATCATTTAGACGAAGAGCTCCAGTGCCACATTCAATTAGTCTGTGTAATTCCAGAGCGTGTATTTTCCCCTAGACTATCATGCAGCGTGCGCCTGGTGTGTGGCTGCCGTTGTCTCATTATGGTCATGAGATCTGTGCTCTGTCATGTACTTAATGCTCCTGACATCAGCCTAATCACATTATCTCCACCTGGACACGGCTCGGAGCGGAAACTCAAACCGAATCAGGCTCGTCTTTAACATTAGGGCTGCACTGTGAGAGGAAAACATGAGAATATGTATGTTTTGTATTGCAACAGTGATATATGAATTCCAAGTTATAAAAAGATGTGATTTATTTATTTTTTTTTAACTGTGTCAGTATCTATGTTGTAATGTTGCTTCCTCATCACGAGCGTACCCTGGTAATGTGTTTTGTTTCATTTACACATGTTTGAGTAACTTTATTATTAGTCTGCATCTCCAAACCTCAAAATCCTCTGACACCTTGTGATGTCATGGTAATACAGAAGGTGCTGCAGTAGGTTTATAAACTCCATACACTTTCTCTGGAATAATTCAGATAATTTTAACTCTGGACTTGCAAATTTCTTCTGAACTAAAAGTAATAAGGTAGCCATTACCCTAGAAACTAATGTTTCATGACATTGCAAGGTGAAACTGAGGTTTGGAGATGTAGACAGACTAATAATAAAATGTTTAATCAAACGTGTGTGAAAGAAACAAAACACAGATCCAGGTAACATTATAACTTGTCTTAAAAGCTCACAAGAATCCATTTTCTGTAATAAGGCTTTTAAATGTTCTTGAAATGTCAAGTTAAGTGTCATCTTGGTACACTTTAACACACAAACCCTGCATATTTAGACTAAAAATGTATATTAATGAGACAAAACACAACTTAGGGTACGTTTCTGATGAGGAAACAACATTAAAACAGATCAGAAAACAGTGTAATTTGCCCCCTTTAAATAAACAGCACAGTTGACTCGATGTGGATTACGGGACTGACCAGTTTGTACGAGATCCACCGGACCTCGGACACTTTGTCGGAACACAGTGTGAGCGCGATCTGTCGGAGGTAGTCGTACACGTCGTAGTGGCTGTACAGCTCGATGATCAGGATCAGCTGCCTGCAGGGGGCGCAAACAAAAGGAGAAATGTTAAATATATGTGTATTAAAATTATCAAATTTACAAATTAAGTTTGTAAATTTTGTAGTTTATTGTATTTCTGCATTTTTTGTTTTGGCTTTCAATTATGGTACAAGATTTATTCAAGCTATTTCAGATGAGTATGAAGAGTAAATAATTTGTTCTATAGTCAGTTTAAAGTTTGTTGTTTAATGCTTGTTTCTATGGATACGTCATTGCTCTGCCTGGAATGTTCCACAGTATGACATTAAACAGCTCTACTTTACATTTATTCAATTACAGGTGGTTTTATAGCTCAAAAATACCTAGAAAAACAGAAATTCTGACTGTGAGTGGGATTCGCCTCTCCACAGATCTGACCTGTAACTTGATCTGGTTTGGTCTCCATGAAGATAGAAAGGTTTAATAACTGAATCATGCCAGACAAAGCAATAATATCTTTATGGATAAAAGGATCTGACAGACCCTCCACCAGAAAAGCTAATTCTGCAAGTCGGAACATTCAAAATTCCTTTAAAAAAAATCTTTACTGTGCTGCTGAATCAGAGTTCAAATCTAGAGCACCTAAATGAGAGCAGTCACAGGGAGTGGGACCGTATTATTTACATTAGATTAGCGGTGAGTGTGACCAATGCTGAGCTGTGTGTGTGAAATGCTCTGAACCTACTCCGCCAGCTCGTATCTGAATCTCCAGTTGCGGCTGTTGTCTGTGACCATGAACTCCTGCAGCTGGTACAGGTACTCTCGCCTCTTGTCCGCGTGGAGGAGCTGAAAGGAGAAAGCAAAAATGGGAAAACGAAGGGTTAAGTGTGGCGCTGTTGCTATAGGAACGTCTAAACTGGCTTTACTGCTCTGGAGCCATCGTACAGAGACATTATGGCGTGTGGAGAGGGAGAGACGGAGGTTAGGCAGTTCAAACCACCTTTGACAACAATAGCTATAGTACTGAGAAAACATCTCCCAGAGAGACCGACAATGAAAACAAGAACAGACTTTTTCCGCACGCTACCATCTAAGCCAAAGTATTAATCATATCTAAGGCTAATTATTTCTCAGACAATTTACAAACAAACAAATAGCAACAGCCCTAGACTTTCAGTTCAAAACAACTAGGGTTGTGCAAAAATATAAAAATATCAATGTATCGTATCATTTGATGTGATGATACAGTACCAATATCGTGGGCTGCTGTATTGATATTTCGCTAAGAGTATTTTTTGGTATATTTTACTATTACTTATTTTGTTACAGAGCTAGTTTTGTTGCTTGTTTAGAGGAGCGAAACACGTTGACATATGTACTGTTTTGATGATTAAAATGTTTGTGTTTCATATTAACTTTGCACAAGAAGTGGTTTAACAAAGACTTTTAGTATCACAGCCATGATTTAGCCTTTATTTTTATTGAACCGTATTGAATCGATTTGAAATATATCATATCAAATCATAAGCTCACTGTTTCGAGATATGCATCGTATCGGCAACTTCTTAATGATAACCAGCCCTAAAAGCAACACTGCGTAATAGGGGATGTAACAATAACCAAAATATCGTGATATCGTATCGTCAAAAGTCTCACAATATATCGAATCACAAGTTCCTTTGCTTAAATGCATTGTTTTATAGCAGCAACAGCTTATAAACATAGGCAACTACATATCCCATGATTCCTTTCAGTGCAGACAACAAGAAGAAATATGTTTTTACTTGAACTCTTGGGATTATGACAGTAATAATTCACACCAAAATCTTATCAAGATATTTTAAAAGCAAAAAAGTGTCGTAGCTACAATTATATCAGCATCACCAAAATATCTCAATAAATATCATACCATGAGATGCATGTCGTGATAATATCGTACCGAGAGATTTGAATATCGTTACATCCCTACTGCGTAATTCTGAAGCTGGCACATCCATGGAACTAGAAAGTTTAAACCATGCTTAAGAATATTCACCATGGATATAGACACATTTTATGCCACAGGAAAAACATTTCCATGGAAGAAAGCATGTGGAAGTCAGGTTTGTAGCAATGCACGCCATTCACAGTAAGCACGCACGTTTGTAAAGCTTTTTCAGTGCAATAAAAACCAAAACAATTTTAACTTATTTTTTATTGGCTAAAAAGTTACGAGCTAGAGTTTTAATTAATGTATAAAATGAATGGGGAAAAAAATCTGAACGATATGGACAATCAAAGTTAATTTATTGATTCAGGGCAACACAGATTTGATAATGTATCTAGAAGCAGGCAGATTGCTGATAGTAAGTTCAGCCAAGTCATGACGTTATTAAATAGCGTAGTAGATACCGAGTGCAGTTAGTACCTTGAGGAAGTCGTAGAGATGTTTGAGGACCCCGATGCGAACCTCGTCCAGATCTTTGAGGAACCCGTTGAAGATGGGGACCAGGTCTGCTGCCGTGAGCTGGTCTCCGAGGATCACCGCCAACTCGTGTATGGAGAAGGCCAGAGTCCGCCGCACTTTCCACTGGACGGAGGAGACGCAAAACGTTAACAAAATGAAAGCAAAAGGAGATACGACTGATTTATGAGTGGAAAGATTAATTCAGGGTGTAGCCAAGTATATATCAATAAAATTTTCTGTAAAGGGTTTATGAAAACGATTGTTCTGTTCTTCCATCAAACTGTCAAAAATAATTATGAAAACAAAAACAGTGAGTGACTATGGACTCCGTTATAGTCTGTAAAAAATATGCCAGTGTGATTTTTATAATAGTGCTATGATTACAGTAAGATGTTGACATACAGAATAAATGCAAAGTGACTGTTTAATTTTTTAAAAAGTGCACATTTTAAGCAAATCCAGCAGCATTTAAAATTATAGAATGACTGAAATAGGAATGAATTACTAAACTAACATTGTTCAAGAAGCCTTTGGTCCATTTCATAGCATGTGTTTGGTGTAAACTACGTGCTTATATAATTATGTCTCATTGTTGGCAAGTTCGCATGATTGAGATGACGTCACAATTATAGGAACTTTATTAGAGTGTGGCAAAGGTAAATGTCAATGGTGAATAATGACATTTTCTTGTGTAAAAGGTCAAAACACAACTCAAATGTGAAACAGGTGTTACAGTCTAACAACAAAATACAAAAGTCTACAACTCTTCATGATTTTTAGTTTGTATCCCACACTTAAAACCAAAAACAAAATCAAGTAAACAGTAGACATCTAAAAAAACAAAAAATGGGACACTGCAGACTACACTCACATCCATCATTGATACAGACTTTTGGATCAGACACAGCTGAACTGAACCTTTCTTTTTAAATAAGCTGCTTCAGAGTCTGTTTGTAGAGCTTTTTTTTGCCCCACAATAGTTATTTCCTCAACAGACAATAAAAAGCAAAAAAACACTATATTTCTACAGAGATAAACTGAGAAATGACAATACTGAAACAACTTTATGCCACTGACACAATAACAATAATGCAAGATAATCCTTGGAAACAATTTCTAAAAAGACAGTTTCATTAAAAAGGCCTTAACTGCAACAAATAAATAGCAGAATAAAACAATAATTAGCCTAAGAAGTTACTTTTTCAACACTCTCAATCTTACAGTATTACAAGAAAATGACCAAAATCATGCAACTTTTGCCCCAAAAAGTCAATATGCCAGTAATAATTATGGTGACAGCCCTATCCAATACCCATCCTTCTCTTTTAATATAAATTTTATGATAATTTTTCAATGCTCTGATCTGTTTGTATTGAGATTTTAAAGTCTTATTCTGTAAAACACTTTGAATTACTTGTGTACCAGTCGTGTTATACAAATCTAATCTTGCCTCGCCATCATCACATGACCGTTCTGCGTTTACCTGCACATCAGTAGCCAGTGTTTCATAGGTGTCCTTGAGGCAGTGCCAGTTCTGTCGGCCCAGTGTGAGGGCGACCCCGGGCAGGCTGAAGGCGCAGTGTTTGGCGATCTCTGTGTCCACGGTTTGCGCTCGGGCCGGGTCCGTCATAGAGAGGTACTGATCCAAGAGCTGCTGTGGGATCACATTCTACAGCACACAAAATTAAAATTGTTGTTAGTAAAGTGGAAGGAGAAAGCGAAGCATGTATGCAAAGTTAAAAATTGATCATAAACATGATAAGTGGAAGAAATCCTATATTATGCAAAATTTACTGTTGTGAGCTTTGAGCCATGTTAGAACATTGTTACCTCCTCAAAAACAAACCTGGAGTTGTGTTTTGTTTCATTCACACATGTCTGAAGATGCAGACAGACTAATAAATACTTAAAGCACAAACTGCTGTTCCACTTTGTGAAGTCGTGGTATTTTTCAAGTTAACAGCTCCTTTTACCTTTAGTTTAACCAGAGAGATTGGCAATTCCAGGGCTGAAATTACCCAAATTTCATTACAAGCACTTCTTGTATTACCACATAAAATTACAATGTGGAGAACTTGGCCTAAAATGCAGGTTTGTGTGTTCAACATGTGTGAATAAAACCAAAACTCTGGGTATGTTTTTGATGAGGAAACAACATTAAAGTAGATCAGAAAATAGCGTAATATGAGCCTTTTAATGATGAGAAGTGTAGACCTGGATCTTGGGTTTGTCCTCTGATGTGGGGCTGTGGGCGGAGTCCTCTATGCCCTCATCTTCTACACTCTCGATGAGCTCAGACTCCTGGGGAAAAGTCAACAGAAAGAAACCATTAGGAAGAGATACAGGACTACATTCATTCCATACTCCATACAACTGTACAAACTTATGTCACGAATAAACCTGTGTCAATGTTGATCACAATTTCATATTTGCACTGTTTCTTGTATATAACGGGCATATTTGTATTACTTGTACATATACATTTACATTATTACGCCTTATTTGACACCAGTCCCTTGCCATCTTTGCTACTTATTAAGAATTTATTATTACCATTTATATTCTAGCTCGTTATTATTAGTTTATATTGTGATGTGTGAGCTACTGCGTCCAAATAATTCCCCTTGTGAATCAATAAAGTTTGTGTTAAGTCGAAGGAGGGACCTCAAATGGCCTTGAGGATATCATCATCATGCTGCAATGGTGTTGTTGCATGTGATCTCCCAATAAGATTCAAAAGTTGTGGTTGACTTATGTGATTAAGTAGATAAGTAGATAATTCTCTCTAATCTGCTGTTTGTAAAAAGTGACAGGAAAAATAGGCCTGATACAAAACTGCCATACAGACATTGTGAGATTATTATAGAAAAGCTTCTGCAGTATTTAAGTAATAGGGACAGACTTACATAAAAGATCTGCCAAATAAAGTGCTGTTAACACTAAGGGTTTCTGATAAGAATTTCTTATCTAATCATTTTCTGTGTGAAAAATAATAAATAAAAGGTTAGGTGACTGCTGTTATTAAAAATGTTATTGAAAAATTACATAAATTCATTAAAAAATAAATCTGGATCTGGATTGAAGTTCTGTCATACCAGAAGTGGAGAGTCCGGCGGTGACTCTTCCTGGGTCTCAGCAGGTTTACTGTCCCCCTCCTGGTCTCCCTGCTCCTGGACGGGACAGGACTTGGGACATGACTCAGACTCGGGGCAGGACTCTGTTGCGGGTTCTGGAGCGGGGTCAGAACTGGACTCGGGAGGACTGCAGTCAGTAGGTTCGGACTCAGAAGCAGACTCGGGACCAGATTCGGGGCTGGTGGCGGGCGACTCCAGGCTCTTCTCCTCCTCTGTGGGACTGTCGCTGCCCTCGCTCTCCTCAGACTGCAGCTCCATGGACTTGCACTCATCGGAGGGGCTGTCGGAGTCGCTGTCCTGGGAGGGGGTCTCTGTGGTGGGGCTCTCGGTGTTGGGACTCTCCATGGTGGGACTTTCTGTGGTGGGGCTGCTGTCTGTGCTCGCGGATGGGCTGTCAAGCTGCGCTGCTTTGAGGGCAGCGGACAGGACCTGCACTTGGGCTGTAGGGGGAGAGTGGGCAGGTCAGTAAACAGGAAATAAATAAAAGAGTGTGCTGTTACGACCATAGACTGTATAAAGAAGTTGACTTAAGAGACTGTGACTTCACCCATAGTGTTCGGTTGCAGTCAAATGAAGCTCATCGAGGCTTGCAGTTACAGGGTCAAATTTGGAGTCCATATTACAAACAGGAAATTATTTACAGACAATATATTGAAATAAAAAACACCAGGATCATGTAGCGCAGGTTAATATGAACATTTTAAGACCAAAATGACAAGGCTCACTGCGGCAGTTACACAGAGAGGGGTGACAATATTTCAATGTAAAATCAATTGGAAACAGAGTCGATGAAGCCGGAAGTGCCTCCATGAACAGTTCCTATTTGGAACACGGCGACTAGTGGGTTAGCTATGTGCATATGCAGTCTATTTTTAGATTATTTTAAACTATTTTTAGATAGTTTAAACACCAAATAAAGTGCTTTCTTTATACTAGCATAATCCACATGGTAATAAAGAGCAAGATGACTCCAAATGTCAGGAAAGGTCTTTTTGCATCAATCAATACTTCAAATGACCATCTACATCAGGGGTCTCCAACCTTTTTCCTCCAGTGAGCCACTTTTACAAAACGAAAATGCTAGAGCTACTAGTTTTTGCAGTCACAAGAAACTGAGCAAATATAAGTGCCACGGCGAGCCTTAGATGAGGTAGAGTTAGATGCCTATAAAACATAAACCCTTATCCATTTATTAGTGTGCAAAGTTAGGCATCAAAATAACTCATGTACAGTGGTAAAAGGAATTTAATTAATCCAATTTTACTTATTCAGCACAATACGTGTAATTCCGAAATCCCTTGGTGAGCTACTTGGAAGGGGGTGGAGAGCGACAGGTTGGAGACCCCTGATCTAGATACTAGTTTCAGTATTCGATTTCTAATATTTTGAAGACCGCGCTAGGTAAGACCCAAGTTCGCACACCTATTACTCATTATATTAGCCCTACTGTGAACCCAGTTTGGACCCAAACAAGGTCTAGTGAGCACTATGGTAGATTTAGCTTACGTCAGTTGCAGCACGTCAAACACATTGCAGTTTGCAGGTTCTCAGCCATTTCAAACTGCGTAACTTTCTCTTGCCATGCACTGCACTTAAAACACACACCAGCACTGTTTTGATGAATCTCCTGTCTCTCTCCTGAATGCAACTTATCTCTGCTCCTGTCCTCCTCATCTACACCTGAACAATATAAAAACAGCAGACATGTCACTCATCAAAAAGCAAAAGGTAAAATATAGACAATTCTTTTTTTCTTTTTTAAAGCAATGATTTCATATTATTGATGCTTTGCAGTGACATCACGCTGGGGGTGTTCTGCAAGTGTGTCAAAGGCGGAATGTCAGCAGTTTTCATGTTGACTCAACGTACCAAAACACACAAGCACTGCCAAAAGAGATTAAAAAACTCATTTCCAGGAGCCTGTGATCAATACCCGTGTGATCATGACCCTGTTTAGGTAGGGTGAGCAGATTTTCAAAATAAAAAACTGGGACATCCCTGGAGTTTGGGTTGGTTGGTAATAATAAAATTGTGAAATGAGTATAGTCACATTTTCTTTGTGTTTAGGTAAACTACAGAAAAGCTGCTTAAAAATGACCAAAACAAATGACAATTTATGCCTCTCTTTACTGTTGGCAGGGATCAAATTGGACCAAAATAGGGAAACGGTGGATATTTCTTGTATAAAACTGAGACAAATCACTGGCTTTGGATAAATCTGCAGGGACAATGGACACAGGACTCAAAACTGTGACTGTCCCGGTCTGGTCACCATATGTTTAGGTGCTTGATGTCAACAAAAAGACGAGAGTGAAGTGAAAAACTGTTGGGTAATGCTAGCTATCTTATGACTGTAATTATGCAAAAGAGACTTGTTTAACAGCACAAATCATAACACGAACTTCAACTAAATCAGTTCCTTATGGCCAGACTGCATTAAAACCTCAGATTAAGGTCAAACAAAGCCTCAGACAGAGCAGTGCCTACAGTTAGCAGCACACCCTCAGGGAATATTGATGAAATCAGCTGCAAAGTATCAATAATTCAACTTTATTCATCTTTTATTGCCCTACCTTGCACATCGGGGTCATCTAAGTGCGGCTGCAAACAGTCCAACACCTTCTGTATCTGGTCACTGGTGGAATTGGACTTTGCTTCGTGCGTGCAGCTATCGCCCGGTTGTTCCATCTGCTTTGGCTGTTCCTCGTTCGTCTTATCCTCCTCTTCTCTCCCTTCCTCTTTCGTCGACGTCGTTAGCATCTCCAGTTCGTCGCTGATGTCCGGTAAAGGAGGCCTCCAGTAGCGGAAAGAGTTAAAGTTCTCGTCTGTCTGCTCATTGTCTGTGGTGGTACTGCTGCTGTTGTTGAGGTGGTTGTGTTTGAAGCTGGCCTGGGCGTTTGGCGTGTGGTGGGGCTGGCTGTGAGGCGTGTGGTGGCTGTTGTATTCGTAGGTGCGCATGTCTTCGCGGTCGGCCGTTAGCGAGCGCTCGGGGGATGGCGTGGCGCGGCCGTCCTGGTTCGGGGGTGTGTGGGTGATGGTCCGCTCTGTGCTGTGGTGCGTGCTCGGGCAGTTCAGGGAGTTTAGGGAGCAGTCACTGTAATAACAAAAGAACAAACAACTAAAATTCAGCCCCCACATTCACTATTGTCAATTACTGTCAAACATTATGAAAAAGTTTAATATTTATTACAATATATAGAGTGAAGCTTGAAAGTTTCACTATGTGCCATGGGTCAATATAAAATACGGGTTTGACAAAAAATACTGAACCTTTTTATGATTTTCCATTAGTTCTAATGCATTCTAATGTTCTGTACATGGTCAGTCAATAAATATTTAATTATTTTTTTCCATTTTCAACTTGCACAAACTAGTTGTATGGAAATTTGTCAAGTTGAGTGTTGAGTTTGAGTCGTGCTGACCCATCAGAGAACCCTGACTTCATAGAACTCTTGTTACATTTGGAACCAACTCCGAACAATAAAAAAGAAAAAGTTCAATATTTATTTAAAAAAGCAATAATTACATATTATTGACACTTTGCAGTGACATCACACTGGGGGAGTTCTACATGTATGTCAACGGTGGAATGTCAGCAGTTTTCATGGTGACTCAGCACACCAAAACACACAAACACGGCCAAAAGAGCTTTAAAAACACATTTCCCGGAGCCTGTAATCAATACCCATGTGATCATGACCCTGTTTTGTGTGTTTGATGTCAACAGAAAGATGAGTCATGTGAACCCAGGCTTCATTAGAATCATAGTTACGTTTGGAACTTTCATTTTACCTCTGGACAAAAAAACCTGCGTATCACTGTGTGTTCTAAGGGCACAAGCTCACCAAATCTGCCACCCCTGTACTCTAGGTCAAGGTTTCTCAGACTGATGGTACACAAGCTCCTTCAGGTGGTACACGAGTAGCTCTTCAGTATTTGGGTTTGCCTAATTCTGAGTCAAGTTTATCGAGTTTTATAATTGCTTGTTTAGAACTACAGATCATATAGCTCACTTATGGTTCAGCCCCAATTTAGAACTGGAATAGACCTGTTATAGACTTGAATAAGATCTGGTGGTACTCAGTAAGCCAAATCTTCTTCTTGATACGTTTGAGAGCCACTAATCTAGGTTTAACGGTATCCAGTATCCATCCAGTAGTAGCATACACAACAAGTTAAATGACATTTAACATTTGTTTTTCCCACTATATGAGGAAGTCTTACTCACTTGTCTGCTGTGCACCTGGGCACCTCGAGGAGGGCTCCGTCCTCTCTGAAGTGAAGGCCCGTACTGGAGGGGTTGGCGAAGGTGGAGATGAATCGCCCCAAAGACTGAAAGGCAGCCTGTCGGACCTAAGGAACAGAACAGTGTGCAACATCTTTGTTTAATAGTGAAGTGATTTAACAAGTTATGTAAAATAAGATGTTTAATGGAACAAACCAATATTGCAAAAAAAAAAAAAAATAAAAAATAGGAATTTCATTTTTTTCTGTTGAATTGAGCAATAACGTTCAAAAATCAGTGCTGGATGATCAGTGGCCACGGTCCAAAACCTGACCCACAAAATGACTAAGCTCAACTCTGATGTAAATGTTTCAAAAGTGGGAACAAGATGATCGGATGTGTCAGGCCATTTCACAAGTATTACTCCACACAGTATTGAGGAAGCGAAGGTCTTTCAAGTGCGCGAGTCTTACCCAACGGGACTGGTCACTGATGAGACTGATGAAGAGGGGGGACAATTTGGAGCGTCGCACTTCCGGAGAGGTGGAGTTTGACACCATCATAAAACACTCTGCACAGGCTTTTCTGATGCCCCACAAACTGTCGGAGCACAGGTCGAAGAATTTGGGCATCTGGGAAAACAGAGAAAGAGGAAGACATATGAGATTTTGAACGCTGAAATCTCAAAAGTCAGTGGGTGGAATTGGCTCATTACATTTATAATCATGTGTGACAGATGTTAATACTTAGAGAGAGAAATAATGTCCAACCAGCTGCTCAACATGACTCAATGCAAACAATCTAATCTAACCAAATCTAGGTCATCTCCTAGATTAACTTCACATAACTTTCATTCCTTACACACTTTGATACATGATTTTAAAGGTCCTATATTACACTAAATTGACTCTTGTGAGCTTTTAGCCACATTAGAATGTTGTTACCTCCTAAAAACATACCCTGACTTGCATTTTGTTTCATTCACACATGATGAATAATCCTTTATTATTAGTATGTCTGCTACTCTGATGTCAAGAAGCAGTAGTTTAAGTTATCTGCTACCTTTCGTTCAGAATGGTTTGGCAAATCCAAGGCTGAAATTATCCAAAATGATTCAAGTGAAGGTGAATGGAGTTTAAAAACACAGTGGAGCACTTCCTGTATTACCACATATCACAAGATGGAACAGAGTGTTGAGAGTAAAAGAAGAACACAGCCTAAATATGCAGATTTGTGTGGTAATTTGGTATAACAGATCAGAAAATAGAGAAATATGGACCCTTAAACAATCTAATACAAGTTATGTAGTTTTTGTGATATACATGTTTCAATTTCCAACTTGGGGAAAAAACTTTTATACTTAATCATTCAATTAACATTCTATTTATTTCACTTCAAGATCTTCCTTAATCTTACCAGTAGCTTTTCTGTTGCTTCTTGGCCAACAATCGAGCAGAACTCCCCAAAATTAGCAGCACAAACCTAAAAAACAAAACACACGTGCAAAATTACTTCAAGTTTTAAACTCAAAACAAACAGACATAAACATTACAGTGAGCAGTAGTGACAAAAACACAGTTGAGTACATGTAATTGTACGCTTCCAGGCTGAGGTTTAGTTACAAATTAGGCTAAAGTTGTTACTGCATGCCATATAACAACTGGCACCACTCATACAAGGCATTAACATTCCAAGGCAAACAACAGCGCAGTGTGCTACAAACTCTCGAAACAAAACCACGCCTGAAGGCTTCAAATTAATTTAATCTTCAAATCTAATCATTGTATTTTGAGAGAGGTGCCCCGCTGGAGGTGTAGAAATGTGTGAACGCTGTATCTGACTCTGAGAATAAGACTACAGGGTATTCAAACAGAGAAATAAAATTGTAGGTAAGGATAGGATGTTTGCGATGTACTTCATGCGTTTCTATGGCGCAATATTCAGCCGTTACCAAGGTGACACAATGCACAAATCAGCAAACACAGCCAATAAGCCAAAAACTCAAGAAAAAAAAAACACATTTATGGACCAATTTAGGTGAAATTTAACAGAAAAGACAGTTGGCTAATGATAATAATTTTGGAGGAACTTGTTCAACAGGTGAGCTGATTCGCACTAGTTTTAGTAAAGTCAGTTCTTTCTGGTTAAAAAAAAAAGAGCAGAATAAAGTCTAATTTTAGAACTGAACTTCAGACAGAGCAGAGAGGACTACATTCAGATCATACTCCATGTAACTGTACAACAACTCACCCTTATGTAACAGATAACCCTATGTCCTGTCAATCATCACATCATCTTTGCAATGTTTTCCTTACAACCTCTTGTATATAACAGTGATATACTGTATTTATATTGCTATATTTGTTTTTCTATTTTACAAATACATTTATAGAACAATTATGCCTCTTTTGACACCAGTCTCTTGCTATTTTTATTACCATTTTAATATTTTTTTTACTCTGTTATTGTAATATAATGTGATGTGTGAGCTACTGTATCCAAGTAATTTTCCTTGTGGGTCAATAAAGTTTGGCTAAGTCTAAGTAAGTCTAAGTCAGTGCCTGCAGTTAGTATCACACTGTGGGGGCATGTTGATGGCGTCAGCTGTAAGGTATTTGTTTGGTACCTTTCGGACTTGGAAGAGTCTGGCGTCGCTGCAGAGATCGCAGAAGCGCGGCAGGAGGAGGTGCTCCACTGTGTCTTTGCTGAGCATGGTCACCACTTTACACATGATCTGTAAGAAAAAAATATATACTGTATTAAAATAATGTAGTGTTTACCAACTTTTTACCAGCTATTGCTCAAGTAAAATCTGGGGTCACATCGTCTATGCTAAACACAGAAACTAGACAACTTGATAGACATGTTGATTTATTAGAAAGTGGGTGATGTTAAGTGCCTTTAATAACTCATCTTGACCAAAAGGTGAGATTTCAAAAGCATTAGAGTAAAAATGACGTAAGATTTGCTTTAAGGTGCATTGTGTAACGTTTTTGGTGGAAGGTCCGTCAAATGCTTTTCTCCATGATGTTATTGCTTTGTCTGGAATATTTCACAGCATGGCATTAAACCTTTCTATCTTCATGGAGACCAAACCAGACCAAGTTACAGGTCAGATCTGTGGAGAGACAACCTGCTCACAGTCAGCATGTCTGTTTTTCTAGGTATTTTTGAGCTATAAAACCACCTGTACTTTAATAAATGTAAGGTAGAGCTGTTTAATGTCATACTGTGGAACATTCCAGGCAGAGCAATGACATATCCATAGAAACAAGCAGGTGACTAACCCCCAACCAAAAAGTTACATAGTGCAAACTTAAGGTTAGTACTTTCTCAACTAAGAAACATAACGCGTATCCATTAGAGAGATAAGAAGAAAAAATATATGTTTGTGCTGAGACAATCTACTTTTAGAATCTGACAATTTAATAAACAGCATTCATCGATCAGCGGCCAGTGACACACACCAGATAAAGCTCCGACAGAAACAGTAAACTAATAAAAGAAACTCTGCCGCGTCTGCCAAGCCTCACAGATCATAAATTGATTTGTTGCTCTTAGTTATAGTCTATTAATACATGTCAGTGTAACTGTTAACAAATGTTAAATAGTTACTGTTTAACTAAATGGCCGTGTAAAAGGAGTAATGTGTGTAAACAGGGATTAAATATTGGCAGAGTACTTTTGATAGGTACTTTAGTGTCCATAAATAAATTCAGTGCATAAAAGGACCTCAAATTTTTTTAATACATTCATTTAATATTTTAGCGTTATTGTAGCTGGAGCTGTAGTCCTTTAGTCATTTAATTGGGCAACAGTGTCTTATTCGACCAAAGTTTCTACTGGTCAACTAGTAACTTTATTTTTTATTTTATTAACGATTATTTAATTTCTATTATAAAAATTATGAGCACAACAGAAAGGCAAAAGTAGGGGGAGAATTAGTTGAAGATTTGGGAGTGAATTCTGTTTTTAAATCCCCCTTTGCATACAAATATAAAAGGCCTTAAGGGGCTATTTATTTTGTTAATGTGTTTTTTTATTGAAACAGATGTGAGAATGTGTTTATATTTTGTCATTTTTGCTCTATCAAAGTTTCGTTGTATTTTGTACAATGACAATAATTCTAATCTAAACCACAGTAAATACACAGTAGTAATTTAAGTACAGTTACAAAGTGAGATCACAGAGATAATTAAATGGGAGCTTTTGTCTTTAGTCAACTAACTGATTGGCAGGGCTTGATCCTTTGTCTTTAGTCAACCAACTTTAGTCGATAGCAACCCCAGTTCTCATTAAAAACAAAGACTAATGGTGGCCCCCATAATCTAAAATGAACATGGACTCACTTTGCTTCATACATAACATAAAAACAGTAACTACACTGTTCAAAAAAATGCTAAAAATATGAAATACAGGAAATATGTGACATTTGAACTGCACAAATTGTATGAAAGTATCTGTGACACCATAGTCTAAACTAAATCTAAAAGAAACCTTGCAGCCCTATTATACTTCTCAAGAGGTACTCATATTTAACCCTTTTAATTCAAGTCAAATTTAGACACATGGGGGAGGATCATTTTCCACACTTGAGCACAATCTTGGTAATTTTATCTATTTGCGGCAGGAGGTATCGCGTCCCATCCCTAGAGGCGAATGCCTAAATAGAAATACTTAGAAACACTCACGGCCACGGCCTCGATCTTGTAGTCGTCATCACATCGGGGCTCTGTGAGGTCGAGGAGGACGGGGCACACTTTGGTCTCCATGTCGGCTTTGGAGATCAGACCCTGCTCCAGGAGAACCAGCAGTGCCGCCTGGCTGGTTTTACGCACCTGTGGAAGATTAAAAACACAAGAAACTGTTAGGAAAGGTGGCCAAAAAAAAAATCATACATGCAGGATTATTGTATTAAAGGTCGTACAATATCTACCCTTTACCTTTTGTTCAAATTATTCTAGTGAAGGTGCAGGGTGTTTAAATAGCACTTCCTTCCTATTATCAACATGACATTACAGTTTGTAATAGAGGGTTTTTTTGTGAGAGAGAACTCAGCCTAAATATGCAGAGTTTGTGTGTGAAACATGTGCGAATGGAACAAACAAAACAGGTATTAGAACATAGATCAGAAAATAATGCAATACTCGCCTTTTAAGGTTAATTAAAAAACATTTCTGGTAAAACATGTTCTCATATCCAGTAAAATATGAGATCACTGGATGTTCCTGGACCTTGATTACTTAAGATCACTTAATAACATAAAAGCTGCAAAATTGGCTGTGAATAATCACAGAGAAATTTGATGATTTTGCTGTTAACATGTCATTTTATTATTCCTCTAAACACCAGAAATGAGATAAGATTTTGTGCATGTAACTGCAGCCACTGTATGATCTATAACAGGGCTGAATGTTTTGGCAAAAATATCCAATTGTGATGTTTATGACAAAAATTGTGATTGCGACAAAATTTTAATAATAGGATTCTGTTCAAAGTTCTCATTTTAAACATGTCCAGAAGAATTTACAAAAACTCTGAACTATGAACTGCCAAAATAATACAAGAGTGACATTTCAGAACCTGTTTGTACAGGTCTAAACTACAGGGTTAGCAGATTTTAAGCAGAATCAGACAGGAGACTTTGTTGTTAGTGGAAATTGTGGAACTTCAAAAATTGCAGCCTTTGTGATTTGCTAATTGCGTCTATTCACATTGTGATTTTGCTTTGATTGCAGTTCTAATTGTAACGCAGTCGTTTTGCAAGTAGTTAAAAATTTACCCATGACATAAAAACATCAATTTCACTCAAAGAAAAGGCTGTTTTATGGTTCTAGATAATGATTAACATTGCATAGATACTGTAGATATTGTACTGTAATGTATTTTTCAGAAACAGTAACAAGTAATGCCCATAAAGGTGAGATGATTGTATTTTTTACGCTAGATAGATATGTAGGCAACAGCAATGACATCTCCATGAACACAAACAGGTGACAGACTCTCCACCAGAAAAGTAGCGCAATACACCTTTAATGGTTGCTAGAAAGAAATGGAAAGAAAGAGAAAAAAACTCACTTGGTTGTTGGGGTCTGTGAGATAGCGTACTACGATGGGGACCAAGTATCTGGAGAAGGCTGCTGGGAAGTTGGGTCGGCTCTCGTGGAGGAACATGGCGATGTTTGGGACCTGCTCCATGAGTTCGGCCCGGACTGTTGGCTCTGCGACGAAGGACAAATAAAGAAAGATATTCAGGGTCAGCCAGTCCATTTTTGTTCCCAGCACAATTCACATAAAAATAAACAACACGAATACCACACGCACGTATTATTAGAAGGGTCTATGGTGAATACCCAGAATATGAACTCTAAAACGTGATTTACTGTTGAAAGGGCCCAATACCGCACACCTTCACTAGAATCATTTGGATTATTTCACACTTGTGGGTCTGACGCTGTATCCTCTCTTCCCAATTTCAGTTGGGTGTAATTTAGAGGTGGATAAACTAATCACTGCAGACATGGCAGATGATAAGGATGATATGTATAGACAGTGTAGAGTGCTCTATGCTCAGGCAAATACTCTTATGCGCAAGTTTGGTTCTAGTACAAATTATGTAAAGCCCACCTCTGGATTAATTACAAAAAAGCCAGTTTGCAAAGACTGCAGGTGGCTTATAATGATGCTTTGCTGGTGCTTTTGAGGAGGCCACGATGGACGAGTGCGACGGGCGATGTTTGTTACTGCACAAGTTAACACTTTCCAAGCTGCACTAAGAATTTTAATGTACAGTTTTATTTTCAGGCTGAACAAATTGGACAATGAAATAATAATGTCACTCACAAATATGAGATTCACTGCAATAAGATATCAGTTCAATATGTGGAGACACTGGTAGGGCAGTCTTTTAAAAACATAAATGTTCATTGTTTTGTAATGTCACTGTCCTTGTCTGTTTTAAAAATGGACCATGTGTCCAGAATAAAGATGAACTCAACTGAACTAATCCGAGATGCTGACCTGTTAATGTAGAAAGACAATATGACACCCTACACATAAAAAAAAAAGTGGGGGGAAGAGGACTAACAGTGTATAAACTCTGATACAAATGAAGGATTTTAAATGTGATTATTTGGCGTTTTGGGCATGATAATAAATGCAGGTTCAAAATAAGGTGTTAGTAGTTACTTTTAGATTACACTGAACAACAAGTGTAAGGAGTAGAAAAATCATATTTTTCATAGTCACAATGGTCCAAATGTTAAAAAGTCCAAAAATATACATATTCTTTCTTGTAAATGGTGTGCACAATTCTCCAATTTAACCAGGAGCTTTCATTTAAAGACCAGTCTCACCTCCATCCTCCGACATCCGAGCTACAGTCTCCATGACGCTGATGAAGTCATTCTCGTTGTCGCTGAACTCTCGTAGCACGTCCAGGAGACCGCGAGCCACAATTTGCCTAGAAAGCAAAAGGGAACCAGAGTCAGTGGAGGGAGGGTGAATGTCTTGACTATAATACCTCCTGTAACAAGTGCAGAGTTAACACAGAACTGTCAGAGCCGTCAACTACATTACACGCTTTTGTGCTTGGAAACAACCACACCGGGCTGAGCGTGGAGAGCAAAGAGACGAGAGGCTAATGTGATTTTAAGAGTGGACAGGCAAGTGTGACTGAGCATGGGCACATTTTAGAAGAATTAAAAGGTCCTGTATTACATTTTAAAAGATATACATAATTACAATGATACAGAGCATATTTTCTAGGGCTGCAATTAACAATTACTTTTGCAGATGAGCAGTCAGAATTTTTGTTTCAATTAGTCAGCAACTCAAACTGTTATGTCTATGGTACATTGAAGACAAAATATGCTAACATAATTCTTCTAAATAGAGAATATATACAAATAAAATGCAATCTTGCAAACAAGGATATAAAGTAGTATTTCTGCTTGGTCATGGATATTTTTTTTACCATCTTACAGTTTATTTTAATTTAATCAAAAATTTCAGATTAAAGACTAAACTGTCTTTAATTTTCCACCATATTTTGTTGTTCATTGTTCAAAAAGGCTGCTTAAATATGAACTACAGGCAATAAATGACATTCAAACTCTACAAATAGTATGAAAGAAAATAATTATAATATGGAAAGTATTTGTGCCACCATAGTCTGAACAAGTGTATAGGAAACAAAGGGATTTTTTTCTTAATATTGTCCACTTCTGGATCAGTAGTTTTCAAAACAGACAAAAATGCTGAAATCTCAAAACTGGAACATAACTGCCCCGAAATTAAACAAAAGAACACCAGCAAACAGAGCGGAAATCATTAACAATCTGTGGAATTGTCTTTTCGTATTGTTACATTGGATTTAGAGCAGGTATGCACTTCGTAAATAAACAGGAATGCAGATAGCCATCAGGAAGACAACACATCCTGACGTCAATGTTAGCAGCTCGATCATTTCCTGGAGTTTTGAATAAGTGCCACCAAAACGGCAAACGTCCAAGAGGGAGTAAGATAGGAAGTGGAAACCCGCTTCCAGGAGTGAAATCAAAAGTTCACGTAACACATATCCTATCAAATCTAAAGGGTGACAACATTTCCCCGTTTAACAGATGCTTCCTAGTTACAGTCAAAGGGCAGATGCGTCCTTTTACGAACCACCGGGGGATTCAATTATACAAGTCGTTAACAAGAACATGCATTTAAATTGGTGCAAATTTTCTCACTTTCAAATAGGTGTCAACACATCCCTAAAATCCCAAATGAAAATGTATGAGCTGTTTGAAGTTAAAGGTCCTACATTATGCAACATTGACTCTTGTGAGCTTTAAGCCATGTTAGAATGTTTTTACCTCCTCAAAAGCATACCTGGAGTTATGGTTTGCTTTATGCACACATGCCTGAGTAACCCTGTCATTAAGTGGTAGTTTCCAAGTTAACAGCTTCCGTTTAACTCCTGTTCAGTAGAGATCGGCAATTCCAGATTTGAAATTATCCAAATTATTCTAGTCAAGGTGTATGACACGACATCACACGGTGGTACAGAGTGTTTTCAGTTCGAGACAAGAACTCAGCCTAAATATAGGGTTTGTGCGTTAAATATGTGTGAATGTATGACGCACAAACCCTGTGAATGTATGTATGTTTTCAATGAGCAAACAGCATTATGACATAGATCAGGGGCCCTGTAACTCACCTGTTAAAAACATTTTCACTGAAGGCGTATTTCTCTAGCCTCCCGAGTGGAGTGAGGTTGTCTTGTCCTGCATCGAGGAAAGCTGTGATGCGGATTCCGTCGCACTCTGAACCGTAGTCATCGAATCCAACTGTGAAATTAGACATTGGCAGTTTAATACATGGTTTCCTTCAAGCTGAGCATGTTTGTAAATAAAGATACATAAAAACACAGGGCTGTGCCATTGATCAAAATTGTCATTGTGGTTTTAATTATTGCTCTATTCAATTACAAAAATTTTGTAATGGAAAATACAATGAATTCACTTAAAAAATAAATAAATTAATTTCTTCTTCTTCAGAATGTTATGTGTGCTCATTGTACCCTGTAAAACCTGGAGCAAAGCCACTGGTCAAAGCTAAATAAATATAACCAAAAGGTTTTGAAAAATAAAGTATCACAAGATATTCCTAATAATAAAATATATTAGGACTACTTCCCTGCAGGTTAATCTTGACAAAACTGTTTACAATTATTTGACTTATTATTTCAGTTATTTCAATCATGTTTTTTGTCCAGAATTGGGTAAACTATGTGGTGTTGCTTTCTATGAAATCTGCATATTTACAATAATAATTCTGAGCTTTGATTTAAAAATGCAATTTCATGGAAAACAACACATATTGCCACATCCAGCAATAATGCATCTCTGTTTTTTTTTTTCCAGAATTAAGCCAATTACATACAATTTGTTCAAATTCATGGACAGAAACAAATATTTATTGGTATTTTAACGCAGACAGTTGCCGTCATGAACATGAATGAAGCCAAAACAGCCTGGAGCATTTTCCCCAAAACATGGACTTTTATGTTTTCTTGTTAAAGACTAATAATAGTGCAGCATAAAAGATGAAATACTGTTGGCAGCTTTAAATTTCACAAGTGCACGAGGGTTGTGCAGGAAGACGATACTCCACCATAAAACGTGTTGTTGAAAAAGGAAAAAAAGACAGTCTACACATAATACTACTAATAATACTCTACTACATAATGTACAGGACAAGAAATCAGAGAGTTAATGGGATAAGATACTCACAGTCATCCAAATCGTCATGGCCATCTTCAAAATATAAAGATAGACCTACAGCAGGGGATAAGACAATTTAGTAACACTGGAAAATGAGAGGGACTCAAGGGGCCAATTAGCACAAAGCCTTTAGTAACAAAAGTAAATCTTTCAAAATAAGTTCAGGATCAGTGTTTCGGCAATTGTGGTTTCCGAAGTGTGAAAATGTGAGACAATATATCTTTAGGTTGTTCTTTATATTTTGCAACAGTAAATGCAAGTGAAAACATGTACCAGTGTTGTAATATCGTGCATGACATAACCAACAGCTACCCTGCTATAAAATGTGTAGGTTGACTGATAATAAAAAGGCACGATACAGATGTGCCAGTAGAGTGACCAGATTTTCAAAACACATAACTGGGATATCCCTGGTTTGGGGTGGTTTGTAATAATTAAACTGTGAAACGAGTGTGTAATTAAGGAAAAATTTTACATTTTCTTTGAGTTTTGGTAATTTTTAAGCAGATTTTTTGTATTTTATTTAAACAAATCACAATTTATGTCTCTCTTTGTTGGCAGATGTCAGACTGGTCAAAAATAGGGACACCTGAGACATTTCTTGAATAAAGCTGGGACAAATCACTGGTTTTGTATAAATCTGCAGGGACAGGGGACACAGGGCTAAAAACTGAGACTGTCCCGGGTAAACAGGGATGTCTGGTCACGCTATGTTACAGTACAGTAACTTATCAGAGCAATCCAAAGAGCCCAGAAAACGCCCGAAGACAAGCAGCATGTGGTGAGCCTGTGTTTACAGCTGAAAGAGCTTCTCACACAGCTTATAATGTCATATCCCACTTTACACATGGGCTAATCGTGCATTTAGATCGGATTACACATTTAGTCTGTTTAAAAATACAGCCCCAATTACATTTGCAGAGTGGGACCGGCTCATCTTTGTTGGAGGTGTTAAGTAGGACTTGCTCAGCTTATGCCTGAAAATGACTTTAGCAGCACGGCTAGTGTTAGCTCCCTCAAGTCGCTAGCCTTTGCTATGACAACAGTTCGATAACAAACACATTTCAAACTTCACTCAGCACATGAACTACAAGAGACAAATGTTTGATACTGGAATCAATTAAAGGAGTTAAGTTATTCCACTAATCCCGCCTCAGATGCACTGGTTTCATAACCCCGAGCAGAGTCTTAGCTAGCTGGCTAGTAGCGCTAAGTTTGCTAGTGCGGCTTGTCCAGCCCGTTCGCTTGACTTGACTTGCCAAAGCAGAGACTTCTTTGTTTTTACGCAAATGCAGTCATACAATACTGATCCAAAAGCCCAATTTCCAGGCATTTGCAGTATTATTAACACTAATCCAACACCTGGGATGTCTCAAAAGTGGCAGAAAACAATGTTAAAAGTCTGCTTACCTGCCATCTTGAGTATCGGCTCGGCTCTGCGGGCTGCCGTCCGTCCGTCCGCTGTGGGCTGTCACCGCGGCACAGCTGTCACTCAAAGCTACAAAACTACTTCCTGAAAGTACTTCCTGATGCTGGAGTATGTGGCTCTTTTATCCTTCAGAGCGGGGCTTCTGGCACAGCGCTCAGCTTTGGCACAAACTCGACATCGCGGCGCATAAACACACCTTTGGGCTTTGTGTGGACGTCCAAACAAAAAAGCCGACCGACGCAGTCACGTGACCTCATGCCGTAATCCAAGATGGCGGCGGAGCCAGTCCAGCGCTAGCCCCAGGTTTGGATATATAACGGTAGATCTCGCATGGACTGCCGCTCTCTATTGGAACGAAGGCGTCAACATAGCCGCCATCTTGGTACAGGCTTTAAATGAATGGAAATAAATTGTGGACAAGGCAATATCAATATTCAAGATTAGTCCTGGTTCAATCCTGGTTTAGTGCTGGTTCAGTCCTGGTTTAGCTCTGGTTCAGTCCTGGTTTAGTCCTGTTTTAGTCCTGAGTTCAGTCAGTCTGGGTTCAAAACACAACATTTAGTATCATAAGATTACAAATTTAAATCTTAACTATTTAATTTTATCCCTTGCTCTTTCGTCTTCCTATTTCGCTCGTTCGCACGTTCGTATGCGGCGCAAAAATCCAGCATCTTCGCTCGCTGATACTGTGAACAGCTACATTACCATGGAAACCCTGTACCAAGATGGCGGCGGTATTAACGCATGCCAAGAGGCTGAACGCGAGATCTACCGTTCTATATATCTATGAGCCCCAGGTAGCTGTTTACAACATTCACAACAGGATGGATACTGCTCAAGCATTAATCTGCGTTTTCTAACTCTATAAAGAAGAATATTTAATCTAACATGTGATGACTTTAACCACCGTGAAGTAGAATCGCCTGTAAACAGCGACCACCTGAAGATTTTTTCCACAAAACTAAATAGTCAAGGGAAAGCTGCCAATGCTCCTCATAACTAACTAACATCAAGAGAGGATATGGGTATGACACTAAGAGAGTTAAAAGTTTGTCTGCTGGGGGTAAGTCACTGTCTTTGTTTAAAATGCTGACCAGTGCACTTTCTTTGTTTTGTCAAATTTCTACTTTCTGTATCCGATTACACTACGGCTCATTTTACTGTCTGTCTCGAGGTAAACTTGTAAATGAGGTGGCCATTCATTAATTATGAATTACATGTGACTCATGCAAATAATACGTAGTGGAAATTACTGGCTATAATTATGATTAAGTAGACGTTAATGCTGAATAATATAATGTTGTCTTGTGGTAAGTTTCATTAGACATCTGCATTGTCTATATATTATCTGATTATATGGAATGCTTGATGATACTACTGTATGTTATAATTTTCATAATCATAATATATTCTTCTATTTTTGTGTGTGTTTTGCAGGAAACTGGGGTTGGAAAATCAAGTATTGTTTGGCGATTCGTTGAGGACAGCTTCGATCCAAATATCAACCCTACAATCGGGTTTGTTTCTACTCAGTTCCGCTTTCATATTAATATTATTAGAGATCTTAGTCATTTCCTTCTTCTGCTTTGAACTACATGAACAGAAACATTTAATTTTTCTAATCAACCATAGTCAAATATAGTGTAGGAATAGTAACTGTTAGACATTTGTTAAGATAAGATAATCAAACCTTTATTTGTCCCACAATGCTGAAATTTCAATGTGGCAATGCAAAGGTTAAGAACAACAAGAGAATAGAAATAAGAACTAAAAATCAGAATAAATAAATACATTTAAACATGGAATAGACCTAAATTTAAAGGTACACTGTGCAACTTTTCTGATGAAGCATCCATCACCTGCTTGTCTTCACGGAGATGCTATTGCTTTGCCTGGAATGTTCCACGTTATGACATTAAACACATCTATCTAGCATTTATTCATTACAGGTGTTTCTATTGCTCAAAAATACAATAATAACTGTGACTAGGGCTGCCTCTCCACAGATCTGACCTGTAAAGTAGCCTATAGCTGTCTCCCTTGAGATAGATAGGTTTAATCTCTACCATGGAACATTCTAGACAATGTAAAAACATCTCTATGGAGACAAGCAGGAGGCAGACACTTCTCCAGAAAAGTTGCACAATGAGAAAAAATTAACTTGTAAACATTTAGTTGCATAACACAATATCTTTAATAACTAATTACAACAGTTGCGGTATTTGAATGTATATCTGGTTGTATTTAACTTGTGGTATTTGACGTATCACACTTTTTCTAGAAGAATTATATATTTCAGAAGTTGCTGTTAAAATTAATCTCACCGGATATTCATGACAACCAAAATAATCCCTATATGCAAATAAATCATCCTATAGATACACAGTTAATTATGTTATGTTCAAAAATGTGAAGTGACCTATGGTAATTCAAGATAGTCGTGTGACAATGGTGTATTTGTTACTTGTTTTCCAGGGCATCCTTTATGACGAAGACAGTGCAATACCAGAATGAGCTGCATAAGTTTCTGATCTGGGACACAGCAGGGCAGGAGCGGGTGAGTACTGTCTCCATTGTTGCCTTTACAATGGATTTAGGTGTAGTTATAAAGTCTTGTCACAGCGTTTTTGTCTGAAAGAAGACTCTCTATGTACCTTCTTGAAAATGCGTAGTTGTGTAGTTGAACATTTTTTCTGATAGGGGGCAATGCATACCTTTGGATAAGTGAGACGGTTCCTTTGAGGAGTTACAATTTTTAGGATTCCCCAGCCCCCCCTTACAGCAAGATGAGCAAGTGAGCAATGAATTTGGTTAAATCTACTGGAAAATTTTGTAGCCTGGTATAATTTGTCCTTTATGTTAACTCTGCCCTTTGACCTGTCACTCCCTCCAGTGTCACGCTTTTGTTTTCAAAGCTTTCATGTAATTTAGGAACCTCTCTTAGTTCCCCTCAAGTTCAGTATGAAGATTTTGTAATATTAGGGGCGGCTAAAAGTAACAGAGATAAGTTTTTATGTATGTTTATAGAAGATAATAGACAAAAGATGTCAGTTTAGATTGTAATTCTTCAGTAAGTGTTGTTCTCATGCAGTACTTGCAGCAGGGTTTCTTGACATGTTCCTCCAATAATAACTTATGAAGATATTTTTGTAAACTATTTAAAACTCATTAAAAGGTACTCTAACCTAACCTACTATTACTATTATTTTTATCTTTTCACCAGAAAGTTTCACAGTATCACATTAAACGTATCCATTTTACATTTATTCCATTACAGATTTTCTCATTGTGAACTTGCTTGCCTCTTTATAGATGTAACGTTTCCTGGGTGCATTACTTTTAATTATAATGCCATATTGTGAGATGTTCCAGGCAAAAGCAATAACATCTCTTTGAAGACAAGTAGGTGGAAAAGTTATGCAGTGCACCTTTAATTAGTTACCATTTAGACTGTCAAGGTATTGTTCAGTCCAATCAAACAAGACAGTTTCTGAAGTTGAACACTAAAAACGTCAGCCGAATTATGTTCCGGACAAAAGGAACTAATAAAAACGATAGATAAAAATAATAAAATCAATGAAGAAAGATAATAAAATCAGTTAAAGCAGTACTAAACAACTGTGTAAAGGAAGTTGCAACATGTGGTTAAAAGTATAGCCGCACATATGTTGTAAGAGATTTTCCTGCACACATGTTTAGGATTAAAGGCTCAGAGTACTATATCCTCATGTTTGAACTGAAATACCAAACAATACTTTGCATACACTGGGCCTTAGTGGGTATTTACGGACCACTTTCTCCTTTGACTCAACCAGCTGGAGACATTTTCATCACTTCCCTTATAGCGCATGTCCTTCTGCTTTCTAGTACAATCTCTCCAGTGAAGTCAGATAAGGTTTGGCCCCGTCTTTTATCCCGGTTCCCCTGGGGCCTGGTGTCTTCGGGGCCCCAAGAGGACAACAACACGGGTCGGTTTAAGATAAGATGTGAGAGGCTGAAACCGGAGCTGTCTCTGCCCACTGGGGTGTGCTGTTGCTGGGGGCTTATCTGAGACGCGTTGCCACTCTAGACCTGTTTTTGTCCCTTTGAGTGTTCTGTATTCTTCTCAGTCTATTTTGGAGTTTTGGAGAAAAGTGGAGCAGTCAGATGTTGGATAATTCAGACTTGAATAGCTAGCAAGCATCATGCACTTTGTAACTTTAGGGAGGGGGTCCACAACCTGTTTGTTTCTATGGAGATTGTATTAAACTAATCTACCTTGCATTTACATTTAACTACAGATGTTATTTATTACTCAAAAATATCTTAAAAGACATCCATTCTGACCTATAATTTGATGTGCAAGTCTCTATAGAGATTCATAAGTTTATGGCCATACTGTGGAACGTTCTAGCAACATCTCCACAGAGTCAAGCAGGTGACGGACCCTTCAGCAGACAAGTTACACCAGCGTTTCCCAAACTTTTTTTTCTGGGGACCCATATTTTAAAAGTCACAAACCTTCGCGACCAAAGTCAGTAGACATTATTCATAAATTACAAAATAATGGTGGATTTGATCGTTATTGAACATTAATGATGATTATGTCTCTCTGAACAATTAGTATTACTCAAGTTTTAAACAATGAAAAACAGCAATTGAACCAGGAATAAAAGCTATCCATAAGTCATCTATTTGGACATTAAATATAGCACTTTTTTTTCTTTTCAGCATTCAATTGAACCAGCAACACTGGAACAAAATAATCTGTAGGACTGTATATTGTAGACCTACATGCAAATCGTGACAAGGCGACCCAAAAAAAATCTCGTGCGACCCACCTGAGGGTCAGGACCCAGTCTTTGGGAAACAATGAGCTACACAGTGCGCCTTTAACTACAGTAAACATGAGAATTAAATGTGCGTTATATAACTTTTTAGTGAACGCTCGGTAAGGGCTTGTATTCAAGAAGATGTTATTGCTTCGTCTAGAAATTTCCTCAGTATGATATTAAACTTATTTATCTGCACGGAGACAAGCCAAGTTCCAGGTCAGATCTGTGGTGAGGTGACCCTGCTCACTGTTAGAATGGATGAATATTACAAACATAGGCAAAGCAGTAATACCTCCATGGAAAGTGTGGTTGTCAAAAGTAGCGAAAATCAGATATACATTGATACTAAAACTAGTATCAAAACTAGATACTCATTTGAGCAAGTACCAATACTAAAAAGTCACATTCTCAAAACAGAAATGAATCTTTTTTTTTTTTATCATTGTGGTATTGGCATCTGTATTGAGTATCAAGTCTGTTCCTTAGTATCGAAATCAAGTTTGAAATGTTTGTGTTGTGACAACACTAGAAACAAGTAGGTGGTGAAAAGAAATGTTACACACTGCATCTTTAAATGTACAAGATGTCATCATTGCATTAGCGAGCTGATTGTAATCACTGACCAACCCTCACATAAAAGTACGGATTATTTTTCGACAGCCCCTTGATTAAAGAAAATTGCCTCATTATTGGCAAAGAAAACCCAAAAAACATGAAAATCAGTACAATATTTGGACTCCATGAAGAAAAGTTATTGCTGTGGTAATAAATATTTTAGTTTCTACAGCCAGAAATGCGTTTACCCAATAAAATTTTATGCTGAATATAAAATATAATGAGTAAAAGATTTAAAGAACAGCTTGTCTCAGTCGGGGAGTGCCCATCCTTAGACCTAGATTTACTAGTAAGAAAATAAATGTATAAAATTACCCAAATAATCATGAAATCTATCAACACACAGACAGACACACAGTGCCCATGTGCCCAAATTGCCGACTGTACAGATTAGTTCGGCTGCTTTCCTAACCTCAACCGATTTACGCAGTCTCCAAATCTGTTGAGATGAAATATGGGAACAAGCGAGTGGGGAAGACAGAGCTGCTAAGAGTATGATCTGTAGACACCTTTACTGTGAGCGGAGCTGTCAACGGCCTCTACAAGCCCTCCAAAAACCTTAGATTCAACTGAAAACAAACATTAAACTACGCACCTCTTTCATTAGGCACTAAACATGTGGTTATGCTAATTAGCTCGAGCAGATTGGGCATCACTGGGGCTTTTCTGTTGGCTTCTGTACTCTGGGTTTAGCCTGATTGCTCTGGATAGACCACACAGGAATTGCAGCCATTTTAGTTGCCAAATATCTCAAATGTTGGATCGTGTTGAGTGGATTTTGAGCCAATATCAACTATAATAATGTGGAATGCGCGCTGAGGTAAGAGTGTCACTCGGAGATGGATAGTTTATTCCATCATATTGTAAAGGAAAATAGAGCAGGCAGGCTGGACAGTGGGGTTAGTCAGAGTGGAGGACCTTCAGAGACCTGCTGCTTTTCAAATAAATACGATTAGATAATGCGTGACACGTGTGCTAACATAGCTGTTAATTTCATATTGGAGAAAGATAAGAAACAGGCTTTTGTGTGTTTTAAGAGAAGGGCAGAGGTGAACTCGAAAACTGTTAAAGATGCAGATAAAAAAAAATATAGTAGTGGTTGTGATATTTAGAATTCGGTCACAGAGTGTATCAAATTATTTCTTGATTACATGGAATACATTTATTAATATTTTGGCATGTGGCTTAAAAATGCACACATATCTACAGTCAAAAATCCAGCTGTTTTGCTGTGGTAAATGTTGTGAAAAATAACTTCATATGCATAGGAAGGTGTTTGTAGAAATTCTTTTAAATTAAAGGCAAAAATTGCTTCTAGTAAAACTTATATCTGACAACAAAAAAGGTCACGTTAATTGAATACTAAAATAATTTTCAAGTTTATATAAGTATATTGTATGTATAGTTTATATCCTGTAGCCCAGAGGATGTTGTGCTTCACATCAACTTTTCTAGAAATATTTTTGTTTCATTAATTGATATAATATATATGTAATCATTTAATAGATTAGGGTTGTCAGAAATTATACCCAGATGCCATCAATAATACTAAAATGAGTACTGAAACAAGGCCTAAATTTTTGAAGTGTTATATATTAATGAAGAAAATATAGAGGATAAACAATACAATTTTAAAATTAAAAAAAGCTTTTTTAAATACACAATATCAGTAAGAAACATCTGCTGCAATACATACACTGCAGAATGAAACACTATAATAGTAAATCTGTGTATATAATGAGTTTGATAAATTATTTATTTAGTCTTCTACAGCTTAAAATTTATTGCAGTATAGAAAAATAAATAACAAAATTTCCCCATTTTTTTCTTTATGTACATTCTGTTGTCTAAAAACAAGTGCATTTTTATTGTCTTTTTATCATTATCGTATCTCGAGGGTATCAGATATCAAGCCTCTGCTGCTGGAAACCTTTACCTGAATACAGTGTTTCGTTTCTGTGTAATTTTTATACTGAAATGAGAAATAAAGTCTGAGTATTATGACAACACTACGAATGAATGCCATAGCCCTTCTGTCATAGACCTAATCTTCTCAAATACTAATTACTGTACCCCATTTTGGCCCAGAATCGTTAAGTACTTTACCAGGGACATACCAGCGGGTCTGTTATATATGAACTGCCATCTTCTTCTTCCCATCCCAAGTGCTGGTGGATTCCTAAATGCGCACATGCTGTTTTGATTATCCGCGCCTGTGTGATGTATTGAGTTAAGATCAAATGTAAAGTCAGCCATAAATACCCAAACGTTAACAGCTTTTGACACATTGTGCTCATCTTTCCCTGATGGCTACCACATGTGTGAGGTCCGCGTGGAAAGACTTTGAAATTTACGGTCTCTTGGTCAAAATTCCGAAACTGAAATTGTCTGTTTATATCTTTTTTCACTTAATTTGAGGGTATTGTTAAGTATTTTGAATTGCAGTGATAGCGTGATAATATAAATACATTTTTATCTTTGTTTCTATCCACAGTTCCGAGCTCTGGCGCCGATGTACTACAGAGGGTCGGCAGCAGCCATCATCGTGTATGATATCACAAAAGAGGTATTTAGTTTCATGTGTTTGTTTCTTTGGACAGTGATCCATACATGTGGATGCACTGATCCGGTACTAGTATTGGATATTGGTGCCGATACTCAAAAATTTGCTGGATCAGATACCTGCTTCCAGATATCAGGTTGGACATATAAATTGATGTAATAAGACTATTTACTGGTCGAAGTTGGATCAGAAAGTCTCATAATATTTGAACTTTTGTTTATAGAGCTGTGTCTGGGGTTATTTGAGATAAATAACAGCTGCATTTGGATCAGTTTTGTCTTAGTTTAGTTTAGTTTAAATAAAATAAATGCTGTTTTCAGTCTCTGGACTCGTATTGGTTTGTATCGTGTATCAGATACTTAAAGCTACAGTATCAAAATCGGTATCGGAACTGAAAAAGCTGGATCTGTGCATCCCTAATATTCATTTAAAACTGAGTTTTTAAAGATTAGCTGGGGTATCTGATTTTCTATCCATGAAATAGGAAGTAGGAGAGGTGTCCAAACTAAGGCCCAGGGGACAAATTGCACAAATTAGTGTTCCGAGTCTTCTTAAAGGTACAGTGGCTCTGTTAGAGCTGTGTGTACTGACACTGGTCTGTGACCCTCCACTTCAAATATGTTTAGATATGTGGCCCAGGGTGAAAAAAAGGTTGTGAAAAAAGTTTGGAGTCCCCTGAGGTAGATGATGGGTCAGTAGCTTTAGCACATCACTGGTCACAAACTTTTTATAGATACATATAAGACACTTTTTTCTGGGTTTGCAATCAATAAAATACTTAATACTTAGATGCAGACAGCAAGGAGTGGTCTTACTTTGTCACAGAGTGGTGCTTTTTGAAATCTGTCTGTTATTCCAGCTTTAATATTTCTGTCTCAAACCAGTTCAGGGCTGTTGTATAATTTAACATTTAGGGGTTTATATAAAAATAAAAAAATATTTACTGGAAGTGATAAGCGTATCAAAATGTGTATTTATAATGAATACCACATCAGTGAGCCAGTGCACCTTTGCTTCACTCCAAAAATGTAGCTGGAATAAAACCAATATGAATTTCTTATTAACATCTGAGTGGCTCTAACAGGCACTGTGGAGAGCTGAAGTTGTTAAAGAAGGATTTATGTTGATTGCACAGTAATAATATATGCTGTATATTATGTGTGTGTCAACAGGAGTCATTTCAAACGTTGAAGAACTGGGTGAAGGAACTACGGCAACATGGGCCTCCAAATATTGTGGTCGCAATCGCCGGTAACAAATGTGACCTCAATGATGCCAGGTAAAATTTTCTATTGTTTCTGTCTTAGCACTGTTTAAAGGTGTACTATGTAATGTTTCTGGTGGTGGGTTTTATCCTCTGTTTCTCTCCATGGTTATTGCTTTGCCTTGAATGCTCCACTGTATGGCATTAAACTTCTATTTATCTTGGATTCAGTGTTCAATTACAGGTGTTTTAGTGCACATAAACACCTTGAAAAACATGCATTTTTACAGTTTGCTGGCTCACCCCTCCACAGATATGCCTCGTAAATTGGAAGGGCTGCAATATTAATCATAATCAAATCGAAATCCCAGCTTGAGTGGACATTTCCTCCACAGGCAAATCAAATATCCTGTAGTTTAGAGCTGCACGTGGAATGAAATGTGATTGTTGTATTAGTTTGTCAGCTCATATTTCAGTCTTCTTGTCAATTCTTCCAGACGTGTTTCAAATGTGAACTTTGAACAGAATCCTATTATTAAAACATCTAACTGGCTCATCTGCTTGTCTCCATGGAGATATAATGACATACTGTGGAATATTCCAGACAAAGCAGTAACATCTGCATGGAGAAAAGTTACACCTTTAACCTTAGTCTGTACCTTTACGAACAAATGATTTTATATTTGTATACAATATTAATGTTTTGCACATTTTTTACTTTCACAGAGAAGTACCAGAGAAAGATGCGAAGGATTATGCAGACTCCATCCACGCCGTCTTCGTGGAAACCAGTGCCAAAAACGCCATTAACATCAATGAGGTGTTTATAGAGATAAGTGAGTGTGTCTTTAACCTCCTGGACCCACTGGCCTTAAGATCCCCAGGTTAATGTCAGGCTGCCAGTGTTTTGACAGATGAGCTAAATAAACGTGTATATATTTGCAGACAGTTTAGTTTAGCTTAAGCTCTGTGGGCTGGTGTAGGACGGGAGCATGATCACAATAACATAAAGAGGTGGTTAACGTTATTTCAAGGTGGAGAGACTCAGACAGACACAAAGAGATGTATCAGCATGCTTTATTGAATGAGTTAATTTTAGTGCTCAGATCCAAGCAGAATTTCAATGAAGGGCGTGGCCGGTTAGATGGAGTTTAGGAGATGTTTCCCCCAGGGCGTGGACACTGGAGGTCGTAGAGATGAGGATGAGGAGAGTGAGGGGAACGATGAAACGATGAGGAGAGTGAAGGGGACGATGAGATGATGAGGAGAGTGAAGGGGACGATGAGATGATGAGGAGAGTGAAGGGGACGATGAGGTGATGAGGAGAGTGAAGGGGACGATGAGGTGATGAGGAGAGGATGATAAGAGTGAAGTGGACAAGGTGAGGATGAGGAGAGTGAAGGTGATGACGAGATGATGAAGAGAGGATGAGGATAGTGAATGTAATGAGATGATGAGAAGAGTAAAGGGAACGATGAGAGGATGAGGAGAGTGAAGGAAACAATGACAGGATGAGGAGAGTGTGGGGACAATGAGAGGATGAGGAAAATGAATGGGACGATGAGAGGATGAGGAGAGGGCGAGGAGAGTAAAGGGAACGATGAGAGGATGAGGAGAGTGAAGGGAATGACGAGATAATGAGGATAGTGAAGGGAACAATGAGATGATGAGAAGAGTAAAGGGGACGAGCAGAGGATGAGGAGAGTGAAGGAAACGATGAGTGGATGAGAAGAGTGAAGGGGGCGATGAGAGGATGAGAAGAGTAAAGGGGACGATGAGGGGATGAGGAGAGGATGAGGAGAGTGAAGGAAACGATGAGAGGATGAGGAGAGTGAAGGAATTGATGAGATGATGAGGAGAGTGTAGAAGATGATGAGAGGATGAGAAGAGTGAAGAGACGAAATAGAAAAATCAATAATAGTGGTAGTACGGAATGGCAAACCCTCGTTTGCCTTCACCAATATAATTGTTTTTTTATTATTTTATACCATCATCACTTCCTTTCTTTATAATATGCTTATTGTTCTTAACAGTTGATTTTATGTATTTATTACATGGCTGTGTTTGAGAATAATTAACTCAGTAAGTTTTTATTTATATAGTGCTTTTCACAGACATATGTCACAAAGACGCTTTCACAGATCATTGTTCATTCACTCCACACTTGGCGGTGGTAAGCTACTCTCTACACCATCGGCCCCTCCAACCACCACCATCACTCACACACACACCACTTTCATACTAAGCAATGTGTGTGAAGTGACTTGCCTAAGGACACAATGACTTTTTTGCTACTAGCGCCCCACTGTGGCACCTGATATTCCCAGTGGTCTCCTATTCAAGTACTAACCAGGCCTGGCCTTGAAATAAAACCTGGCCTTGGAATAAAATTGTATTCATTTGTACAGACTCATTATATCATATTACTCAATTCAGCTGACTTTTATGTAGTTTTATCACCCACACCTAGTATTATTTTATTTCAAGGTAGTGTATTACATGCACAATATCTAGCTTACATGTAACTTGAGCCGTACTGTATTTTTGTTGCGATTATTTCTGATTTTCTGTTTTTCTTCACCAGGTAAGCGTATCCCTGCTGTAGACGCCGCTGGAGGGAGCCCAGGAAAGAGTTTTAAAATCGGACGGCAGGCCTCAGAGTCCCAGAGGACGTGCTGCTGATGGGGCCAGATATGAACCATGTGACCTGACGTGACCTTTCACCCCAAAACGCCACATACCAGCGGCCTGCGTAAAACTCAGTGCAAACATTACAAATCACACAACCTTAGTTACAGCATTAATCACCAATTACAGATTTGAGCTGCTTGTAAATGTGTACAGGTGTAAGATATGTCACCTAAATATTTTGATATTACTTAAGTTAAGATTATGCAACTTGTATTTTCCAATGTAATGAATTTTCTACACTCAGCATGTTGGTGTAAAGACATGTCCACTATTACTCTAATCAAACATACATAGTTGTCTTGCTATAATTACTGCGGTATTAGCTGTTGGATATTATTATACGACCTCTAGCAAGGGCAAGTAACACTGCATAGTCTACTAGCTTTCAAGTACGCCCCTTGGGAAAAGTCAACAAGGCTCCCAACACCTGGCTTTACAAGTTCAACAAGATTAATGTTTTCACACTAGGCAAATAAAACTGAATTTGTAGAGATTTTCTTACTTTACACATCATATATTGTCTTTCCAAGTCTCGTCTTAAAGGTGCACTGTGTAGCTTTTCTGGTGGAGAGTCCGCTGTCTGCTTGTTGTCTTCGTGGAGATGTTATTGCGTTAACTGGAATGATCTACAGTATGGCATCAAACTTATATTAATTTATCTAAAGCCATAAAAACAAGTTAATGGCACCAGGTCATGTTACAGGTCAGATCTGTGGAGTAATAAATTTGCTCACAGTAAGAAGAATGCAATGTACTTAGCTATTTAAACTCATCTAAATGAATAAATGCAGAACAGGTAAGTTTCATGTCACACTGTGTAAACTTAGTGTGTAACAAAGCAATTACATCTCCATGGAGATGGGCATTGTGCGCACCCCATACTCCAAAGTTGCACAGTACACCTTTTAACTAAACAAAAAATAGTTCTGAATTTAAAAACAGGACTTAAAATTTAAAAACAGAATTTAAAAATATGCCTAAAAGTGAAACATACTCTAATTTTGGTTTTGTATGGGTCTAGTCCAGGTTTAGTGCCATGTGTGCCCTAAAAGCACTGACTGAATGTAGCTTTTTAAAGAGGGGGTATTATGCAAAATTGACTTATTTTTTAGCTTTCCTCCAAGTTATAATATTGTTCTCTCATCAGAAACATGCCTGAAGAGGTTATAGATTTTCATTCATGCATGTTTGAGTAATTTAGCGATCTTTCCCTGGCCCTATTTGAGCCCTTCTTAAGGTTAACACCACAGTCCTATCCAAAGCTCAGCCCACAAGCTTAGCACTCCGTAAAATATACAAAAGCATGTTGCAAAACAATACACTACAACTTCACAAACCTGGTGCGATGTGCAATAGTTTTCTTAACGAAATGCACATTGATTTTTGTAACGTGGTAGTGTTCTGAAGGTGAACAAAGGGAGTGGGGACTCGAAACGGAAACTTATAAAACATGTTAATACGTCATTTTTGGCAACTATCGCATTTTTAAAATGAAAAAAGTAACATGGTGATCTAAATATGTTACGTGTTAGCAGTTAATACCCCAGAGAAGTAAAATACCCCCTCTTTAACTGTCAACAGAAGGAGCCCTAGTTACTGCATGTGCATTGTCAATAAATAGTGGGTTTGGTACAAGATACTGCTCTCTAGATTAACATTTCCCCATTTAATTCTCCATATACTTCCCTATGTGTTTTTCTTTCACTTTTCCTTCACATGAACCTAAGAATCCTAACTTTTGTGAGTATGGAAAAATATGCTACAGTCTTTAAATTACATCATGCAGTTTAACACTCATAAAAGACTTGATGGGTGATGTAGTTTCCCACTTTTTAATTCTCGCCCACAGTTATATTTTACAAGCACTACTAGCACCACAATACTTAGGTCGTTGAAAACACTTTATCCAACAGCACGTCTCAATTTCATATGTCATTTTGTATTTACACACTTGAAATTTTAAGTTATGTAATAAGTGATAGATTCTTTTCAAATACTGGACTATACAAATTAAGTTGCATCAAATTTCAAGGATTTTTTAAATTTTATTTTATTTTACAATACAAAACTTTAAAGGTGCATTGTGTAGCTTTTCTGTTGGAGGGTCCCTCAAATGTTTTTCCTGTCCCATGGAGATGTTATTGCTTTGTCTGGAATGTTTCACAGTATGGCATTTAACTTTTCTATCACCATGGAGACCAAACCAGACCAAGTTACAGGTCAGATCTGTGGAGAGGCCACCCTGATCACAGTCAGTCAGACTGTTTTCTAGGTATTTTTCAGTTATAAAGCTGCACATATCGTATGTTTCGGACTAGAAGTCGCACAAGCCCAAAAATGCGTAATGAAGAAGAAGAAAAACATATATAAGTAGCACCGGACTATAAGTCGCACTTTTGGGGGAAATTTATTTTATAAAATCAGAGACCAGGAACCAACATTTCATCTTGAAAGGCAAGTTATAGTAATAACAATAGAACAGAGAACAAAAGGCTGTTAACGTCACACATGAACAGTTATTCAGATAACTATAGCATAAACAACAGAACAGAACAAGTTTACCAAACTCTTGATCTCACTCCAAATCACTAAATCCATTGACTTTTTCATCCTCGGTGTCACTTCTGAGCAACTCCACAACCTCCGGAGGTAAACGGAGTGCTGCTTCTTCTACTGCGTAGCTGTCATGAGACTCAGCATCATTTCCAGTTAGAATTATTCCGGCCTTTCTGAATCCCGACAGGATGGTTTCAGTTGTCACTGAAGTCCAAGCTTTGTCGATCCATCCAATCATTTCCAGGAAAGTTGCATGGCGCACCCTCCCAGTTGTCACAAGTTTCTCACTCACTTCAGACTTTCTTCCTGCTGCTCGATTACCATTTTCAACTGCATATTTCACCACTTGCAGCAGGACAGCAGCTCTTTCTGCAGGAAACATGCTCGACATGAGTCCGATTTATAGTCCAAAAAATACGGTAATTGAATAAATGTGAAGTATAGCTGTTTAAAGACATACTGTGGAACATTACAATGACATATTCATAGAAACAAGCAGGTGACAGACCCCCAATCACAAAGTTACATAGTGCACCCAATTACAAGTTGTTTTTTTTGTTTGTTTTTGTTTTTTCAGTTTTTTTTTTTGTTTTGTTTTGTTTGTTTTTTTTGGAATGTTACAAAACTATAACTGACTTAAATGAACCAGGTTTCTGTGCTGTGTACACACATTTGAACAGCTAGCATTTTTGATTCCTTATTGCCTATTAAATTGTTCAGTTGCCAAAGTTGCCAAGTGCAAACTCAGTGTTGGTTTTTCCTTGTTACTATCATTTCCAGCTTAACAAATTCAACTTCCCCATATAAATCAGCAGAAAAGTCAGTTGTGCATAAAAACTATTGTCTTGGGCTGGCCCTAGGAACTTGATTTAATCTATAACATTATTGTTACTATGATGTATATGTCTGTGTAGATACCATTTGCACATGAGTCACTATTACAATGCGTTTCTGACCACAGTAGCCTTTTGCTGAGTTTTTGCTGTAACTGTCTTAAGCACTAGTTAACCCTTTCTTAGCTTTTTATTGTTATTATTCATTTCGTATGTAACAAGTGCTTGAAAACACATGTGCAATGTAATCCCACTGTGTCAAAAGGGACTTGTCAATTTGTTTAATAATAAAAGATTGACAAAATATGATGTTATATGTGTATGCTGCTGTTTGTTCTGTTTGCAATTTGAATGTATGTGTGAGTTTATGGGACATTTAGTGCTCCGTGTGGGATACAGTGACAGTGTTGTTAGCGACTGGTCACTGGTGTCCACTCACATAGCTAAATATACAGATATGACACCTGAGATGCATTTTTCACATATTTGCCATTAGCTACAGGCTTTTCATGGTGTGTTAAAGTGAGGAGGACAGGATATACTGCTTACCAAGTTACAGCATTGGACTTGGGCATTACATAAGTCATGGTGTTTATGTTACAGTAGAGTACACAATAAAGGTGCATTCTGTAACTTTTCCGGTGGAGGTTTTGCCAACTTTTTGTCTTCATAGAGATGTATTTACTTTGGGATTTTCAATTAAATGGCATTAAACTTTTCTACCTTGTATTTGTCCAAGTTACATAAAACAAAAAAACATCTTGCCTTTTCATAGATCTGGTTTGTAACTTGGCCTAGAGGAGTTGCCTACTTGTCTCCATGGAGATGTTATTACTTTGACTGGGATTTTCAACTAAATTGCATTAAACGTTTCTACCTTATATTCATCCAAATTTTATAAAGACAATAGCTTGCCTCTTTATAGATCTGGTCCATGCAGTCTATGATCTGGCCTGTAACCTGGGCTGGTGGAGTTGCCTACTGTCTCCATGGAGACAGAGTAGTTAAATGCCACATTATGCGAAACAATAGCATCGCCATGGAGATGAGCAAGAGGCAGACCCTTGTTTATATAGAGCCTACCCAGAGTCTAAATTTGTAGCCTTCCTATTTTCATTCTAACAGGTGCATTGTGTAACTTTTCTGATAGAGGATCCATCAGCTTTTCTCCCTGGAGATGTTATTGGTTTGTCTGGAATGCCTCGCCGTATGGTATTAAACCTTTCCATTACCATGGAGACCAAACCAGACTAGGGCTGGGTATCATTAAGAAGTTGCCGATATGATGCATACCTCGATACATAGGCCACGATACGATACATATCTCGATACAGTGCACTTTTGATTCGATATGATATTTATTTCAAATCAATTTGATATGGTTCAATAAAAAATAATGGTTAAATCATGACTGTGATACTAAAAGTCTTTGTTAAACCGCTTCTTATGCAAAGGTAATATGAAACGCAAACATTTTAATCGTCAAAACAGTGAATATGTCAAATGTGTTGCATAAATGAGTTTCCTTCCTCTAAACAAGCACCAAAACTGTAGCTCTAAAACTAAATAATTTAGTAAAATATTCCAAAAAATACTCTTGGCAATATATCGATACAGCAGCCCATGATATTGATATTGTATCATCACATTAAATGATATATCGATATTTTTGATATTTTTGCACAGCCCTAAATCAGATCAAATTACAAGTCAGATTCAAATTTGAGAGGCAATTCTGCTCCCAGTCAGAATTTTCTACATATTTTTAAGCTATAAAACAACCTATATTTTAATAAATGTAAGGTAGAGCTGTTTAATGTCACACTGTGGAACATTCCAGGCAGAGCACTGACATATCCATGGAAACAAGCAGGTAATGGATCTTCAACCAGAAAAGTTACATAGTGCACCTTTAAAATAGTTGACAATAATTCTGGAAGTGCACATTTCTCTGAGCAATAACTGGTTTATTGACGCCAAGTCCCACCTGCTTTAAACTATTAAACAAAATACTCGATGCTTTGATCTGGTTGGCGACTTTGCCTGGGGTAGACAACTAAATAAGTTCTGTCATAGTCTGTTTGACTGTAAATTATTTTTGGCAAAGTCATTGTAGATTTCCTTGGCTGAATGCATAACTTGAATTGCCTGTGGTTATGGGCTATATTATTTTGGCTCGGGACTACAAAAACAGACTGACAGGTTTATGCTTAGACTTAGACAAACTTTATTGATCCACAAGGGAAATTATTTGGACACAGTAGCTCACACATTACAATATATTATAATAATAACAACTCTTATGTAACAGATAACTCCATGTCCTGTCAGTCATTATATCATCTTTGCACTGTTTTTCCTTGCCACCTCTTGTATATAGCTGAGATATATTTGTTTTAATAGATTTCTATATTTAATTTTTACATGTACATATACATTTATATAATTATGCCATAGTTGATACCGGTCTCTTGCTATTTTTGCTACTTTTTTCAAATTTATTATTACTATTTATAGGTTTTGTCTTTTTATTATAATATATCGTAATGTGTGAGGTACTGTGTCCATATAATTTCCCCTCTGGATCAATAAGAAAAAGTTTGTCTAAGTCTAACAAAGAGCAAAATATAAATGATAATATAAATTCAAACTAAGTAGAAACCTTATAATTGAGGAGTGATTGTGCTCATTGTTAGATCTCTGGTTTAATAACTTGCTGGACAAAATTATTTGGACAGAGTAGCTCACAATGTATTATAAATAACAAAGAGCAAAATAAAATATAAAGGGTAATATAGGGTGACCAGACGTCCCTATTTATCCAGGACAATCCCAGTTTTGAGTCCTGTGTCCCCTGTCCCAGCAGATTTATCCCAAGCCAGTAATTTGTCCCAGTTTTATACAAGAAATGTCTCAGGTGTTCCCTATTTTTTGACCAATTTGATCCCTGCCAACAGTAAAGAGAGGCATAAATTGTCAATTGTTTAGGTAAAATACAGAAAAGCAGCTAAAAAATTACTAAAACACCAAGAAAATGTGACTATACTGACTCACATTAGTCCTGAGTTCATAACAATTTTCCTTAATTACACACTGGTTTCACAATTTTATTATTACAAACCACCCCAAACTAGGGTTGTCACAGTGTTTTCTTTTGAAAATCCGGTCATCCTATGGTAATAATAAATTCAAAGTAGCAAATACCTGAGGATTGTGACTGTGCACATTGTTAGAGCTCCGGATTAGTCCTAACTTGCTTAATCCTTGCCCATGTTTGTGTAGGACTTGTGCTCACAATATATTATAAATAACAAAGAGCAAAATTAAATATAAATGGAAAAAAAATAATAATAATATAATAAAATAATCATAATAATAAATAAGTAGCAAGGATTGTGACTGTGCACATTGTTAGATCTCTGGTTTAGTGCTAACTTGCTTAATCCTCGCTAGTATAAGTGTAGGACTCGTTTAGGACTTGTGTAGGACTTGTGCAGGACTTGTGTAGGACTGGAGTAGGTGCCCTGGCTCGCTGTAGTGGTTGGGTGCCGCTGGGTGCTCTGCAGAGGCAGTGACGTCAGCCGCCTGCCTCTCACTCCCTTCCTGCTGCATCACAACAGCCCCAGCCGCGCATAGCTCCGTACTAGCTCCAGTGACCAGCGCACTCAGCTAATTCATTCATTAAACACATATCCTCACTGACGGCGCTATACTTCACCCACGACAGCGTTCCGACACGGGGGAGGAGACCGACAGGACTTGGTTGCAGTGCGATCGCCCCGCTCCAGCTGCTGTTGGGATATGGCCAGGCCGGAACAGGTTCTGCTCTTGGAGCCGCAGCACGAACTCAAATTCAGAGGTATGAGCCCGGGAGAGAGGGAGGGCCTGGCTCGGGCTGGAGGAGGGGGGAACTGCCTGTCCCTACGGGGTTTAGGAGCAGGGGCATTCCAATGTTACCATGACCGAGACGTACAGACACTGTGGGTCCCGTTGGGAGCCAAACGCGCCTCATCAAAAGCCAGATACCTCTTCTAATAAGGACGGCAGGTCAAGTGACAGCTAGCTGGCTAGTTAGCTCCCTGGATTAGCTTCCAGAGGCTAAGCTAGCCAGGCCCAGAACAGTCACTCCCCGATTTGCGTCGGTCCCTGGTCCCTGCCCGATCTGTCTCGAAATGCTCAATGCGCATGCGTGAGCCGGTATTCCATCTTTGGTACAACAGGCCAACTTGGGCAAATAATATTGACAAATGTGTCATTTTTGGTTATACTCGGCTTATATTAACGATTTGTTGATGTAGACAGTTATTGTAATTAGCGGAGAAACACATGTACGTTTGCTGAAGGATCTGCACTTAAGCAATATCAAACGAAAAAGGAAACGACAAAGAATCAATAATTTATGATAAATTATTGCAATGTTTCTTTGAAGTTATACGCACATGTGTATTAGCTTTTTCCATAAGAGACTTCTGTTGTGTATTGAGGCTTCGATTGTATTTGTATTCAAATGAGCAAAGGTCTGACCCAAATCAGGTAGTGACACAAATCTGGCAGTGACATTACGTATTCCCAATGCAGCTACTATTCAAACAAACATTACATTTATAACATAACTGTGTCAAGATGGAAGTTTGGTAGTATTTTAGTCTGTAATCCCTTCTATTATAAAACGTTATATTGAAGCTAAACTGGTACATCTTTAGCAGGTGTAATGTAGCTAGGGGCTAACATTAGCTCACTCGCTCATTGGCTGACTCGCTCCGTTGGCCACCCAGCTGTCAAGTAATAACGTGACAGCTCACAGCACAGACACACTGGACAACCTCTGCTTGTTTATATGTATTTATCTACAGGTCATCAGCATGTCCGCAACGCTTATCGACATCAGAGACCAGCTCGACATTTGGCTGCAAGATGTTAATGCTGCAAGGCCCAATTTTGTTACATAAACTCACATGGTATTACTCTAACTTGGATTACTAAACACATCACGCCACGTATTAAACAGTGCACATTACACCTGAGAAATCTAACAAAAACTATTAACTATAAACAGGACAGTACTTTATAATTTATTATCGTGAAATCCTACAATATTCTGGATTCTTTATGCTGTGGACAAATCCTGACACATCAACTTTGTGCTCTTCCTTAAATATAGGTTGTATAACTTCCAAACTCCTATTGAAAAAAAGGTTGAGTTGCCAATAAATCTACATTTAAAATATAAATAAATTGCGCGGGTTTCTTATGGAAGGCAGCTAATGTCAATAGATACTATTACGACGATTGATTACTAAACCGTGTTTTGTGATCTACCATTTTTTGTGCACTGTGGTGATCCATTGCTCTTGACAGATCAGAAATGGGTCAAATGTAGAGGACATAATTAATCTTCGGGGGACAGATTGCAAATACATTAACCTAAAAAGTTGTAGATGTAAATAGCTACATGTTTACTATAGAGATTTCATTTCAGCAAAGCTATTACTTTTCCAGTTGTTCCATTAATAATTTAAGTTCATGTTTGCAATATGTATCATAACACAGAAGACCTTTTGACTGCATACTCAAATCACATGTGTTATGTTAGGCTGAAACTATATAGACACATGCATTGTACCAGAGCATCAGTGGACCATGCTGTAGAAAATATGCTGTGTCGAACCATTTATAATTCATATACTATTTATTTTTAACGATGCTTGGTTGTTGTTTTTTTAATCAAATTACTATTATATATGCAATTTGGCATTCAACTGGCCCTGTAACAATAGTTACTATATTAATCCATATATGACAGCTGGAACAATATATTTTGAGGGCTCAGTATTTATTTGATATTTAATTTCTTTGCAATAGTGGGGAGATTTTTGCCATTTTTATGTGATATGATCAGATTTGAGCTGCAGAGGGTTGAATTTCTAACTTCTATTTATTAATTTATTGCAGCACTGGCTTTTTAATGATGATGTATATTTAAAAATCTGTTTACTAGCATTATTCTGCTTTGTGTCAGTGGCATGAAGTAGTTTCAGTATTATCGTTTATCGCAGTAATTCTACGTAGCAATATACCGTGCTTCAAAATTTGTTACCGTGACAGACCTACATTCTATATATTTTATTTTCAGATTGTTTTTGATCAGGTGTTTTCTTTTCTATAGACCTTTTAGCGAAGCCCTGACTTCCCTCACTGTCATTGCAGAGAATAGGAAGTGTCAGGGGCTTGGGCCATTCACTGAAACCTTATCTTTTGCTGTGAGCTAATTCAAAAATAGCTCAATGCCTCCACTACAAATGCTGTAGTAGCTGAAACAGATCATCAGGGAAGTTGAATCATAAACGAATGCAGTATTTTTTTTTCTTTTGACATGGCATTTCTTGTAATTTGAGCTTGTACAATTACAGTATAGCCTCTCTAACCTTATAACTTTAAAGGTGCATTGTGTAGCTTTTCCATCAAATGCTCTTCTCTGTGGAGATGTTATTGCTTCATTTGGAATGTTTGACAGTTTCTATCTTCATGGAGACCAAACCAGGCAAAGTTACAGGTCAGATCTGTGGACAAGCAACCCCGCTCACACTCAGAATGCCTGTTTTTCTAGATATTTTTAAGCAATAAAACTGTAATTTAATAAATGTAAGGTAGAACTGTTTAATGTCATACTATGGAACATTAAAGGCAGAGCAATGACATCCATAGAAACAATCAGGTGACGGACCCCCAACCATAAATTTACTACATTTTACCTTTTAATATTGTCTCATGGTAAGCATAAAAAGAACTCCAGTGTAGGGCTGCTTGACTGAATTTCCAATATGAATGGTCACAATTACCAAATCGCAAGGGCTGCAAATTCTTGGTAACTGAGATTATTGTGACCTTTTCTCTGTAAAAGGATCTTGTGATATTTGTTATTTTATTATATTGTAATGTTTGGGCAGCCCTACTTTGGTCCCGGCTCTATGGTTAAGAATGACTGGGTTAGGTTACATCTACTGAAGAGTGCAACAATTATTATAATAATTTGCCAAGGAACTGATGCTTTTACCAAATACAATTCATGAGAAATATGTTACGATAAAACGACTTAGACTTAGACAAACTTTATTGATCCACAAGGGAAATTATTTGGACACAGTAGCTCACAGATCACAACATAGCAAAGGAGAAATTCAATTCTGTTGACTGGACAAAAGATTATACGTTTCGCAGCTCATTCGATCAAAAAACTTGACTTGAATTTCTCCTTTGATATGGATTCAACCAGGACAACTCAGGGATTACACGAACATCACAATATATTATAATGACAAAGAGAAAAAATAGAAATGTATTAATAAAAAAGCTCAATACATTAGATAAAAAATTACTGAGGCACTCTATTCTTATTGTTGTTTATGTTTTTTGGAGGGTTTATAACATGCCCCTCCCCTAAGACTGTCTTTTGTAAACATGCACTGATATATTTGCCTATTGTCTTGATTGGTTTCATCTTGTATCAGGCCTGTCAACAGAAATAAGGGGGCCTAGGGCAAGAAGCTTCACATGGGCCCCCATTTAATCTAAATTAATATGAAGAGGTTCCAGTTCTGGGCCCCAAAAACCCTGGGGCTTTTGACAACAGACCCCTTTATTCCCCCTCGTCTACTAGAGATGTAACAATATCCAAATTTCTCAGTTCGATGTTTTCATAATATGCATCTCACGGTACGATATTTATTGTGATATTTTGTAGAGACTATCGGAATTGTGAATATACTACTTTGTTCTTTAAATGCCTTGACAAGTCTCTGTTTCTGTCATAAACTAAAGAGTTAAGAACTAAAAGTGCTTAAGTTATTTTATTGTATAAACTGGACTGAAACAGAGCAAAGGATCACGGGTCTGTTTCTTTTAGCTGTTATTGCACCATAACACTGAATTTGAGCAAAGTCACTTGAGATTCGATATATTGTGTTGGCCCGCGATATTTCGGTTATTGTTACATCCCTACTGTCTTTTTGCTAATAATTTCTCTTCCATGTTGTGTGCAGGTCCTTTCTCAGACGTGGTCACCACAAACCTCAAGCTCTCCAACCCCACAGACAGGAATGTGTGCTTTAAGGTGAAGACGACAGCACCGCGCCGATATTGTGTGCGACCAAACAGCGGGATCATCGATGCGGGAACCTCCATCAATGTCTCAGGTAAGGCATAAGACCACGCTCCTGAGTAAGTCTTCATCAACAAAATGAAATCGTATCTTGAATGATTGCAATAAGTGTGTAAGTCAGAAAAGACGGCCTGTGAGCAAAATTCTCAAACTACGAATAGTGCAACATCTAAAATCTAAAAAAAATGCGTTTTCCTAATTATTATTATGTTACTGTTTTGTTCACTGTCTTTCTTATTATTCATTTATTTATTTATTTAATACTACAAATGATCAATCAATCAATAAATAAACACAAACTATTGACAGAAAAACTGAAAAAACAGTGCAAAACTTGTAATGTATATAAATCAATTTATGTAATAAAATGTCTTCTCCTCTGTAAACAGCAAATTACTCGGTCTCTATATAAGGTTTTATATATACAACTGTTATCCCTGATCAAAAAATATAGTCATTGTGTTATTTTTTGTTATAAACATGATTGCATTACTTCTAAACTAACTCCAAAATTCTTCCGCCCAGCTCAAACTAAATTTTAAATTCAGAAACGAGTGGCAGGACAGTAACAAAAACTTGTAATCGATATTGTGCTTATTTATTATTTTATTTAATATGCTTTAATGCACCTTCTATCCTCCTCTTTACAAAAGATCTTAACAGGAGGCTTTCTAGAATAGATCAGCTTAACATTAGCTCTCATTACCACTCTATTTTCTAACATTACGTCTGGCCTATATCAGGTTAATTATGTCCAATCACTTCCTCAAATTACTGCCCATTTAGCTATTTGGCTTGGAGCTTTTCTTAACACTATTTTGAACCAGGCTTATTCTCAGTGCGTTTTGAGTGAGTTGCATACAGTAGTCAGTGTATAGTATTTCTCGTGTGTGCCACCTTTGCCATTTCTGTAGTGGACTCGTTTTACGTCTGCTCAATCTTATGTCAACAGCTCCTGTGAAGTGTGTCAGTGGGACCTGTGGTTAGCGGGCCATGACAAATCTGCACTGTCCACTTTGTTCGGTGCCAACATTTTTCACCCCTATTAGGCTACAGGCTGTCCCTAATGGAAAACATATAGAGGGGCTTTTAGCTGGACCAGACTGTTGTTCTGGTGGTAATGATTGTGGGGTTGTATCAGGTACTTCCCAACTGCCTCTGTTAAAGGACAGACAGAGCACAGTACATCCAGACAGATGATGCTACCAGATAACTGCATTGCACTTTTGGCTTAATAGGATTTGACTTATTACGCAGTTTGGTTTGACTCTAAATATTCTATTGTATTAAACTTGAGCCAACCAAGTCTTACGTGGCATCTGTCTCATGCTTGTCTCCATGGAGATGTATTTTGCTGTGCCTGGAATGTTCCACAGTTGTACTGACAGACCGGGATGCACCAGTCCATCTTTTTTGTACCTTTATTAACCAATACTAGGACAGAGACTGAAAATATAATTTATCTCCTTTTTGGGCTGGGTATTATTAAGAAGTTGCCAATACAATACATACCTCAATACACAGGCCACAATACGATACTAATCTCGATACAGTGCACTTTTGATTCTATACAATATATTTCAAATCAATTTGATACGGTTCAATAAAAGATGTCTAAATTATGTCTGTGGTACTAAAAGTCTTTGTTAAACAACTTCTTGTGCAAAGTTAATATTAATATTAATGAAACACAAACATTTTACTCATCAGAACAGTGAATATGTCAAATGTGTTGCATAAATGAGTTTCCTTCCACTAAACAAGCAACAAAACTGCAGCGCTGTAACAAAATAATTGAGTAAAATATACCAAAAAATACTCTTAGCGATATATTGATACAGCAGTCACTGATATCGATACTGTATCATCAGATTAAACGATACGATATATCGATATTTCAATATTTTTGCACACCCCTATTTCCTTTTACACACAGCCAGCATATGGTTAAAAGGATCCAAATGTGTTTTGTGGCTCAGTTGCTTAGAGTGCTTGTCCACTGATCTGAAGGTTGGTAGTTTTATTCCCACTCTTCACATAAACATCATTGGTGAGTGGTCAGATCCACTGACCCTTAGGTTGGTGGTGTGATTCCAGCTCCTACAGATGAATGCTAATGTGGAGTCCTTGGGCAAGACACTTAACTCTCCTTGGCCCAATGTCTGTGTACACTGGTGTATGAATGTGTGTGAATGGGTGAGTGTTTCCTTGATGTAAAGCGCTTTGGGTGCCTTGAAGGTGGAAAAGCGCTATATAAAACTGTTATTTATCATTTCAAGTAACTATAGAACAGATTTGTAAAAACATAAATTTCATATTCTGAGACTTTTGGGCCAACATTGGACAGTAAATCATCTTATACACCAGTTTATATTCCAAAATGGGATATTGACTGAACTGATATCCAATCCTCCAAAATGTTCAATATCATCTCTGATATCAAGATGCCAGTATCAAATCGGTGCATCTCTATCCACAGATCCGACCTGTAACTTGGCCTCATGTCATCATCTGCTTCCCTGTGGAAATATATTAAGTTTAATGCCATACTGCAGAACATTCTAGCAGCATTTACATCACCGTGAAGACAAGCAATTGACAGACCTGGCCTCCACCACAAAAGTAACATATTAAATGGTTTCAGTAGGCAACATTTGTGGAAAAAAATCTTGATGATTAAACAGAAAAGAAAAATTGAAATGCTTACTCCAAGTGTGACCTCACCTTACCTTACCATGCTGATGAGAATGCCACTGCTTGAGAAAATCGCCCCATGAAAAACAATATCTAAAATAAAACTATATGGCTGTCTGTTTGAACTTCAGTCAAGAGGGGGATAACAAGCCAGGACTCATGGGATCAGATCAAATTGAATAAGCAATGTCAGCAGGGAGATCTGAAATGAAATCACTGCCTCAAAAAATCTAGTATTAAACTCACCATATTATGCTATTTTCTGTTATTTGCTATAATGTTTCCTCATCAGAAACACCCCTGGAGTTGTGTTTTGTTTCATTCACACATGCTGAACACACAAACCCTGCATATTTAGGCTGAGTTCTCAAACAGAAACCACTCTTTTCCACCTTGTGATGTCATATGGTAACACAGGAAGTGCTTCACTGTCTTTTAAACTCCAGACACCTTCACTAGAATCAATTGGATAATTTCAGCCCTGGAATTGCGCGTTTCTACTGAACAAAAGGTAAACGTAGCTATTAACTTGAAAACTACTGCCTCATGACATCACAAGGTGGAACAGAGCATTTTGAGCTTTGGAGAAGTAGACAGACTAATAATAAAAGGTCACTCAAACATGAATGAAACAAAGCACAACTCCAGATACGTTTTTGAGGAGATAACAACATTATAACACGACTTAAAGCTCACAAAAGTCACTTCTGCGCGATATAGGACCTTTAATTCTTAACTCCACGAGACTTTACTCTGGACTTGGAGGAGAAGTGGCGTGTTTTGAAGGTAAACCCAGCTGCAAGTGTGTACATGACTGATGCCATAGTTACAGGAATGTAGCGGGACCCACTGGTACTGTAGAACCATGGAAAAATATGTGGCATGGATGTTCCAAAAATTCACAAAACCTCGCACTGAGAGGTGAAACATTTTTACATGTTTTGAGGAGAAAGAGAGCTGTGGCCTGTTTTGGTCCATAGCCAAGTTAAGTATAGGGTAGAAAAGTATAGAATTTACTTAAAGAACTGTTATTACTTACAGAAGATCCTGCAATGTTTTTAAGAATATTTAGTGTTCAAATCATAGACTGTATACAGAAGTGGACTAAGTAAGTGTGACTTTATCCATAGCATTAGGCTCCAGTCAAATGAAGCTCATCGAGGTCGTCAGTTATGGAGCGAATTAGTTGCCAGGTTCCATATTAGGAAAAGGAATTAATTTAGGGACAAAATAGCTAAATAAAAACACCAGAGCCATGTAGAGCGGATTAATACGAGTATTTTTAGACCAGAATGATGAGAACGGACAATGTTTTTTCAGTACAAAGTGAATTGGAACATGGAAGCCAGAAGCATGTAATATATCCACAATCTGTACAATATTTTCGCGATATGTTTTTCAGTTTACGTATTTATTGCAATATTTTGTGGAGGTTAACAAAATTGTGAATATGCCAGTTTTTCCTTTTAATATGCCTTGGCAAATCTTTGGTTCTGCCATAATCCAAATAATCACTATCAAATAATCAAGTGCTTAAGTTATTTCTTCGTGTAGTCTGCACTGAAAGGAGCAAAGGATCATGGTCTTATAATTCCCTCTCTTTTTTAGCTGTTGCTACACCAAAACAATGTATTTAAGCAAAGAAATTTGTAATTTGATGTATTATCTCCATGGAGATAAGCAGGTGACAGACTGGAAAGGTTACGCAACGCACCTTTAACTTGGATAGACTTTTAGATACACAAATATTACTAATACTGTTTCAGATCCTACCGTGTGTAAATGCCACTCTGAGGACAAGATGATAGTGCCAAAAATGTGCTTCCTTTTTTGGGCACAGTTTGGGTTCAGAGGGACAGCGCCACTTAATATAAACACAGAGAAACTAAAACACAGAATGCAGTAATTGTTTTTCAATGGGGATGAGACCAGATCCGTGAGGAAAATGATGTCAACAAAGCTGTAGTGTAGTTATTAGTGTTGTCACAATACTAAAATGTCAAACTCGACTTCCGGATACTCAATATTGCTTCTGATACCATGATAATAATATTCTTTAGACAATAAAATGTGATCTGATGTGGTGTTATATCTGTGTAATCCCAAAGTCCATGGGCGTATACTACTCTATGTGGTGTTATATTTGTTCTGATACAGTTCAAGATCATTTTAAAACTATTCAGGAAGGGTTCATTTCTGTCCTGTGAATGTGACTTTTTAGGATCGATACCTGCTCAAAATAGTATCTAGTTTCAATACTCGTTTTAGTATCAATTAGTGTCTGATTTTCAAAATTTAAATGAAGTCGAAATCTTTTTTTCTCTTGTTCACGTGGACCCC